TAGCACCTAGCTATTATACTTATAGAATTTAATTATTATAATAGTCCTTCTTATCTTAAAGAAGTATAGTTATAAAAAGTAGTGCCTATCTTTTAATCTACTTAAGACTTTATTAAGGGGAGCGCCTTATGCAGCTAGATATAATTTCCTTTAATAGTAGCTTATATTATTACTGTTTATAAATTATAAGGCTATATAGTAAAACAGGCTATAGTTAATATATTATAAAAGGATTTTTTTATAAGTTTAATATATATAATAGTCTTATATATTAAAACACTATAAGGCATTTTATTTAATACTTTTTTTAATTTACCTACTATTTATAATAATACTAACCTAGCTAAAGATCCTTACTATCTTAATTATTAGTAACATTTGCCTTAAATAATACTAGCGCTAACTGCTATTTCTTTTACTTAAATTATTTTTATTATTCTTTTTTTCTTTCCTTTTTTTTTTTTATTACCTTTATAGCTTTATTATATATAATTAATATTTAGATAGTAATAGCCTTGCCCTTTAATACTAATTATATATATTACTTTATATATACCTTTTATATAAATAAATTCTAAAATTTTATTCCTTTTTTAAATTAAAATATAATTAAAGACTAATAATTATAAAAATAGTAATAGCACTTTCTCTCTTTAGCACTAGCGCCTATTTATAAAAAATATACTTAGCTATAGTCTTTTAAGCCTTATAGGCCTGCTTATAGCTTATCTTATTATTATTACCTTTATTATTATTATTTAATTTAAGCACTAGATCCTTATTATTAAGTATATTAATTATAAGATAAATAGCTATATAGTATTACTTTATTACTTAGTATATTATTAGTATAAAGTATAAAAAGTAGGAAATCTATAAATAAACCTTCTTATCTTCTTTATTAATAGTATAATTAAGTCTTTAAATAAAAGGCATAAGCTAATAATAGCTATAGTATATATTTAGCAGTAAAAACAGTTTAAAAGAAAGGAAGGAATATACTAAGGTCTATACTTATAGCTGCCTTTATTATAAAGCTTATAGCACTAAGAGCTTCCCTTTAAATTTATATATTAATTAAGAGAAGTTGCCTTTTTACTAGTAATAAGGCTTTTAATATAATTCTTATATAGTAGATCTTATAAGGTTACTACTACTGCTACTACTGCTACTACTACTACTATTACTACTACTGCTGCTTATAATAAGCTAGCGCTATTATTATTAACCTAAGACTGCATTATCTATTTCTTTAGCTTTTACTAAAAGTAATATAAAGTTAGCGCTTAAAAATATAAAGGATAGAGGGAGATATACTATTTTAAAGAAAGTAGCCTTAGGCATAGTAATAGCTTTACTCTTGCTCTTAAGGTTAGCTTTATGCTTGCCTTTTAGGTTAGCTTTTTTAAAAAGTATAGTAAAGATCTTAAGCAGGTTAATAAAGAGGGTAGTAATAAAGATAAAAGTAATAAGCATAATAATAAAAAAAGAAGAAAAGAGAAGAGAGCAGGAATAGTAACTTAATATATATATTCTATTTATAATATATAAGGCTGTTTAGTGTTTAATACTATTATAAATGCCCTTTTATTTAATTTACATTCTACTGCTTATATTATAAAAAAGCCTTTAAAATAGTAGTATAAACATAAAGCATAAAGCTATGCATTAAAAGGCGCTAAATACTAAGCATTTTATTATTTAATTAAAGTAGTAATATTATAATAACCTTCTTTAAGCATTATATATATAAGCTTTATAGTCTCTTAAGCCTTATATATATATATAAGTATTATAATCTTCTCCTTTAAGCCTTATATATATAAGCGCTATAATACCTTCCTTTAAGCCTTATATATATAAGCATTATAATATCTTTTAAGCCTTATATATATAAGCGTTATAACCTATCCCTTATAGGCAATAATATCTCTTCTCCTTATAATATTAGCTAGATATTAGTATTATAGTTAGTATAGTAGTTTAAAAGGGGTAGCAGCCTTTAGCTATTATATTAATTATATATACACCTGCCCTTTATATATAAGATATTTAATAAAATAGCTAGAGTAATAACACTGCTTTATAATAAAGCGCTTAACTTTTATAAAAGCAGTTAGAAAAAAGGCTTTAAGCCTTTTTACCTATATAAAAGCTAAGTATTATAAAATAAATAACTAGGTTTTTAAATCTAGCCTATAGTATATTAAAGCTAATATATAAAGAGTTTTTGCCTTTTTATTATTCTAGCTATCTTTTTTTATAATAAGATAACCTTTATAAGCAGCAGATTATACCTACTAGCTAGGCTTAAGCGCAGCTATAGTAGCGCTTAGCAAGAGCAATTAAAGGTATAAAGGCATTACCTCTCTTACTATGCTTATAAATATAATCTATAGCTTTAAGAGGGCCCTTTATATTATAAAGCAGCTAGAAGGTTAAGCGTTTAAATCTTATATAAGGCTTCTTTTTATAACTTTTTTTTCTATATATACTATTAAGGCTATTAATAATAAGGCTCTTAATAGTGATAATAATTATAAAGAGGGCAGGCAGGGCGTAATATTAATTATCCGCATCTAATAGGGCGCTAAAGCTGCGCTTGCGCTTTCCACGCAGCAGCTTCGCTTAGGCCCCTATAAACGCCTTTAGCGGGCATCAGACTTGTAACCAAGGTTTACTGTAATAATAACCTGACACCGACCGCAAAAGCACTCGTGAAATCATTTCAAGTCGGCATTCAAAATGCCCGATCTAGTATTGGCTTCAATCTACTCAGCGCATGCATGATGCTCACCTGGGTGATGATGCAGACGGTTTATCAGAAGTATAGTACGTATGCACTGACGAAGCAACGCCATTGAGCGTAACGGCGACTGTTGAAGGGTTTCACGCTACAAGAGAAAGAGCAAGATCAAGGAAGAAAACGCAACATCAGTGAAGTGCGAAAAGATAATCCAAAGCAAAGTATGTTTCTGTTATTCGAACTCCTCCAACATTTGGTTTCGCGCGGCGTCCTCGTATCAGTGTCCCTTTCTCCTGCACATCCTCTACGACGTTTGTCATTCTGTTTGCACAATTTAGACAGCTTCAATCAATGCAGCATCCGGGCTATCAATTAATCGTCTGTTCCGTCCGTCAGGGCTTATTTCGAAGAACTCTCACGGTGCACTCAATATTTGCTTCTCCGCGCCAAATTGTACAATAGTCTCTGCCTCCCCCGGTTGCAAATATGACCACCCGCGTCATCTTGCCAACTACGCCTATTGCATCTCTGCAATCGCCTTTCCACTCTTTGTGCGGGTAGCTGGGTGGTTCATCTTCTCACAAGAAGAACGTTACGGCCAAATTGTGTATTACGGGATGATCTTTGCACTTGCCCACCTATTTTTATTTTGAGAGCCTCCCGAAGGATTTCCACTTCCAGAGGGCTGCAGAAGTGCTTCCATGAGTCTTGGTGCTGCTGCAGTAACGCTGACTGCCTGAGCTGTTGCCTATGTTTTCCTCCTCGTCGAGGCGCAGGGGCAAGGTAAGCCCGCGCCACCAAATGCAACATCCGCACTGAAATTGGGTCGGTCCCGAAGATGAATACGGGTGTTAATGTTTGTCCAAATTCCTGATTCAGGAAAAAAGCTGTCATCATTAGTCGACAGCTAAAACGGGCACACCAACCCTCGAGTCTCCCCTTTGGATATGTAATACCCCATCTGTCCGTGTACGATTGCGGACTCCAGTCATGTATACGTGGGGGAAAAGGCTCGGTCAGCATCCGTTACAAGGAGATGCTAAGTTGCATGCAATGACTACCTCAACCATTGCTCAATGGCCCAATCATGTTCTTCTTTGAGGCTCCGGAATGGATACTGACTAAACGGAATAAGAATGAACAGAGAGGTGCTCAGAATTGTGGTGATTGAGCCAGAACAGGGCCTTCGATGGCTCTTCAGTATGCTACGGAGTAAACATCTTGATGTGACGAGGGTAGGGAAATAAGCTCAAGCCAAGCGGCGATTGGCGAGAACTCCTGAGCCGTCGGACTCTTGAACCCAGTGAATGTTATAATCTTGGTAAGGACGTAATGGAGAGATCGATGCACCGTTCTTGACACGATTGCCCATAGCACTCACCTTGCGTTGTTTTGTTCTTCTGCCGCCGATAGAGAGTCACGCACTGTATGTACATACCCTAAATACTACCTTAGTAGGCGAATGCGCTTCCTTGTTCAATTTGTATGTAGGTAGTAATAGATGTAGTCAAGCCCATAATAAATATTCGCTAATCTGAGATCGTTCCAAGCCTATCATGAGTGACTTATAAGATCTAAAGCCTCACTAAGGGATACCCTACAACTACTGAATTGGCTCGAAGAGAACTAAGGGAGCTGTTATCATGTAATGTGAGCCACGGCTATTCACGGGCTACTGGTGAACGATGACTTCAGAATCGATGGAGTAGTTTTTCCTTCATATGTTAGTGCCAACTTTCGAAGACGAACCGCTGATACCATGTTGCAGACTGCCATAAATGGCCTTTCTTATTTTTTACCGGGTTGGAATAAGGCCGTAAGTCGTCGCTTCAGCCACTTCAGCCACTTCAGCCTTCGAACGTCTTCACAAAAAACGGATGCGAGCGATGTGACCCATCTGAGATAGAATCCGGCGAAAGTAGGAAGATTCAAACAGACTCTATTGTCGAATAATTTTAACACCTTGGAATGATTAAGGCTCTACGCCTGCACACGAGTCCCACAACGGAAGCAATAATACACAGCTTTAACTTCGGTACCGACTTCACAAACTTCACAACATCAGCAATAAAGACGACCCTCGGTCCGACTGGCTCCGTAATACGAGTTCTGGCGCGCTAACCAATGCAGAAGTGCCCATGTCGCGATTCACGCTCACTTGATCCGATGTTCTGCTTTACCTCAACGTTCAAACTCGATCAAGTCCATTTCTTCTAGTATCAAGTAGCCTGGACTTGCCGAATCAAAGGAGAACATGGTCGAGGCAGAATCACAGGCTGCGAGCCTTTTTGGGATTGTTGCTCGGGCAGATTTTGTCAGTCTTAAAGAGGTGCTCGCTCTAAAGCAAGTCGACGTCGAGAGTCGAGATCCTGCTGGTCGAACTGCCCTACATCTGGCCGTACTGGCGGGGACAGCAGACATATGCCAGCTCCTGATCGACCATGGCGCAAGTTTGGACACCTGGACTAGGCAAGGCGAAGCGGTAGTCCATCTGGCCGCTAAGAGAGGCGATGTTGATGTTTTGCGCGTGGTAATGGATGCTCTTGAGTCGAAGCCACAAGCAAGTGGGAACGAAGACAAACCCGATGGAAAGACAGCAGTGGGCGACAAGGCAGATCTGACCGTTCACGTGGACTCTCTGACGCACAAGTTTAACATGTCGCCACTCTATATTGCGGTCGCTTTAGGTAATATCACATAGTAATTCTCTGGTATACGGAATGTTCACTGATGGGAAGAAATAGCACACCTCGAAGTGGCAGAGTTGCTATTGACGAGATACCACGCAAGGCCCAATATCGTTGTTGGTCATGCAGACATGCACAAAGGAACAAGGACTGTTCATATCCTGGAAGCGGCGCTTCAGCATCCACGCGACGCTTGTCGTTCCCTCCTGAGGCTGCTGCTTCAACAGGGCGCAAATCTGCTTGACGCTTCATCACACACAGTGACAGAGTCTCTATTTTTCATGATCATGAAGCGGGCCGAAGATACATTCGACATCTTCGCCGAACTTGACGCTGAAAACTTCACAAGCGCAATTACCAAGGGTCTCTGGATTGATTCCATGAAGTGTCACTGTGCGCTGACAGGCGTGATCCATCTTGGACTGGAAGAGACCGCCTTCAAGCTGCTATCTTATGGAGCCCCGCCACATCTGGACTTCAAGTCCCCTCTTGAGATTCAGTCAGACACCAGCCCTTTCGGAAAAAAACCCCTAGACAGGGCCGAGGGTGATTTCTGGCAACCAATCTTAAGCGCCGCTTTGTTCGAAATGCCTGGACTGGTGATGGAATTGCTTGATCGTGGGGTCGATCCAAATACGAGGCTGACAGAAGACCAAGCTCGCTACATGATCAATCAACGTGAATGCCGCACGGTCTTGGATATTGTCAAGTCAAAGCTCGTCGAGCTTCGTAGCTGGAACATCGATGATGAGAGCGTCTACTACGAGATCAAAGGGACACCAGAAGAGGCCGAGCAGCGCGCTGGGAAGCAGAATGCAGTAGCCCGGCTTATTGAAGCATATGAAGAAGCGGAGGCGAAGCTGGTTTCTCTGGGTGCTCAGACATCTGATGGACTGAACTTACAAGATCCTCAAGCCCCGGTTTCTCAACCGTCCTCCAAGAGAATCCAGTTGCATCCGCCGCCTACTGAGACAAACGCTCGACCATTACATTCTTCCATGGATATCGACCCGACGAAATTGAGTACGGTGGAAAACGGTCGCCAATTTCTGTAAGGTGTCTTGAATTTCTGTTCATGCTTGAGCTTGTGTGTTGACATGTGGTTTTGATCAGGTTGGCCGCTTGCCGGGACGGTAATATTGCGTTGGTGAAAGCTCTAACCTTAAGCCCATGGGGTCCTAACCTTAAGTTCCCCCCGATCGCGATAGCAGATGTATCTGGATATTCTCAGGGCCCTTTCCTTGTTGCGGTTGAGAATAGACACTACGATTTAGCCCGCACTATCGTTCAGATTGCCACAGCTCAGCACGTCAACTTCGCGGATGACGTGTCATCTGATTTCTGCAATCAACTGGCCGACGATGAGCATTCTGCGGACAGCATCAAGAAAGTCTCCGCTCAAGTCAAGTCCACAGTGACTGCGAAGAAGATCGTTGCGGATAGTCACAGCTGTTTTGCTGGTGAGAAGCACAAAGACATGGACATGCTAAGATTTTCTATCAAGATGGAATCTTCGTTTCCCCGTGAGCAGAGCGACATTGAACGCCAGACTCGGCATGCATGGGATCTTGTTGAACATGGCGACTGGCCTGAAGCCTTTGAAGAATACATCAAAGCTACTGGTGCACCGTTTCGGCATGCCGTGAGCCAAGGTAAGTTGAAGGGGAAAAGTCAACTGGACAGACTCCACCAGCTGTCGCCTTTGCTTCAATCTGCCTGGTCGGGGAATATCGACATGGTGCGCTTCTTCCTGGATACAGACAAGGCAATGGCGGCATACAAGCACTTTGCAGAGAACACAGATTTTTCGAGCCGCAAAGCCGGCCCTCAGGCTTCCCGAGCAGAGTTTGTGGACGCGGTGGAGAAGTGGATGAACAAGCGAAGTACGTATTGCCCAGTCTGGATCTTCAACGGCGTATTCGTTGATAACCGTTTCGTGTTAGAGAACCTTGTATTGCATTGTGCAGTCATCTCGCGAAACGTTGATCTCGTCAAGTTTCTATTGTCGACTCATCCGGAGCTCCTCGAAGTCCAATCGATCGATGGGTGGACGCCCTTGTTAACGGCAGCTCTCCACCACAGAATTGAAGTTCTTCATATCCTTCTCGAAGCGGGAGCTAGCCCATTTGCCACTGATCTGTTTGGTCGCAATATGCTACACCTTCTTTTGGTCAGCCCAGGTCAAGGCTATATCCAGGAGCCCGAAAAGCTCTCCTCCTTCCTCCAGTCAATGGATAGATCGGTGCTGCATCAGCTACTGGGGCAACGCTGTGATGAAAGTCCCGGCGGGCTGACACCTCTCGCACGTTGGATCCCTACTAGACCTACACCGAATGGACTATTTACAACTCTGTTAGATGTTTCTACATCGGCGGCGATGGAAATGTTTAATAGCAGAGGTCATACGGTTCTCCACACTGTACGTTCTGCTCCTTTCCCACATCCTTATTATTATACTTATTAGAAATAGAGGCATTAATATAGGAAGTACTAGTATAAGGGCTATAAGGATTAACCTAGCTATTAAGCATAAGTAAAAGCTATACTCCTATCTAGTTATAGGATATTAAGTAAGCTAATTAATATATATTTTAATAGGTTATAAGCCTGGCTTTTATTAAAAGCTGCTAAGCATTACTAAGTATTAATACTTTTAAAATTAGCTAATAACTAATCTTATTAAGCTATTATATCTTAATTAAATACTAAAATAGTTAAAGAAATTTAATTAACTAACTAAGATTAAATAAGGATTAACTATTAACTAAGATAGCTAAGATTATTATTATTAAATAACCTAATTACTAGCCTTACTTTTTATTAATATCTTTCTTTTAATAATTAAAATAATTAAGATTAAGAAGATAAAGATAAAAAGGCTTAAAGCAGCAAGACCTTTAAATAAATAAATAAAAATCTTAAAAATAATAAAATAATAAGCATTCTTTTATTACTAAGTAATATAAATATTTATAATTATAAAGTATATATATTACTATAGCTAAATTATTAACTAGTTAAAAATATAGCTTAAAAATATATTAATCTTAAAAATAGTATTATTATATATATAATAGCTAGTTTAAAAATTAAGCTTATAGCTATTAATGCTTTAAGCTTATAATTATTATTAACCTTAAAAAAATATAAAGACTATTTTACTTAAAAGTATTAGCTTAAGTTAATTATAAACTTTATAAAAGTAGAAGATTTATTAAGTATTTATAATATTAAAGATAAGGTTTTAAAAAGTTAATTAAATATATAAAAAAGTAAGTAATATTAATATATTAGTATATTTAAAACTATATTATTTATCTTATTAAGTAAGATAATAAGTAATAAAAAAACAGTTTAATATATATTTTAATATATAAAAAAGGAATTTTAAGAGTTAAGGCTTAAAGCCTTATAAATAATATATAAAGAATAAAAGAATTATATTTTTATATTATTAAAGTTAGTTTAAGACTTTACTTAGAAAATTAAGATTATTTAAAAGAGATTTCTTTAAGCTAGAAGTTAATATAAGCTTTTTAATAACTATTTAATCCTTAAGTTTATTAATAGCCTAAGTAATTAATACTTAGTCTAGTATATTAACTTTTAAATAAATTATAATATAAATATATTTCTTATACTAAATAGTATTATTTAAAATGCTAAGGCTAAAAAGGTTAAATAAAAAAGCAGTATAATAATATAAGCGTTATTAATATAAAAATAACCTATATTAATAAAAGATAAAGACTTAATAATAATAAAGATACTAAGATATATATATTATAATAAAATATATTATATTAAAAATAACTGCTAAGATTTATATTTAAATAAGTAAAAGAAATAAAAGGATTATAAATAATATAAGTTAAAAGATTATAAATAAAAGTAAAGACACCTTAGGTTTTAAAATCCTGCTTAAATATCTCTAAATAAAGATAATTAAGCTTTATTTTTTATAATAATACTAAAGGATAAAAAACACTTTATTACTTTTTAAGGAATATAATATTATTATTATCTTATAGCTTAAAAAGCATTTAAATTCTTAATTTAAAGTATAAGTAATATACTATATATTATATTAAAGAATTTACCTTAAAATCCCTTTAGCCTTATAGCAGTATACTTAATAATATAAAAGACTTTAAAATTACTATTAAAAAGGTTAAAATAATTATTTAAAAGTATATTAATAAGAATTAATTTATTATAATTATATTTATAAAAGTTCTTTTTATATTTACTTTTAAATTAAATTTTATTTTTATAACTTAACTCCTTAATTAAAAAGGGAAAATATAAGTTATTTAAAATAGCTAAATAATTTAAAAAGGTAATACTTAAATTATAATAAGATAATTTAAAAATCTATTTATCTTTTAAACTAACTCCTTACTTATATAACTATTAATCTTTTACTTTATATAAGTCTTTATCTTTTATATTATTAATCCTTAAATATAGCTTTAGTATAATAAAATAGGATATTTTAATAATAATAATCTTATTAAACTTAAGGATATAATAAATAGCATAAATACTACTTAAAAGTATTACCTTTATAAGCTCTATCTTTAAAAAAGGATAAAAGAAAAATTATATTAAGGCTAGCTATAATAAGGTAAATATATTAAAAATATAATTTATATTAATATTTATAAACCCTTTTATATACCTAGCTATAAAAAAGAGAGATATTAAATAACTCTAGTTAATAGCTATAGTAGATTTAATAATAGTAAGGCTATTAAAAATAAGTAAAGAGTATAAGAATTTATATAATACTTTATATAATTTTTTAAAAAAAAAAAGCTTTAAAATTAGCATTATTATATTATATATATAAATAATATAAAAGAGTTTAATAATAGTAACTTTAATAAATAAACAGTATAATATAGCACTATATTAAAAAGCTTTTTTATAAAGTAGTATTAATTTAATAAAGTTATAAAAAACTTTAATATTATAATATAAAATAAATTATTACTTATAATAATAAAAAGAAATATCTTAAAGTAATACTAGTTAAAGATTTTAAAAACTATTAACTATTTATAAAATTATAGCTTTTATAAAGCACTAGATAAAATACTATTTAAATATATCTTTAAGTAATAGCTAAATATATTAAATATTAAGATTATAAGCACTATAGCCTAGTATCTTATTCCTTAAGCTTAATATAAAAAGCTTAATAATAAAGGCATTAAATATATCCTACTTAGCTTTATAAAAAATACTATATATTACCTACTTATATTAAAAAGGAGGGTAATAAGTTCTTTAAATATATACTTTAAGTTAAATGCTTTATAACTAACTATAACTATATACTTTATTATAACTTAAATAAATATAAATCTCTTTACTTCTTTACTATTAATATAAAAAGAAAAACAGTATTAAAAATTAAGCTTAGTTTAATTTACTATTAAAGTAGCTATAGTATAATTAGCTATTATAACTATTATTATATTTATAAACTTAAAATAAGTAAAGCTATTAAAAAAAGTCTTAAAATATCTTAAACTTTAATATTTAATATATAGTTAAGTTTCTTTATATAATATACTAGCCTTTATAGCCTTAGCTAAATCTTATATTAATAATATTAAGCTAATAACTTATAAAAAAGCATAATATAGCTTTTTCTTTAATAAGTAGTATAAAGGGATATTAAAAGAAATATAAGCTTTAAAAGAAAATAAGACTTAAGATTTAATTAACCTAAACCTTAGTATAAATATATTATAAAAAAAATAGGTTTATAAGCTAAAGAGAGGTCTTAATAACTAAGTTATTAAGTATAAAGCTTATTAAGTAATTTAAGAATATAAGCAGATTATTAAAATTAATTATATAAAGACTTTTATATTAATAGTTAAACTTATAACTTATAAGGTATTATTTACTATTATAGCAGCCTTAAACTTAAAAATAAAGTAAATAAATATTAAGACTATGTTTTTTTATAATAAAGTTAAAGAAAATATTTATATTAACTAACTTACTAGCTTTAAAAATAATATAAGTAAAGTCTATAAGCTATAAAAAGTATTATATAGTTTTAAGCAGGCTTTATAAGTATAGTATAAGACTTTTACTAACTTTTATTTAACTTTTAGCTTTTATATAATCTTAGCTAATAGTAGGCTATATATAAAAAATAGCATCTTTATTATAATCTATATAAATAACTTACTTATTATTAATAAGGATAAGTTAAAAATAAGTAAACTTAAAAAAGCTTTTTATTAATAATTCTTTATAATAAATCTTAGCCTATATTACTATTACTTAAGGATTTAAATATAATATAATAAAGTAAGAAGGATAATAGTCTTAGACTAATAAGGCTATATTTAAAAGATCCTTTACTAATATTATATAATAGACTATACTTTAGTATTAACCTTAATAATAAAAAAATAGTTAAAAAAAGCTAGAAATAACTATATATACTAGCTTAATAAAAAAAAAGAGTATTAATTTATAATAGGATTATTAATATACTTAATATTAAGTATAAGACTTAACTTAGCTTATATTATATTTATTATTAATTACTACTTTAATAACCTTAATAATATATATAAGCAGGCTATTAAGCATATACTTAAATATATTTAAGAAATAAAAGACCTCTGCTTTATATTTTATAATAATTTATAACTACTTTATAACTATAATAACTTAAACTAAGCTAATAACCTTAACACTTAAAAATTTACCTTAAGTTATATTTTTAATATTAAGAGTAGTAAAATCAGCTAGTCTTTTAAGCAGTAAGTAATAACTACCTTATTAAGCTATAAGGCTAAATATATAGCCTAGATAAATACTATTAAAAAGGCAATCTAGCTATAAAGACTCTTTATAAAATTATAAATTAACTTTTAAAAAAAATATATTATAAACCTATTATTAACTTTAGTAAAATCCTTATTTTTAAATATTATAATTATTTATTATAATAACTAAAGAGTAATTATATTAATAAAGAACTTAATAAACTATAAGGGATTAAAGCATATTAAGACTTAATAGCATTTTATTTATAAAAAAGTTAAAAGTAAAAAGATTAAGCTAGAATATATTTTTATAAATAAGATAGTTATAAATAAGTTAACTAAGCCTTTAAAAAAAAACTACTTTTTAAAATTTTATAAAGCCTTAAGCTTAAGAAGAATTATTAAAGTAAAAAACACTAGTAAAAAGACCTTAAAGCTATAGCTATATACTAATAATAAAATAAAGCTTTTTAAAAAAAAGTTAGTAATACTAAATTAATAAGAGTATATTCTAGGCCTTATATATAAACTACTTTATTATTAAGGATAGTAAAAGCAGTAAAAGCTATAGCAGTAATAAAAGCTGCACTTAATTTTCTTATATTACTAAGTAAGAGTGTTAAAAATAGGGGTATTAATATAAAAAGTACTAGTATAAGGGCTATAAGAGTTAACCTAGCTATTAAGTATAAGTAAAAGCTATACTCTTATCTAGTTATAGGATGTTAAGCAAGCTAATTAATATACATTTTAATAATACTTATGCAGCAAACTTATCAGAATGCATGCACAGGTAGCATATTCGTCTATAGAGCACCTCGTACGTCCTGTTTTTAAGAAGGCCCCTCCTGTTATGTTCCACAAAGACACCGACGGGAAAACACCGCTTGACCATGTTGTCGAGAAGCAGCTTGACGGATTTATAGAACACTTGATGTCGAGCTACACCCGAAATCGCAAATGGCAAGCGTCTTCTCCGCTTGTCCACTGGCCGCTATTCGCGTTTGCTTCCGATTATGCCGGGCCGACGTCTTCAACAGATCCATACCAAGCATGGGAAATTAGCCGAGAGCTGGCCGAATCCGTGAAGCCTCGACAATTCCCCAGAAAACTTGTGACAAAGATCGAGCGGGAAGAGGTTGCAATGATGTATGTACAAGCATAAGAGCCACATGAATGCTGGGACTAACTCAAGAGCAGGTCGAAGAATAAAAAGATTCAGAAGAACCCGAAAGGCGACCAGCATGATATTGTATCTTTATCGGTGTATAAGCCCGGAAATCTGTGTTGGTGAGACACGGTAGTTGCTTATAGAGATTAATATATTTTGCTTGTATCACCCTTGTCTTGTTATTCTATGTCAACGAATCAGCAAGCCGATGCCTAAACATGACGGGGTGGTGAACTAGTGAGTGATATTGTTTAGCTGTCTATTACGTCCAATTCCAGAGATCTCCACACGGTAGAGTTTCTTTGTGGTTGGCCACTTACATAGAGAGGTCGAAATTCTTTGCATGAAGCTGTAGATCTCCGTCATCTGCTGTCCTGGACCCTTCTGTAGATGAGTGAAAGCTCCCATATACTATGAGGTTAGGCTCTCCGTTTTATACCAGCAATCATCTATGTGAACTCCATTATATACAAGTCCTTGATTCATGTTCCGCTCTTCAGTTAGCCAGAGGCCAGCAATATTGGCCCAACCGCACCCGCAAACCATTCTTTTACATCTTCGGCGGCTTGCCGGGCTCGAACCGCAGAATTGCATCAAAGGAGCGCAGTGGCCGCCTTTTTGGCGCTAGCTAGCTGGTGATTCTCCATGTCTTGTATCATCTGTATCATTGTTGCGGTCGGCGTCCCTCTATAGGCTCCCAAGTTTGCCTCGGGAAATGTCAATGTATCAAGGCTTTTTTGTTTTATAGGCGGCAGGCTCGGCGATGATGATACGGCAAGACGGATACCGAAATATACTTTGGTGAGACGAGACGTCCCTCTAAGCCATCCAACAGATTTGTGACAACAATACTTGCGCAAAGTATTCATGTTTTACGCTATTAGTCCGATAAAGGCCGTGACGACCTGAGCATTACGGTAATGGTTGAAGAAGCTAAGTAAGTACAGTTGCTATGTCAAAGGGACAGGCGCCCCAAAGGGAAGAATCCTTTGCTTCGTTGATCACTCAGGTTGGTTTAGTATTCGACCGCCATCGATTACTTGATGCTTATGATACATGAATGCTTCGTGCCCGGCATTGCAGGCCCTGGTACAATGATCACAAGGTGGAATAGCCACCGTCCCTGACGAAGGCGAGTGCCAATTAGATGGATGGCTCGGTCAGCCATGTTCTTGACAGCCCATGCCAAGCTGCTTAAAGCATGAGAGCTAGCCTGATGTGGGACTTGGTGCCGTAATTCGTTTGCCGCTTTTGGAAAGACAATCTGGATAGCGTTGCCCGGGTCGATCCGGGGCTTGAAAGCACCAAGTCAGAAGAGCCTCAAGTACACTTGGAGCGTTTTGAATGGAATCTTATGCTTACACAGCTTGATTACTCACTTTGGCAATCAGGAATCTCCTTTTAACACTTTCGTTGCGAAGGTTATGCTGCCAAATTGATTCCGTTCGCTCCGATGCTATAGAGTCACAAATTCAAATACAAGGGATGTCAAGGGCCATAGCAGGTTATATAAATGCCAGTGATCCCTCAGTCTTAACTCGAGATTGAAGTCGTACTGAAAACGCTGTTTTCTGTATCATCTTACAAGTGTATTAACACAAGTTTCACACTTGCTACTTCTGCCACACTTAATTAATTATTCATCACCTGCCAAGCTTACGACAACGGCAACTCCGTCTTCATCTTCCCGAGTTGCTCAATCTGCACGCCCATAACTCACGTTGCATCAATATGGCTTCCAAGGACTCGCTTCTGTTCACCCCTCTGAAGCTGGGCAAGATAGAGCTTAGCCATCGAGTTGCTCTCTCCGCCCTGACAAGGCTCCGCGCAGATAAAAACCATGTCGCTACAGATCTCATGAAAGAGTACTACCTCCAGCGGACTTCTCTGCCAGGCGGCCTTATCATTGCTGAATCCGCCTCGGTAGCCAGTCACCATGGCGGCATGCCTCATACCTCCGCCATCTGGGGCGAGGAGCATGTGCAAGGGTGGAGGCCAATTGTTGATGCGGTTCACAAAAAAGGCGGCTTCATGTATCTTCAGCTCATGGCGTTCGGAAGAGCCGCCCAGCCTTTGGCTGCGGAAGAGGACGGATTCACGATCAAAGGCCCTAGTGCCATTCCCTTCGAAGGAGGCGCAACGCCAGAGGAGATGACGGCGGAAGACATCAAGAGCACGATCGAGGATTACGTCCAGGCTGCTAAGAATGCCATGCGAGCTGGTTTCGATGGCATTGAGCTCTACGCTGCCAATGGCTACCTTCTCGACCAATTCATTCAGGATGTGAGTAACAAGCGCACCGATGAGTATGGCGGAAGCATCGAGAATAGGAACCGCCTTGTTGTAGAAATTGCGCAGGCCGCCTCCGCCGCCATCGGCGCGGAACGTGTCGGTATAAAGCTCAGCCCATGGTCCGAGTTCCAAGGCATGCGGATGGAGAATCCCATTCCCCAATTTACCGATCTAATCAAGCGAATCAACAGCCTTGGCCTCGGCTATCTGAACCTTATTGAGTCCCGTGTTTCTGGAGTCGATTACACGGATGGCACCGAGAAGCTGGACTGGGCGTGGGCGGTCTGGGACAAGACCATCATCGCGACAGGAGGCTATCTACCAGAGACGGCGCTTGAATTGGCTGAGAGGAATCCGGATAGAGATATCATTGTCGCCTTTGGAAGGCGATATGTCTCGAACCCCGATTTGCCGTTCCGTATCCAAAGAGGCCTTGAGCTAAACCCCTACGATCGAAGTACATTCTACAAAGTGGGCGCTCCTGAGGGACTGATCGACTACCCGTTCAGTGAGGAGTATTTGGCGTTGAAGAACTGATGGAGATGATGGCCATAATAGTACCTAGCGGCAGCCACTGCAGCTACCTGATCTGATACACAAGTATCTTAAGCAAAGCCGTTGATGTTTTTGCCGGAATTTGATCGTGGAGAATGATCGCTTGAGAGAGTTCGCAAGGTGAACAAGCTTTAGATAACCAAGTAATAAGTGTATAGAGATAAGCAAGTGGTATCATATAGTGGTATCAGCAAAGGGAATATGCAAAAACATCTCGGACTAATATGCCGGCTAATCATATAATGCCCTGGGTATCATCAAACCAAGCCCAGAAGTACCAAAACGCCGTGCTCTATGCAATGCTCATATCATCCAATTTGAGGATCCAACTTCTCAAGCCATCCGAAACTTCGCCGCTGCACCCAGCCCTGCCAGGATGACGACCATGCCTCGAGAACTAGCTGCATTATGAGGACTCCAACCGCATCCATGCTTGACTTCGCCGCTGCCTCTGACCCTGTCAGATTAACGACCATGTCAAAGGATGATGCTGTCAGTGCCCATCACGATGCGCTACCAGCTACTAACACTAGTGGACTGCCCGCTGCTCCCAGCCCTGCCAGGTTAACGGGTATGTCCTCCAGCCAGCTGGTGCTCAGAATTTGGATCCCCACGCATCTATCACCGTTTCGTGCCTGAAATTTCCCGTGCCTTGCCGCTGTCGTCGAGACACCACAGCTCGCATGCGGAATCTCGTCGAGAAGACCGTTTGGAATGTAGAAAGTTCTCCATAGCCGGCGAATATGTCTCCTTTCGTGGCTGGCGTCGATTGTTCTTCTTGTTTTTGCGCTCTTGTTGCCGAGGCTCTTCCATTGGCACGGAGCTGCGTTTTCCGATTCGCTGATAAGGAGTTACACTTCTCCTTCTGCGCGGAGGCGCTTTTGGTAATCCAGAAGATGGCATTGGGTGTGGCTTCAAGGTGGAGTGTCGGGCCTGGGGGGTGATCTCGTCGACGATCGTGCGTCCAAAGTCTTCGCGTTCGCCCGCATCGCTGTCTGATGGTTCTGGACTTGGCATTGATTGTTGAAGGAGCATGTGGTGATAATCGCACTCGCATACGTAACCCGCCATCGCAGCCGCGCCTGCTATCTGGAAGGCCAGGACTCCCGGTTCCATTTCCTCCGAGGGTTTGGGCTCATATGGGATGGTCGGCCATAGATCAGAAGATGACTCGCGTGAAGCTGTTGTTTCTTCGCTGGTAAAACTCGGTACCTCCTCTTCCTCCGACACGTCTTCGATGCTCGGCCATAGCTCTGCGGATTTGCTGTTTGAATCTGTTGTTGCGTCGTTTGGACCTGTGCTCGTCCTGGCTCGTTTCTTTTTCGGCTCTTCGTGAGGATCTGGTGGTAGAGGTCCGACCCTCTTGCGTTTCTCTCGTCGTGTATCCTTCGTCAGTGATGACTCGGAGTGAAGCGTATCGCGAGGCTGGGTTAATCTGGCCCTCTTGGGCGGCGGGAGCGGGTCGCTGGATTTTCTCTTGGGCATGGTGGCGCTGAGTTGATGGGCGCTGCAGTATATTTGTATGAAGAAGCCAGCGACGATGCGCTGGGTGAGGTTGAGTATTTGTCGGCGCTTTGATGATGGCGGTTCGATACCTGTAGATGCAGGCTCGTTGTTTGGCGGAGGGCGGCACACCGCAGCCAATCTGACGATCGCACCACGTGACCCCGCGACATCAATCAACCAGCCCTGTGCAGACGCGATGGAGACGAAAAGCAGCAAACCAGCGTATCGCAAATGAGCATCACCCGGGCCTGCTCTAATCTCATCGCCTCATCGCCTCATCGTCGCTGTATGAAGTAGCAGCTTCACAGCCTTTATCCTCGCTTCTCACCCTCGATTGCCGCCACTCCTGGAGCCTCTCGGCTTCACTTCAAGTGAACGGCCACCGCCATTTTCTCCACCAGCCTCTCTGGGCTCCCTTCCAAGTCAAAGAGCCATCGCCATTCCCTCCCTAATTGATTGCTCAGTCGTTCTCATGACGAATTTCAAGGCCGCTTCCGATGGCGCGCCGGCCGCTGCAGCCAGCAGTGTTGATTTTATCGCCTTCTCTGCTGTTAACGAGGCTGCCATTCACCTTCTCGAGACAATACAGTGCAAATCATCGCCTCCAACTCTAAAGAGCAACGAGAACGAAATCGGGTACCGGTTATCGATCCGATTACCTTGCGACGAGATCAGGCCTGAAGACTTCAGATGGAGCATTGGGGCCGGTCCATCTCCGGCCATGGTTGAGAAGCGCTTATGCCGCCATCGTCAACCAGATATTCTCCTGTGTCCGCCAGGAAGGACGCCGAGCTCTGCAGCAGTTCGCCGGTTCATCAAAGACATGCACGCCATGGTTCATTTCCACCCGCAATCTGGCGTCTTGCTGCTCAGGTCGATCTCTGGTCGGCCAATCGTCTACGAACAGGGCGACGTGGATGATGAAGATTTGATACTGGATGTGATGGCGCATCAAGGCACATGCGTCCTCAGACGGAAGCGGAATTATCTTCGTTTCGGCGAATATCGCTTCGCATTGGAATTCGTCACCACAGACGAAGACCGTGCTAAGATTTCAGAACAGCTGGACAAGAATCTCTATTGCTGCTACAATGGTTGCCGACCCTCTGAACTGCTTAACTTTATACCCATACATCCCTCTGAGACTTCCTGGAACGTTTGGCTGCACCGAAAGATCCCCAATACATCAATCACTGCGGGCGTCCATATTATCACGGGACAGCCGGTTGCAGTTAAGGAGCTGCAAGTCAACTCTCAGACGCGAGAGGATGTGCTTCATCGCCTCCAGTTCGCCTGTCAGTATTCCAGCAAATCGGATCAGGGCGTTCTGGGCATCATCGACACTTGGTGCGGACATAACACATCGCCCCCATGTCACCTCAGCGAGAATGAGACCGCGAGCGAGGCATCCGATCACTGCCATCAGTTATTCTATTCAATGCCGCTTGCCAAATACAACTTTCTCAACATGCCTTGGGCTGAGGTTCAAGCTAAAACCCGTCTTCTTTTCTTCTACCAAACTCTTGCTGGGCTCGCCGAGCTCCATCGACAAGGAATCACACATGGAAATATTCAACCCGACTCGCTGTTTGTCCTGCCCAGTATCCAACCCTCACCGACGGTGGATCGCTCTGTGCCTAAGAAAGCGGTTATATCGCTTTATATGAGGCAGAAAACGGGCACGCCAAAGCCGAGCATCTATGTTGCTCCAGAGATATGGCGCTGTCAAAACTCCGTGGACAAAGCAAAAGCTGACATATGGGCTCTTGGCGCCTCTTGGCTTTGCGCTTTCTTCCAACTCCCCAGCGGCGTCAAGGTGACCAGGGACTCTTACCGAGTCCTACAAAAGAACATTGATGCCCAGGCCAAAGGGCGCCTTATCAAAGAGCCATTCGCGAAATTACTGCGGAAAATGCTCGCCTGGGAGTCGACCGACAGACCAGGCGCCGAGGAATTGCTTGTAGATGTGATATGGCAACCTGCGCTTGCACGTGCTCGATTCATCGAGGCGAGCAAGAAGCGGAAGCGAATGGAGGAGATACATCAGTCCTTCACACGGCCTAGGAGAGTAAGGCTGCTGTCTCCTGATCATACATGATGGCAGGTGAAATGAGCCGCAGCAAAGTAGGGCACTTCGGAGCCAATATCACCCGTTCTTGACGCCTCTCAAGTTTGCCTTCTGGAACTTCTGCACTGTGAGGTGACTTTGGTCTAAGTTCATCTGTATTCTGGGTAGCGTTGCCTCTTGATTTCTTCTGAGAAGGAGGTGTAGCAGTCTCTGGACGAGCCGCTCTTTTCGGTCTTCAGGCACATGCTGCCCATCTGGGAGTGAGTCGCAACAATAAACCTCTTTTCCAACCGCCAGAAACGAGGCCGACCTATAACCCAAGCGACGCACACATTGCTTCTCACGATGCTGCTGCCTGTATGTCCAAGCCGCTCCATGAGCGGTTATTCGCTCATCCAATCATCTGCGCCAGCACCTGCGGGTTTTGCATAATGTCTATGATGTGCTGCCATCCATGCACGGGTGGAAGTCGGAGCGTCGAAAGGGTCAAGACCTGTGCGCCTTTTGCGGAGACGCTTTGGTTGTGGCCTGAGTGATGCCACCAACTTGCGAACTGCTTTCGCCCCGGGGCTTGGATGAGGGCTCGAAGCGGTGTCGGTGACTGCAGCCGGCCATCGCCCTGTTGGTGCAGAAGCCAATACGCTGTGCCTGATTTATATGGCATCAGCTTGCCTAGAGTCCTCAGCGACTCCCCGGCCATTCAATGGGCTGGGACCACCGCGCTGCCTACGTCCTTTGAGTACATAACGTCCCCTTCTAGCGTCGTTGTGATGCGGGCGAGAAGTATGAGGGGCCGTTGTGATGGTCGGGTGACGCAGAGAGGCCCAAGTGCTCCTGTACGGCTATAAGACTTTATTTGACATTTTGACAGTGATAGTCACCTTGGCAGAGATGACACCAGCGGTAGCAACTCCGTCAACACCTTGTCCAACAGGAGACAAAGGCGAGACCAGCGCCAAAGCGCATATATGGCTACCGGCGGCAAAGACGGCCAGCAACAGTCACTCAGCGGGGAGAGACGTACGGCTTCCTAAATGATAGCTGGCAGGGTTGGGTGGCGAATCGACTTGATGAGTACTTCACTTCAAAGAACTATGCCGTAGGCCTCTTGTCCTCGTATATGGCTCATGTCTTACTGAAACAGAGATAGAGCATCACGACGTTGCCAAATTGCAACTGCAGATGAATAGCTCTTCTTTCACGTCGTTTTGTGGTCACGTTCAGCCCCTACCGAGGATACCCGAACAGAGGGTGGCTCAAACAGCCCATGCGAGCAAGTTCCAATGGTCGTTTGAGTGGTCTCGGCAATGGTGCATCCGGAGAAGTATATCGCATGTGGGGAGCTATGTAACTGGAATCCCAACTTTGATCAACGCTCAAGGGAGTCGGGTCCATTCTTCCACATGGAGCAAGCTTCTCTTATCTTGTAAGCTTAATGGTCTCGCCAGCACTTGCCTGTCACATTATCGGATTCGACTGGAGTCGAGGAATTCAATCAGAGACTTTTCTCTATAATGTACCTAGGTACTACCAAATGTGATGTAAGGTAGTGTTGGGAATCGGTTCAGAAAGAAGCTTGATGGTACAGTAAGGTAGCAGCCTGAAAGCCACCACATAATTCCAATCAACTGCTCTGTAGCCACGGAGTTGCCACTGCCCAAAAGATGATTTCAACATGCAGCTCATTAACCGCAAAATTCACAAACTCTTCCTTTGTGAACGGCTTTCCAGTCTTCTCATTGATCTCTTTCAAATCATTCTCTTGAACTGCCACAACCGCAATAGGAACCTTGCAGTGGAACTTTGGAATGTAAACATATGAGTTCGCCTCCTGTCCCGGTTTGTTGGGAATCAAGTCAGGCCCGCCAACGCCGACTCCATGCTTCGCGTAATAGTTGAATGAGTCCTCGAAGCGGTTGTTGGTGTTGTTCCAGCCATCGGGCCAGAAGTTGACGTACTGCACGGCATGGCTCTTCTTGAAGACTTTGGCCGCGTACCCGGCGTTTTCTAATTCTCCCAAGAAGTAACTCTCATTGGTGTAGTTGTTTGCGTTTTCGTCCACTGCAATAGACGTCTCCGCCAGATTGAGGCCGGTAATCGTGCCATCAAACTCCTCGGCCAATGCACTCAAAAGGGCTTGAAAGCGATGGCGAACACGCGGGTTCCATTGCTGCGCTACCCATCCAGTGACCTCAAAGTCGGTGTCGCAAGAGTCACCATCACAAGATGGCGCGCTTCCGTTGTTGTAGTACGGCGTGTGCATGTACTTGGGGACGGGATCATTGCCTGGGCTGAAAGTTCTATCTTGGAGTTGGATCCAGAACTTTTTGCCTTTGGAGAGTACTTTTTGGTAATCCTCTCTGACGTTGGCAAAGTCGTATTGACTCTCGGCTGGCTCAAGAGACTTCCAGCTATATAAGGCTTGGATCCCAGCAATGTCAGGCCTGTCCAGGAGCATTAAGGCCTGGTCGTCCACTTGACTGCTGTATAGCCAATGCTGCAGAGCTGAAGAGACATTGTCAGGGGTGACAGCCAGAGCTTGAGCCCAGAAGGATGCCACAGCGAGGTAAGAAAAGCGCATCTCGAGAGCTTAAATGGCACAAAGTAGGAACAAGAAAAGATTTCTGAGCGAAGAGTAATGTACTGATAGACACTTTTACAGTCACAGGTGTACCGGAGACGTGCTTTTATAGAGGTCAGAAACTCGATGCTCCTCCATATATCCTCTTGTCATCGACTCTTCATCTTCAGGAATACGAAGTTGTTGTTCCTTGAGTCATTTAGCGCTTACGGGGTGGGTTTCACCCTTTTTTACCGCTATAACACGAGAATAACGAGGCGGGATGAGGAGGCCGTTCTCGGCGGTGTATGAATCAATATACCAAGTTGGGTGGAATCTGTGATTTATATGCAAGCTAATACGAGCATCGCCTTGTTCGTATCTTCAGCCAATAGATACATATCATCCGTCCAACCGAGTCGTAATTCCATACAGGAGCAGGTAAAGAGGAATATCTAAGATGCTCGCGCTTCGCAATTACTTGTGGAACGAAAGATTCAACTACAATCTCGTCGAGAGGGTTCTCGGAGACGGCACGGGCTCCAGTCTTGGTGGAGTTAACCCGAGAACATCTGCTGATTCTTACAATCCATCCAGCCTCGATAACTGAACAGAGCTAACGTCACTAGTAAATGACTGAATGAGTGACTGAGAATGCTATAGAAGAGAAGATTGGTGGCAGTGTGATAGAATCGTTGACCATCATGGCGTAAAGACTAACTTGCGTTGCTGGAGACATCCTGGCCTGAGAGCTTGTCCATCTAGACTCACGCCATAGAGAGTGGTAAAGCCACTTCTACTCCGACACTGAATAAAATAAAATGGTTCGTTTTGAGAGAAAATTCATAACTGATTTACTGGGAAAAACTTGATTGCGGCATCTATGCATTGTAATGACTCCAAAAGTACCGCTATTCGGAGCAACTACATATACAGATACTCAGCAAATGCCAGTTGTGTGAAACGTCCTGTCAGCAACAGTGCAAGCCTGAGAATCAGAGACGAGATTGAATGTGGTATATATTAGGTCACTTTTTGAATCAACTTGTTGACGAGAGGGCTTCCTCAGTCCATCATCACGCTGGATAGAATGAACCTAGCACTGATGTTCCCACTGGTCGTTTATCTATGCGGGCGATATGCTGCAGTTTATGAGTAGCTATGAGTCAAGAAAACATAATTCGATAAGATAAAATAAAACGCCGGACCTTTCTCAACAAATTGCCCTAGAACACGCCATGTGCTTTGCAGACTTGGAGGCCTCATGGGGGACACGGTCATGGTATTGTGCACCCATTGCTTGACCACTGATATGTTCAACGCAGCAATTATCATACCGACATTCCTGGGTAGAAGTATGTTGATACCGATGTCTTTCGGCTCATCTGCTAGATTTTCTTCCTCATATCTCGTGTGTAGAATTGAGATGCCATAGTAATAGATCAGAATAACTCTGATGATATTGGTTTTTATAAGGGTTGTCCCGCTTATTACTTATCCGTACGAAGTGCATGTTTCCACAATGATACCTTAGCTTACCTAAGGTACCTATCTAACCGACCTTACATATAAACTGCCAGTCGCATTCTGGGTAAGTGGTGGGTAGTTGCATGTAGATTTACTGCCTAAAAGCTGAGACTTCTTCTGCTTCTTGGTAGATTTCCCCGTTGCCTAGCCAACATCGTAGTCCTCTCAAGTAAAAGGTGCAACTTGCGTTCTTCCTAGGACTGCGGGGTGCTGCTTTTGCAGTCAGCACTCTTTGACTCAAACAAGCACATCAAAGGGACCTACTTGTTCATTGACAAAGCACATCCTAGCAGCCATGGTTTACTTCTCCGCCGTTCGCATAGCCTCCAAGGCGCAGCTTCGCAGGCAATGGATGGTCGGACGTCTGTGGCATTCAACATCCTCAGCGCCCAAGCTTTCGCCATCAGCGTCAGGCACTAAAACGATCTGGGGTACTGGCGCCGTGATCGCGGCTGGAGGGGGAATCTACTGGCTCAGCAGCAAGCCGGCCGGCGTCACACGGCTTGCAGTGCCCATCATCAAAGCATCTACTTCAGAGGAGGAAATCCCCGTGGTGTCGCCAGTAAAAGTACTGGATCTGGAATCTGCAAACGCAAAACTGCGGGAGCAGGCTCAGTCGTTCGTCTTTGATAGCGCAGATGGGGAACAAGGCCGCCTTGATGTCGTCCGAGTTGCCAGTAACGACCCAGTGGAGGATGAATGGTCCATGGGTATTGGAGGCGGAATACAAGGCGAGAAGACGCTGTATGCTGGCATTATGGATGGTCATGCGTGGGTTAGTCCGGGACCTGGTAAGGGAGTTCATGCTAACACGCGATTTAAGCGGCTGGGCAACGTCAAAGGTCTTGAAAGAAGCTCTTATTCCGTACGTGTCTTCTTCTCTTGGAAAGATATCGTTCAACAGCCCTGAAGACGATGTCGATGCTGCGATCAAAAGGGCTTTCACAAACCTTGACAATCGCATCATGACAAACGCTCGAAGAGCAGCCGAAGCAAGTCATGAACCGGGCTCTGCTGAAGCCATTGCGGCTTTAGCTCCGGCTTTGGCAGGCTCTTGCGCGTTGCTTACGATGTATGAGCCCAAGTCCTCTACCCTGAGGACAGCTGTTACAGGTGACTCGCGAGCGGTCCTGGGATCTTGGTCTGCGGCTACTGAAACATTCTCGGCGCAAGCACTCAGCAAAGACCAGACCGGGTTCAACGAAGAAGAAGTGAAGCGGCTGAATGCTGAGCACCCGGGTGAGGGAAATGATATTCTCGATGCTGAAACGGGGAGACTCCTAGGAATTGCTGTAACCAGGGGATTTGGAGACCATCGATGGAAGTGGACGAATGATTTCATCAGATATCTGCAGTCCAACTTTTACGGGAGTGCCCCTCGTCCAAAGTCCAAGACACCTCCCTATATGACTGCTTCCCCAGAGGTGACGACCAGAAGGGTCGCATCCTCAGACTTCGTGATTCTTGCCTCTGATGGCTTGTGGGACGTCATGTCCAACGAAGATGCGGTGACTTGCGTTTCCCGCTGGCTTGCGGCTCGCCGGAAAGGGAGGCCAGAACAGACGGACGACATCAGACTCACTGTGCATACGCTGGATGATGAAGGATTCCTGAGTTACAAGGCAACGCCGGAATACTTCGCTATAGAGGATCTCGACAATGCGGCTGTGTGCTTGGTCAAGAATGCTCTTGGGGGAAGGAGAAGAGGGCTCTTTTGCGGCGCAATGACTGTAGCTACGCCAATGAGCCGCTACATGAGAGATGATATTACGGTGCAAGTTGTCTTTTTTAAGGATCCTTAAAGTGGCATTCTTGGGTCCTTGTCTGGAAGATTCGTTTCGACTTGAATACATAACGGTTATGGCCGTAAGTCGGAGAGCCTTCAACAACAGATCCGGCTACAGGGCAAGAAGCGCTTATGCGTGCTGCTAGAACCAGCTATGTTTTGCGCAACAGATATCTTTGCTTGTTCATGAGATACCCTGCACGTAACTTGCATTCTAGATCCGAGAAGCGGAGCTTTGGCTTTGTAGTGACGCAGGTGACTGTGTCTCGGAGGCTCTATTCTGATAACTTTGGCATTAATTGGAGCAAGGCGTACGTGGTATAAGGAGATACGGGAGAGTTTCCTCGTATGAGCCCCACCTCTCGCGATGAAACTACATGCACAGAATGATGTCTCTTTTCAAGCGAGAGCAGTGAAGATCACAAAGAAGACCACGTAAGACCAAAGGAAAGGACTGCCATAAGGGGGGAAGCGGCGTATGTGCTCAGCGTATACGCATGCAATTGGAGCCAGGACAGCAATTGTGGGTTTCGAGGTTGCCAAGGCTCCTTTTAAGCTCAAGTTCGCCACGCAAGGCCAATAGCAAAAGTACTGCCAGTGCATTTGTACGTGTTTCTCCTTCTATAGTTCTTCTATAAGTGGCCCGACCGTTCTTGCTGCATTTCGAGGGTGCTTATACCGGCTCTGCGGCCTGGATCACATAACCTCATCAGCGATCATGTAGTTCTGGAGCTTGGAGTGCTTCCGTTGTCAATGTGCAAAAAGAAAGAATTCAACAAGAACTCTACAGCTACACTACTGCCTACGAGAAAGAAAATGATACACTAGGCTAATAGTCCATTCAGCAACATCTTTCTCCTTGGGTATGTTTTTACACCTTGGTCCAGAGTTTGCCTTTTGCCAGGTATAGTTTGGAGGCGCCATAGAAGGCAGTTCCAATGGCGATCATAATTCCCGTGAAGACCTGCAGTTTCCAATAACCTCCTCCAGCGGCCGTAATAAGAGCACCTCCGATCGGACTCCCCGTGAGAGCGGCTACAGACATGGTTGCGTACATGGCACCCGATCTGAGACCAATCTCCCGTATATCCGATATCTGGGCTACAAGTGCGGGACTCACAGCCGTATAGGTTCCCGTGCTGAGGCCGAACATGGCTGCAAAGACTATGGTCGTTGCGTGAGATTGCCCAGGTAGCCATACTCCGAAGACCAAGATGGTGGAGAGCGAAGCCGCACAAAACGACACATTGTAATTTCCCACTTTATCTGCCATGTATCCTGGGAGGATGCGACCAATGCCGCTGAATATGAGTAGAGAACTGTTAGCCTCTGTGCAGAAGTGGCCGGCAACTTTTGGTCACCAAATGTCATGGCATATATACCTTGCCCCATTGAATATAGAAACTAGATACCCAGAAAGCACCGTTGACATGCCTCTACTTCTCCCATATGTCACCATAAACGTGATTGGTATGAACATACCCATGGAATAGAAAAATGCGGCCATGGATAGCAGGAGGAAGGGAAGATCCTTGAAGGTTGTAAAGAAGGCTGCAATTCCGAAGTTTTTCGGCTGCGGACGGAAGCGTGATCGAACGGTCAAGTTGGTTATGATGAGCAGACCAAGCATTAGGAACGCACATGATCGCATCGCCCAGCCAAAGCCAATGGTGGGAACCAATTGGTTCACCATTATCGGCATCACGACTCCGCCCAGGCTGGATCCACTGGCGGCGATACCCATAGCGAGGGCACGCTTCTTCTGAAACCACGTGGTGATGCAGCTGAAGGAAGGATATAGGACCATGGCGGCGCCGATGGGACTGCAAATAGACTGGGACAACATGAATTGATAATACTCGGAGGAGATGGACGCCATCATGAGGCCGAATACGTGGACGAGGGCGCCGAGAAGAAGAAGAATGCGAGGACCAAAATGATCAAACAATTGGCCGACAAAGGGACCCTATGGCCAGACGAGAGAGACACAAAGTCAGCGAATAGGCTTAATGAAAGACTTTCCAATCTCAACGTACCGCAAGAAAGATTGTGAACATAGAAACCGCCGGAATCCAAGACACTGTACTTGGTGAAGAGGAAGCGAGCTGGTGGGTTTCGTAATATTCTTGGAACACGCCGACGCCTGCGAGAGGTAGCATGGGTTATTAGCTGCAACCTATCTGGCCAGTCCCATCTTGGCCAATGATGGGGAGGAAGTGTACAGTTTGTCCATCCAAAGCTGACAAAGAGACCGAAGAAAGCTCCCAGAACGACGAGCCACGCCTGCAAGCCTCCGTCTGGAAACGAATGAGAGTCGCCGGCTTTTTCATCAGGCCTTGGCGGCTCTGGACGAACCACCTCTGTGGTAGACCCGGACAATTGACCTTTGCGATGCATTCCGGTGAACGACCTGTTGAGTGTTGGTATCTCCAAGCATCAAGTTGAACAGTTCTGTTGTGGCAGAGTCAGTTGCTGAGGGTTGAGTCACTTTCAAGGATTGGGCGTGGTCACTGACATCCGCGCCCTTTGAGAATTTCGGAGGTCCGAATTGTCCAACCACGGCCCGTGCTCCGTGTATGCAGAGTAGCATGCACAAACCGAGTTGTTTTCTAGTAAATACCTGCCGATAATCTGTAACTTATTGCCGTCTCCTGCTCGGCGATGGCCGTGAGGGACACCCTTGGCTACCGCACACTGCAGAGAATCTCTTCATACCTAGGAAGCATCTTGGCGTCCCGCGCTTTATGAGTCACGTCCTATAGCCGGAGCCCATACCTTTGCCTCTCCAAGACATACATACCCAGGACGGGAGCAGCACTCCAGTGCATGTTTGGTTGAGTAATCTATGAGCTGGGAATTCTCTCGTACTTTATGCGAGAGCACGGATGCTACTGACATGTGACGCATGATTCCATCACATATTGACAATGTCCATCACGGTCAACCAAGCGACCAGCCGACTCTATTACATAACAATTTCTTGCCGTGGGACTCCCAAGCGTGAAATTTTGCAATGACGCTGTCACATCAGTTGCTGGCCTTCAATACATGCTGCAGAATATGAGACGTCTGTTGTCGATGGAATGATTTAGCGCACTCTAAGCCGGAGTGGCGTCTTATTACGCTCATCGGAGAAGTTATCCCAAGCGAAGCTGCGAAGCAGCTGAGCGCAGGGATTACCGGAGAGTTGCTGCTTCGAGAAGTTATATATGGCTATGGAGCTGTATAGCCGCCATCCACGATGAAATCAGCCCCAGTTGCGTAAGAAGAAGCATCGGAGGCCAGGTAGAGGTAAATGCCCTGCATCTCGACCGGCTCCGCGAAACGCCTGGAGGGGTCAGTCTATCGTCTTTATACATACCTTATACTTGATTCCTTCTACTCACCCCATGGGGATCTTATCTTTGATCGAATTCATTGTCTCCTCTGCTACTGCCCCCGAAAGGCCGGTGTGGACAAATCCAGGCGAGACGCTGTTGACTCGGGCAAATCCAAGCCATTCAATGGCGAGAGATTTACCTGGGTTCAATACCACATTAGCGCACAAACGATGCGCGATGTGCCCATAATCAAGATACGGTTAAGCGGACTCACACAGATGAATAACATGCGCCTTGGAGGCATTGTACGCTGCCTGGCGCCGGGGAATATTCACAATATGTCCAGACATGCTGGCCGTAGCAATGAAGCTACCGCTTCTGAAATTGGTCAGCTTCGCTCCGTCGGATGTCGTGCCCTCTAGTTTCTGGCGGCGAAAGTGTTTTCCAGCGGCGCGCGCGCAGTAAGCGACCCCATCGGCATTGATCTTCATGAGGTTATGGTATCTGCTGATGTCGGCATCGATGAAAGCCTCATCTCCCCAGGAGGTGCCAGAGTTCGCGACAAAGATGTCAAGGCGGCCACCGAATTCGCCAAGGACTTTGTCTACCGCTGCTTCCACTTCATTGTATGAGGTGACATCGACTTGGTACGCTCTGCCTGTTTACCTCTTGCGTTAGTCTATGAAGCCTCCGTTTATGTTTGTATGGGGAAGAGGGTGTTTGAGACTCAGGGCCGAGCTGAATTACATTTGACGCCGTAGGAATTCTCAATGCCTGCTGCCTTCTCGACAGCCTCGCCGTTTCTGTTGTACCAAATAGCCACGTTGGCTCCCGCTTCAGCAAAGGCTTTCGCGACAGCCAAGCCAATTCCTCCCCCCGCACCTGAGATGATTGCCGTTTTGCCAGTCAGGGAGAAGAGCGACATGACCCCATTGTCTGCTGGAGGCAATGTGTTGTTGCGCCGAAAAACGCCGTTTTGAATACCTTCAGCCATCTCGAGCAAATCTCGAGTTGCTCTTGAACCTGGGCAGCCCGTGATGTTCATGGGTTGAAGGCACTGAAGCTCAGATGAGCTATAATCATATTCCGTGCTGGACAGAGTGTGGAGAACGGCACCATGAGCCTACTGCTCCACTGGCGATGCCGATTTCGCATTAGATGCTACAGTTAACTATATCTACTTTTATCTTAAAACTTTTATAGTCTACTATAATAATATGCACACTCTATAAGTAATGCTTATATATAAAAGTAGCCTATCCTTATATAAGGGTTTAATATTATTTATAATACTAGTATAGCCTAAAGCTTTAGTATATATATTAATAATAGTAATTATAATAGCATTTTTTTAGTTATATTCCTTCCTTTTTCTTTCTTTATTATTATTATTAATAGTATATTTTTTTCTAATTTTATTAATTTTATTATTTCCTTTTTAATTAATATTAATTTTATACTAATTTTTATTATATTTATATATTATAAATATAATTATATTATATTTCTCTAGTTATTACTTTAAAATTTAATAGTATTTAAAAAACTTATAAATATAAATTATATTATCCTTATATATATATATAATTATAAGTATATCTAGCTAATAATTTATATAAGTCTAACTACTAAGGGGGTTTTAAAATTAACTACTTCCTAGTTTAGTATAGCTAGACATAAAGGGCATGCTAACTAGGAAAAATTACTATTAATTTAAAAGGAATTTAGTACTTATTTTCTAGTGTTAGGCATATATAAGCAGACGTACCCCTTATTTAATGCATAACCTGTTTAGCAAGATATTACCCTGCGCTAAAAAAGCTACCTTATTACTATATATTTTAGTATATAACCTAAGGTACTTTTTCCTTTTTAAATTAATAGCGATTTTTCCTAGTTAGCATGCCCCCTATATCTAGCTATACTAGACTAAGAAGTAGTTAATTTTAAGACCCCTTTAGTAGTAAAACTGCTTATAATCTCTTATAAATATATTAAATAATTTATTATTATACTAATTAAGTTTATACTAATAAGTATAAAAGTTAATAAGGACTTATTAAAGGTTATTAATAGTATAATGCTTTTAAAGTAGTTATCTCTTTTTATAAATAACTAATTAAATATAGCTAATATTATATATATTTAAGCTAAAGCTATACTTAATTATTTAAGTGATATAATTAAGATCTTTATAAATTTTAATAAATATTAAATAAATAAGCTTAATTTATTTTATATTACCTTATATTAATATATATATATAATAGCCTATTTAACTTATTAAGCTTTAAACTAAACCTTATTATAATAATATAGTTAAATATAAACTTAAGGCTATATATATATAAGCAGCTAATTTAATTATTAAATATATATATAAAAAGGTATAAAATAGTAATAAAGTATATAAGACTTATTAAAAAGGAAATAGTATATACTAGGCTTATATAGTATTAAATACTTTAAGTCTTAGTTATATTAACTATTATTATTTTATAATTATTAATAAATACTTTTTTATTATTAATATATATATATATATATATATATATATAAACTTATATAGCTAATATTTTATAAAATAATTAGCTTTATTTACTTTATTTAGTAATTAAAAGTATAAAGGCATTATTATATTTAATTAAGTAGTATTTACTTTAATTAAGTAATTAAAAAAGTAATATAAAGTAATTATAATTAATAGTCTTATTATAAAGATTATTAATACTACTTTAACTAATATACTTTATAAATTAAATAATCTTTTTAAAAAAATAGTAAATAAAAAGGAATTATTTATATTTAATTAAAATAAGTTTTAATTTTACTTATTTATAAATAATTTAGCTAGTTTATTTTAGTTTTATAATATATAAGTTAAGTATACTTTAATATATACTTTATAGTTTTTTATTATATTATATTAATATAATATAATTTATATAAGTATAATCTTATTTATAATATAAATAAAAGGTATTTCTTATAAGATTTTATATTATCTTTAATTATATATAATTAAGCTTAATTATATACTAATAAAATACCTTATCTTATTATTAACCTTACCCTTTTTAAAAATAAAATTACTATTATATATAATAAAAAATAATTTATTACTTTTATTCTTTTTTATCTTTAAATAATATATACTATTATAATTAATTATATAAGATTATATTATTACTTTTAATTATAAAGGCTTTATAATTAAAAGTATATAGTTAATTTAAATATACTTTATATATATATTAAAGAACTTTTTTTTAATAAGTGCTTTAATAATAAGATTATTTTAAAATACCTTTAATTTAAAAACTTTATTATTATAAAAATATAGTTAATATAAATTTAAAAAAAATATAACTTATATTATTATTTACTAGTTAAAGCTATTTTAGCTATAAAAGAATAAGCTTAGGCATTCTTTTAATAATATTTATAATTATTAACTATTATAAAAGATTATAGCTATAACTTATTATATATATATATAAAATAATAAAAGTATATTATAAGCTAAAATAAGCTATATTTAATATATTAAAAGTTTATAAGTAATATTATTTAAGATTATTAAAATAAAGCTAAGTATAATTATTAAGATTTTTTTATACTTAAACTAAACTAGGTTTAGTTTATTAATAGCTTTAATAAGCTTAAGTAATAAAGATTTAAGATTTATATTAGTATTAATATATACTTTTAATATATTATATAGTTTTATTATAATTTATTATTTAATATAAGTTAAAATATTATTATATAATATATAAATATATTATTATAATATAAAATTATATTATATAGTATTTAATTAAATTATAAAAAAAAGACTATAATTTTTACTAGTTTATATTACTATCTCTTTATATATTATATATAGAAGATTAATAATAATAAGGTTTTTATTATATTTTATAACTATTAGTATTATAAAAAAAGTATTTATAATATATAAATTAAGTCTTAATAGTAATAATTAAGTTAAAGTTATACTAGCTTTTAATAAGTAAGTATTTAGTTATAAATAACTTAATACTTATATAATTATATATTAATAAGATTTAAAGCTACTTTATTTAGTTAATTAAAAATAGCCTTTTTAATAATAGTTTTTTATTAAATTATATTATAATTCTTTATATTTATATATAAAAGATTTATATTAAGCTAATATTATTTATTAATATATAAAATAGCTACTTTATTTATTAATAACTAAAGTAACTTTATATATAAGCTAGTTAACTAATAGTTTTATACTTTAATTTTAAAACTAAAGGTATATAAGATTATATAAAGATAATACTATATAATTAGCTTTAAAAGTGCTTAAGTATATTTAATAAAAATTATTTATATTTAAATAACTTTTTACTAAGACTTATTATAAATATATATAAGGTAATTATATTTTTAGCTTTTAATTTAAATTAACTTTTTATAATAAATATAAAGTATTTACTTATTAAGAAGTATTAATTCTTATATAATTAGCTTATAAAGTATATATAAGATTAAATATAATTAAAATTTTATTTATTAAATTATTTTATATTTAAGTATAAATAACTATTTTAACTACTTTTATAAAAAAGGATTAATATTAATAGTATTTATATAAATAATTATATATTATATTTAAATAATAAAAAAAGTAATATTATAAAATAAAGCAGGCTAAGTAAAAATATACTTAAATATATAAGAAATACTTTTTAAATACTTATTAATTATAAAATACTATTATAAAAAGCTTAAAAAATATACTTAATTATACTTTTATATAATAATAAAATACTTAAGGTTAAATAATACTTATATAATTTTTTCTTTTTAATTTAGTTTATTTATTTTTACTTTTATAATTTCTTTAATAATAAAAATATTTAATACCTATTTTATTAATACTTAAGGAAATAGTATATTTATATTAGCTAATTTTAATTAACTTTAAAAAAACTTATTTAATATTTTAAAATTTATAGTATTAAGCGCTTAAGATAAGTTAAAATTAATAAAATTATCTTTAATCTTTTATTATTTATTAAAATCCTTTTTTTTTACTTTTTAAACTTTTTTTTTAAGTTTTTTAGTTATATTAATTATAAATATTTACTTTTATTTTAAAATAGGTAAAAGAGATTTAAACTTAATTAAAGCTATAAAAGTATTAATAAACTTTATTTTAATTAACTTTAGCTTTACTTTAATTAACCTTAGCTTTACCTTAATTAAGCTTAGTTTTTATTTAATTAATTTAAATCTTATTTTACTTTTAATAGCTAATTTTATAATAGCCTTTAATATCTTTTTTACTTAAACTAGAATAAGTAACTTTATATTATTATTACCTCTTTTTTTTTTTTAAATTAATATAAGTATAATTAAATCCTTATCTTTATTATTATACTTAAGTAAATAAATAAAAAAGAGAGTTAACTTTATTAATATTATAATTTAAGTATAGGTTTATTTAAAAAACTATATTAAGGATATTAATAAGTAAATATTAAGTAAATATTTTATAATTAAGCTAGAATTTTTAATAATATAATTAAATAAAAGCTTTTACTTTAAATTAAAGATATTTTTATTTATTATAATTATTTATAAAATATATTAAACTATATTAAAATATATTAAAAATAATTAAGTAAGATTTAAGATAAAGTAATATATAATTTTAAAAATAAAAGTAAGGCATTTTTAATAAAATTACTAAATAGCTAGATTTTAAACCTTATTAATATAATAAGTTATATTATAAAGGTTAATTATAAGATTTAAAATAAGAAATTAAGATTACTTTTATATAGCTATAGTATTAATTTAGTAAAAGTTACTTATAGTATTAATAGTAGATTATAATATAATAAGTACTATTAAAGGCTTATTTATTAATATAAGCAGTATAAAAAAAGGATTTAGCTTTATTAATTAAAATATTATTTTATCTTACTTAAATTTATTATTATTAGTTAAATTAATAACTTATAAGCTTAATTAAGTAAAAATAAAAGCATATTAAAATAAAGTATTATAATATAAGTAAACTAGCTAGGTTAATTATATATTCTTAAAAGCAGAGTATAAATAATTTATTTAAAGGTAAATATTACTTATTTTAAAATAATAATATTTATATTATTATTTTTATTATTTTTCTTATTTTTTTAAATATTATATAATAAAAAAAAAAGTAATATATAATTTTTTACTATATATTAAAATTTTTTTATTTTTTTTAAGATTATTTAAGATTAATATTATATAAAGCTAACTTATAATTAATTTAATAAAAATAAACTAATATACTTATATTCTTTTAAAATTTATAGCTTATAAGTAAAATATATTTATAATTATATACTATTACTTTTATATAATAGTTTAAAATATAGCTATATCCTTTTATAACTAGTAAATAAGGTTTTATATATTATAATTTAATAAAAATATATTAATATATATTTATATAAAGAATTTAATAAACTTATAATAATAAAAATAAGATTTACCTTTTAATAAGTAAATATAATTAATATAAGCATTTATTTTAAGATTATTAAATATATAGCAGCTTTTAAATACTTTATTATACTTTAAATAGTAAGTATATAGCTTACTAAATTAATTATTATAAATATATATTAAAATTATATAAATATTTTAATTATATATTAAGTTAAGATAAGTTATAGCTAATTACTTTAAATATAACTATTAATTAAAGTATAAAAGCTACTTTAGCTTATACTATACTTATATATTAATAATTTTTAATAATTATAATATATTAATTTTCTTTAATACTTAAGCAGTAAGAAAAGTTTTATTTATTAGCTATTTTATTATTAATAATACTTTAAAAAAGGATATGCTATTAATTTAAAATATTTTTATACTAAAAGAGTAGATTTAATAATATTACTAATTATATTATAATAATTAAAGTAAATAAAGAGAATATAAATTTAATTAAATAAAACTACTTAAGTAATAAATATATAGCTTTTAATAAAAGAATTATTAAAGTAGGATTTATATAGTAAGGTATATATAGTTTAATATATAAATAAAAAAGTCTGCGCATAGTGTTTTAAGGTAAAAGTAGATATAGTTAACTATAGATGCGAATACTAAGGTAGTTGTGGCAACTGCTAGCAATTAACGATAAAGAGTTTACATACCTGCTTTTGCTTCTGAGTAGCGCTTAATCAGTCCGCGCTACCCCTAAATAAGGGGCAACGTTATACAAGACTGTGCTTGAAGCAGATCGGGAATAAAAAAGCAGCTGCTGTTGGCATTGAATATACCGCCGATGTCAATCTACGAGTGCTTCTACTCCGTTCAAATTGCGTATGCGGGATGGTGATGCTCAATCTCGACTTCAAGGAGATTGCGCCACACCTTCAGACATAAGGCTTCAGAGGAAGCGGCCTGAATACTCTTACGATCATTGAGGAGTTGACTCGGAATCAATTCGCGATCAGCCAGACTTAACACGAGGTCCAAATGCTACACGACTTCATTCCTCTTCCATCCAACGAGGCGCATCCTCTCCACGCAGCGGCTGATAGAGCGCTGCGATAAGTCTATGGTTCAAGCTATGCAAATATTTCACCCCATTGCTGTACAGTTTTGATGAGAATTCCCTGTATGTCCGCTTTGGTATTTAGCTCCTCTGGCTGCGCTCCGGTGCTATTCACCCAAGATAGCTCCCAGACTAGTAATTGGTCCTGGAATTCTGTCTGGTTATACTGTGCCGGCGGCGTCGCAATTAGATACTCGACAAACATCTGCCACCGCGTCAAATGGTATGTCTTCATCAGTCCAGACCATGCTTTTGAAGCATAATCGATGAGTTGGCCCGAAGGACCCCATAGAGTTACTTGATTCCGTGCTTCATACTCAAAAGAGTCTGCATTTGCTGGATTTGGGGCAGATGAGCGCGCTGCTGATAGCCAAGTCGAGAGCCGGAAATTCTTGTTCGAGGAGAGGACAAGATCGAGGGAGAGAAGTAGTTCGGTGAGATGCTGGCCTTGTGCCTTTAACTGGGTGACTCGGCTTTCCGTCGTTTGATTAGGCATGTAATAGATTTCTACAATTTTCTTGTAGATGGGTATGAATGCATTAGCTAGCACCTGGCGCGTCCAATCAATAATATCGTACCGATATGCCGAATTGTCGAAGAGCGAAGTATCTTCTAACCCAGCGTGGTAGAGCTGTTTCCAAGCGGTTACCATGATGGCTGGATCATACGGAAGCTTGGTGCCTAGAATCCCAGTGATATCGGCCATGTCGCTCGTCCTCGGGATAAGCTCGATGATTGACTTGGGCACGGATGGCATCAAAGTAAGATTGGTATTGTCGTATACGGTGGTACGAACAGTTTCCCATGCAGTGTAGACGCTCAGTGGTCGCTTGTCGCTAGAATACCGCGCGGCGGCCCAGTTGCGAAAATAGAGTTCCGTGTCGATAGGTTCACTACTCCAGGCCTGAGCAAGGAGAAGATCATAAACGATCTCATTATCCTGTTGGCCCTCCATGGAGAGACCGAAGCCAGCTAGAGACGTTGACTCTTCCAGGGCTAGAATAGGGCTTTGGGTCACATTCTGGATCTGGCCATACAGGTTTATTGTGGCCCCGTAGTTCTGCAACTCGCACCAGATCCAAGGTTTGCCATAGTATGATTGCGCACGCTGCCATTGTGGCATCGATTCTGACCAAAGGTCCAATATGAGCATATCGCTGTCAGTGGTGATGCCACCAAGATATGCTTCAATGCGCTCGTTCGTCCAGAAGGTCGTATTTTCCGCAAAGAGCCATGCTTGAAACACCCATATTGCTTTGGAATCCGCCGACTTAAGTGCCTTCCATGTATTCGAGCTCACGTTTCGGAGGTAAGCCACATCACCTGAAGGCGGTATCATCTCGTTGAACTGGTCAAGTGTGTAAAAGTTGGTGATATTCCCATATGCTTGTTGTTGCTTGGTAATGAAACTCTGCTGCATTCGCGCAAACAGAGGATCAACAGGATCAACAAAGGTATCTTCCGTGTACTGCTCCGGAAAGCCAGCCCATTGGACACTGTGAAGTAGCTGAGCTTCTGGCAGTACGCGAGACGCTGCTCGAGGAACGAAGCCAGGAAATGCTGGCAGGATAGGCGTTATGCCCAGCTCCACCATGCGCCTGACGATCTGTTTCTGCAAAGCAGATTGGTTGTCAACCCATTCAAACGGCAGATTACTGGACCACGACCCTTGTAGGTTTCCAAAGTGGTTCCAAGCAAGAAAGGCAGGGCCAGTGAAAAAGTCTAGGATGTCGTCATTTGAGAAACCGGCCTCTTGGAAGACTTGGGTGAATATCTTCTCGACTCCAATCCAAGCTGGTGCCAGATTGATGCCACGCAGCGCCATCCAGTCCAGTTGGAGTTCCCAATCTTCCCAAGTCCAGAACGCGGCTGTATAAGATGTGGTGACTATAACGACCAGCAGTTATAAAAGGTGTTCGACTGATCGGCGTTTGTGGCTTGTTCCTACCTGTGTTGAAGTCATAACGATATGGTACGATACTTGATCCAGTCAACGGTGAAGACAGCTGAGGCAGAATGGACGGTGCATCTTCGAGCTGACTGCCGGCATACCACCAAATGTCAACGTGGACAACATCGGAGAGATAGGAATGGAGACTGTCGTCGCGCACAAGGTCTGTCAACGGTCCATTGATCAAAGAGAGCGGCTTAGGCAGAAGCGAGCCGGTCTCACCCGTAGAGAATGGAACTTAGCGAGGCTCCCTGTACGCGGATTTTGCCGTCCTCTGCGTTGGTAACAGTGTAGCTTTCCGATTCCGACTCGACATTTGCAGACAAGGAAAAGATGAATGAATCAGCATGTTGCGGCAACCGCCGCTTCACAAGAGCTTCTATACCAGCAGTCGAAGATATCGAAGAGGCCGTAGACTCGAAAATGGTAGTTGCCACCGTCGAGATGGCCATTAGGCCGACAAAGGCGATGGTATCGAGTAGCTTCATAACGCTTCAGAGTTGGACCGAAAAAGAGAATGCTGTAAATGAGCAGCCTAAAACGATACGTGCTTCCCGAAGTAGCAGATCTGGTAGGTACGATGGTTTGAGCATGGGGACTCGCTGTGTTATATGATATTCGTAGCCAGTTTCTCAGGCCATGTCCAGGCGAGAGTCCAATCTGAAGGATTGCAGTCATGGGGGATGCAGTCATGGAGGGGTATGGTTACATTTATGCATCCCATTTCAACGTCCCCTTGCCGCCCAGTAAAGTGAAGATCTCGTAGTAAGTCATACACAGCGAGACATACTTCATTATTAGGCACTAGATAGCAGGCCGATTACCCGATGCCTGCTCTTGTTCATCCTTGGTTCTAACGTAACCTGGCGAGAGATATTTGGTTAAGGGTCCTACGAATGACTGGCTTTCGAATCAAACTCTGTTCAGATCTCTGGCACGCTTTTGTAGGCCAAATCGTCCCTTGATCTAAAGATCGATATAGTACATAACTTCCTATTGACGACGGCGTGACCACTTTCGTGCTCAACCCATCACTGACTTTGGTGGACCTGGGCCTCTTTTTTAGGCCGAGTCATCAGTGCTTTTTGAAGTTGATCGCCCGTGATACTTCCTCCGCAAAGCTCATAGAATTGCCCGGAGACGCGCTTGCCAATTTGATTCAACCGAAATTCATCAGACGATACCTGAGAGTAAAGCTCCGATTACAGGGAAATAGGCTGCTCGTTCAAGGCAATAAATCTTGCTTGAAAATATAAAATATGTTGACGGTCTGAAGCTCCCAGCGGGCGGACACGAACGTGGGGCGACTACGTCTTGAGGTCCACTGGTAATGTAGTTGCACACAAAAAGGTTGACCTACTATAACGGCAATGCTTGAAGTGCATACGCCGCAGATTCAAGATGCATCATGAGACTTTGCTAGGTTAGGCTCGCCCGTGAGCTAACTCCACGGTTCAACTCAGGAGTTTTACGTAGTGTCCGAATCATGAGTAAAGGCACGAAAGAAAAACGTACACCTACCGTACCACGCTGAAACGAAAAGGAGGAGCTCAACTAGGCAGAACTGGCTAGTCCATGTCTTTTCACGCCCTTTTTTTTTGTGCCGCTTCGCGGAGGAGATCTTCTCCAGCCAGCATGAATGTCAACAATTCAAACAACAGCCAACATTGTGAAGACCAACCATAACCATGGACACTGTTCAATTTGTGCCAACAGATCAACAGGTCAAAGCATTCAAAGACTGGGTGCAGTCGCATGACTGCAAACCGCGTGTCTGGCACGCTCAGCGATGGTTCCAGACCTCACAGGAAATTGAGGGCGTCTCAGAAGCTTCCCTCAGCGCGGCTCTTGAGCCGCTCATCGATGAAGCGATCGAAGATGCTACCAGAGCCGTTCAAGAACGGACAAAGGTACTTCCTACCCTTCCGTAGCATCATTTTGTGTCGTTCCCATGGCCATTTGCGCATTTGACAGAGTAACTCTTCTTGCTAACTGGAACACCAATTCGATATTTATAGACCTTGGCAGGCCTCAGAGTTCCGGGCTTTGGGCTTCCACTAGGATATATGCCTCCTGAAGAAGACCGATTCCCCGTGCTGATCGGTGTTCATGGATATGACTGGAAAGCCGCCACCCTTCTTATACGCGAAGTTTGCATGCTCAAGTTCATGGAGGAACTAACCAACAAGCCACTGTGGTGGGAGAAAGTCTGGATACCCGACATTGCAGAGAAATGGAAGCAAGAGGCTTTGCAGATGAATTGGGAAGAGTATCGCGCATATGCAGACTTCACCCCTGCCATGGCAGATGCAGTAAGTCCTGTCCGATTCCGATGAGGAGCTGCTTGATTGACCAGTAAAATGTTCAGTGCATATACGAGCTGCGCAGAAAGGCAGACATCGTAAAGAAAACCGGCCTGGTTACTATTTTTGACTATTCTTCTTGCGTGATCAAATCGGACAGTCTGATTCCGGAGACCTTACGAGAGTCGCTCCGCTTAGCAGCTGCGGTGCTGGAAAACGTTCCGGATGATGAAAAGGATTGGCATCCGGGTAGTACCCATAAGGTGCTCGATCTCGTCCACCCTTCTCTATGGCCCTTCATATACGGCCGTACCCCCGTACTACTCGACCGGCGAATCAATCTTGCGAATGCGCTGAGCCACTGTGGTGTCGGCACGGTTCTTCCGGCACCGAAGCCCATCGAGATAGCTGGTCCCGGGAGCGACTGGTCAAGGCCGTTGGAGGATCCAGTCCCGTCTCTCTCATACAAGTTTCAATGGCTGCCATGTGATGTCATTCTTGATGGCCAGTCGGCCAAGATCGACAGTTATATAAACAACTTACACCCGGTTGATCACGCGAATCTATACCCGATCATCGAACGGTTCATCGAAAAGTCCCTCCCAGCTTGGGATCTTATCTACCGATGGCCGAAGGAGTTTGAGACCCAGCGACTAAGAACAAGAGAGGCGCGATCGGAATGCACAACAAAGGAGATATGCCAGCTATCTCATGGGTGCTACCCGTGGAATCGTCCGGTCGACGAGGGCGAGCCATTCCGCGATGAGAACGAACCTTATACGATGGAGTATCGTGACTCTGATCGGTTCAAGCGTGATATGGCATGGTTAGCCAAGACTCACCGATTGAACCTACCGGAGCCGGGGTTCGAAGAAGATGGCTATTTCCGACTCAAGGCATCCGATGTCAAATCGAGCGGCTTCTTCAATGGCACATCTCGCATTCAAGTGATTGTCAAGCTTGCCAATGTCCATCTTACTCCCGAAGATCCTGACTTCAAATTTGAAGCATCAAGAGAGCTTGCTGAATGGTATACCGCCTCCGACCAGAATGCCAATGGGCTGGATCCTGACCTGGATGGGTCTTCCTACAAGCCGGATCCTTCAGAAGCATCCTCCTCCGAATCTGAATCTTCGTCGAGCGCGGGCCGAGCTTTATCAGTGGATCTTTCTGATTATCACAGTATATATGTTGACAACGATACCACTGAATTCGAAGGCGGATCGTGGCACACCGAGGGAATGCTCAATGAGCGCATTTGCGCGACCGCGCTCTTCTACTACGACTCGGATAACATCACAGACTGCCATCTGGAGTTTCGGACGCCGGCTGACCGTGAAGAGCTGGTCGTGAATCTCAACTACGAGCAGAGCCAGCATTTCCCGATAGAACGCACATTTGCTATTCCCAATGCTAACCGGGACACTCTTCAATATGTTGGAGGCGTTCTCACTACGAACAGTCCCTCCACGGGAGATGCTGATACCCGTGCTGTCTTCTTTCCAAATCTTCTTCAGCATCGGGTTTCGCCGTTTCGCCTCAAGGATCCTACAAAGCCAGGCCACCGCAAGATTCTCGCCCTTTTCCTGGTTGATCCCGCGATTCCGGTCCTCTCCACAGCTAATGTACCACCGCAGCAGCATCATTGGTGGGCTCGCGAAACAGGCGTCCAGAAGGCTCTTGCTGCACGCCTGCCGGCTGAGCTGACGCAGCTTGTCCTTGGTCATGCGACCGTTCCCATTGAGTTGGAGGAAGCCAAGAAGATTCGGCTCGAACTCATGGATGAGAGATCGACGAAGCAGGATAACACGGAAGAGGAGCTATACAGAACAAGCTGGAATTTCTGTGAGCACTGAGGAGAGGCGTATCAATGGCCGCCGCTACATGGTCCTTTCGTGTTGGTAGAATGGGAGTTATAGAAATCTGCTGTCGGGTAATTCGTGTCTTTGACATTTTCGTTAGGACTACCGTGAGATTTATGCGGAGACCTGTCGGCAGCAGGCAATAACCTTATCGACATGAACATCTGGACCACCAAATAGTGTACTGATTACCCTCATGACAGGATCGTATTTCCATCTTGACTTCTTGAATCCCGTAGTACCACTAACAGACAACTATTGAGCAGTAGCCACTATGGCGTGATACGGTGCGGAGGAATCTTTGTCGTCGTGTGGAGCTCCGAGCAATCCAACAAAAATCGCCCTCGAGACACGCAGTATCGTTTTCACGGAGCTTTCGAGAGAGGAGACGTACTTTGCCAGATTAATGTTCAACGTCTATGGGCACGTCTGAATGTACGTACGGTCATCAATTCGTAATCTCCAGCCAGCGTAGAGCTACTTCGCTGCAGTCGGCAACTTTTTAATATGCCTCGTCATGATGATAGTAAGTCCCATAGCTTGCACGAATGATGATATGAATCATAGTTGAGAAAGAGCTGATGAATATCAGGGGTATATCATTACTCTAGTCATAAATTCTGTCGCTACACGGGTCTCCATACCTATGTTCGGGCAAATTGTCAAGTCTTCTCTAGAAGTAGCATGTAAATCCACATCAAGCGTCATGCTCTTGTTCTTCAGCCACATCCTTCAAAGCGAATGCTTGAGAAATAGCTCAAAATATGTGAACAAAGCTGCCACCTGACAACATATGCTTTGGACTGGTCTTTGCTAAAATGGACAGCGCGCCTCCTCTACTCAGCCACAGGGCAAAAGTCGTAGTAACCATCAACATGGTTACCCCACCAGGATGGAAAAGGAGTTGCAGGGCCACCGGCTCCGAAGACTGCAAAGGACAGAATGAAGAGCACCGTTAGACTGGCACCATCAAAGGCGCCAGTGACCAGGTACGAGTAGTCCTTGAAGATGCGAGGGCGGTAATTCCGGAGGTAATACTGGGTGAAGAAACCAGAAGCAAGCTGGCTCCAGATGACGCACGTCTGGGACTGGTTGTATGGGATGTAGCCGGCGTACTGGATGAACTGGGGCAGGTTGATGTCGCGAAGGTCAAAGCTTCGAATCTTGGGAACAAACTAGAGGATCCGTCAGTAGGCACAAATGCAAGACAAGTCAGTAGATACTCACGTAAACCAAGACACGGTGGAGAACAACCACTCCAGCACCAATGGCCAGTCCAATAGGCACCATCTCGTATTCAGCACCAGACTTGTACAGATACTTTGCCAGAGCCCAGGAGGCTGCGTTGGTGTTGTACGACTGGATCGTTGCGCCACTCCATGAAGCGTTACCGTTGCTGTTGACAAGGAGGTCACGGTTGCCGTTGACAATGGAGATCATGACACCGTAGTTGACGAAACCGCCGAGAACCGTGCCGTAGATCTGGGTGAGGAACATAACACGAGGCGGAATCTTGACTGTGGGGATATGTCAGCAACGAGCGTCCTTCCAAGGGAGCAGGAGCACTGAAACATACGGTATTCGCCCATTTTGAGGTCATTGCACAAGCTGACGCAGTTGGAAATGACGTTGTGAGACCAGGCGGCAAAGTACATGTTGCCAACAGGGCGGCCAGGAAGCATCAAACCCGCCAACATCTTGGACAGGTTGTTGGTAGCAATGCCGTTACCATATCGAGAGTAGAGAATGGTGCTCTATAATGCATGTCAGTCATGGAACTTGGAAGACATATCTTTTGAGGGGATTATTTACCAAGGGCGCGATGAAGATTCCGACGAGAAGAGCGACGACGTAGGCCCATGCAGGGAGTGTGATGTTCTCTTTGATGACAACGACGAGACCGAGGACGAAGCTGAATACAAGGACAGCAATGTACCACCACCAGGGAGCTTCCTTGTAGTTCTTGGCCATATGCTCGTGGTGTCGGTCGTCGTATCGCCCGTTCCTCGCACTTTTATACGACTCCTTGACATCACCACCCCAAAACAGGAAGCAGTGAGCAACCAGGGCACCAATCTGAGCCTGTGTTAGCGAAACTTGCGAACGGACCAAGCTCAGTGAACCGCGTGGCGAGGATAGATATACGTACAGCAGCGTTGGCCATGAACATGGCATACGCGAAGCTTCCGGTCAGCTTAGGAGCACCATATTTCTGAAGAGCGTCTTCGTCGAGGACGCCACCAACGAATACTTCCGACACGGGATATTTTGTACCATTCTCGGCGCGGAGCTGTGTGGACATGAAAGGCTGGGATTTGGAGTTCCAGGAGTTCGTATAGTAGATGGCGAGCACCACAACGTAGCAGACGAGGAAACCGGCAGCAGCATGAGCTTGCAGAGTGAGAGGGAGAGATGTGTTGAAGGAAGTGATGTATTGCCAGTCAAAGGAGAAGCTGAAAAGCCCCAAGCCTTCATTGTTGGTAGCACCGCCGAAAAGGTTGGTGAGAATGGCAGCCTTGGAACCCGTGGCGTGCATGGCGGCCAAGCACGGGATGGAGATGGAGTTCAGAAAAGGGAAGATGTAGGCAGGGAAGAACTCGTAGAAGAACATGCCAACAAAGCTGTACCAGAAGAAACGGAGTGGCTTGGAGCCCTTGATGTTCTGCCAGTGAAGTCCTTGGAGAGTCTTGACCGTGGGCAGGGTGCTCCAGTAGACCGCCTCAACGTGCCAGACGCAGATAGGACGCAGGACACCGCATATGCCATAGCCAAATAGACCAATGGAGATGACGCTCAGGACAACAGTCGACGCGCTCAAGGGCAAGTTGTAGAAAAGATCCTGAGCCGTGAAAACGGTAATACTGGCCGTAGCGTTGGAGGCAGAGGTGGCTGTGATGGCACAGACGGCGTGCTCCTTGAGGTTCCAAGGTCCGGGATTGATAAAGGTGGCGATAGTAATCCACAGAGGAGGCTTTCCCTGGCCGCCCCTGGCTTGCCATCGAGCCCTCAGCTTGTCACCACGAGGGAGGAATGCAGCCCAGGCATTGCCAATGAAGTAGGCGATGAGGACGATAAAAGTTCCGGAGATTGTGGCAGCAGTTGGTTTGAACTATAGGCAAGGAATGGTCAGCTTATGGTTTGCTGGATATTTACGGAAAAAAGTTATTTGTAGAGACGGACCTGGTAAATCTGGCTCATGACCGCTTGGAAGGCAGACAGACATGTAGCCAGTACCATGCTTCGGAACGTCAAGGACGGCTCGCCATCATCTCGCAGCGGTAGTAAGTGGGCTGCAGCATCGGCACCCGTGATGATAATCACATCATCGCTGCCATTGTCCTTCTCGTCGTAGTAGTCGTTGTCGAGAGGAGGAGCAACGCTGATCTCGGTATCCAAAGCGCCCTTCTTCTCAGGGTCGACAGCGCCAGTGACATGGACTTTATCATCCGAGATCTCGGAAGTAGGGGTCCTGCCCTCGACGACAACCACGTCGTCCGCTGCTGAGGCCGTCATGTTGACAAAGAGCTACCTTGTGCTGATACCGATCCCCTTAACGAATGGTGAGACGCCGTGCCGAGACACACAAGAACACGCTCTCTCTGCCAGCGCTTGGGCAGCGCCCGCCTCCATACTTGTATGACTTTCCATCTACTCGCCTTGCCATGCACGAGATGCGATATCAAGGGTCCATGGAGCAATGGTACCATACTCCCGGAGTGCAATGGAGGGTCCAGGCCGGTGGTGTAATACCGGCAAGAATTTATGCAATCAACAGGCTAAGTGCTCTAGAATGGCACCCGAGCACCAGCCATCCATGTTTGGCCAGGTACTTTTGAAGTCCACCACGAAAAGAGTACGGACTTTCCGCATGAGGCTAGCAAGTATACGGGATGCTCGAAAAGTTCCCGGGGCTAGCTCGTAGATAAGGTTGTTGCAAGTTCTGTTGGACCACCAAGACCACGTTCCAGGACGCTTAGATAACGCAGTGTGACCACAGGGAGTGGTAGTTTTGGATCCAGAGAGTCGTTGATTTGAGTCTCTCTGGGACTGCCCAACAACACCACTGGCGGGCATTTCTCACGCATCATCTGATTCAGGAGCGCCGCTTGGCAGGAAAAGGAGGAGAGAGCCGTTCTGGGAATATTTCCCGAAGACCTTTCGCTGGACGACCCGGTGAGTGAGCCGCCACAGCGGCATTTGGGGCTTGGAAATCCTATATATAGAATATGACATCTTGAAGTTGAGCAAGACACGCAGATATGTCTTGCATGTCAAACTTTCATTTGTCAATAAGATCCAGAGTACATTCCAGCGCTCATGATATGCCCTTGATCCCTCTGGATAGAAAAGCAGCTGCGTTACACCTGCTACCCGATCTGTGCTTCTCTCATTTCAGGTTTGAGGGTGATACACACTTTGGATCGTGTCTTTGTACGTGAAGAGTAAAACTAACAATGCAGCATTCTGGGCCTTGGGTTACATCTCTCCGCAATTGCCACACTGGCCTGGTACTGGCCCTTGCCACCTTGCCACGCCCTGCAAGAATAGTGTGAGGATACGATCTGACTAGGGTGTCTAAGTTGTAGTAGTCTCGTCAAGCTCCTCTTCCCATCTGATATCACGACATCGCCGGACGCTAGCAACTGGTGTTTCCTGTCTATTGGTTCTATCGGGCCGCGGAGGACTTTTGGATGTCTGGTTATCCGCTCGCCAAAAGATCCCAACCTTCAGGGTACCGTTAAGGCAAGGCCAACCATGTGTTGGACACCCAGGATGCTCTCAGAGGTGTTGGCTCGGGTCATGGATGCAGATGTAGGATTCGGCAAACTGCATGAAAAGTTGAGCTAGACATGATGCTTATTGGAGTGAATGAAACACCTTATCGGTCTTTGTGGATTGCTTTGCAGTAACTCGCAGAAGATCCTGGTAGGACATCTTGGAAGTAGTTTCGACATAAGCATCGTCAAGTGCACTCGGACCATACCTGAGTGGGGGAACATGCTCAGAAGATTATACCATGAGGGACATGGGTGCGCTTTCATAAGCTCTTCCAAAGGCCAAAGTGAGTGCAAATGCGCAGATACATCATGTTGTTACATGAGCCTGAAAATCACAAGAGCCTAGAAGTTGCTAACCGGTGACCACAATCCGCGTCTTGTGTTGACTGAGGCATCGTTATGATGTTATCCTAGGGGGTCAGTGCTGTTTGTTCATAGCAAAAGTCCCGACTTCAAACATTATCCGTTAAGTATCTGCCTTATCCACACGTCTTCTCCTTCCAAGCAACATGTTTCAAATGTACTGACTGCTAAGGTTGCCACTGCCGTGTTCGGTCGTATTTGCGGAATATACTGTAGTCGTAGAGCAGAAATGTATTCTTTGACCTTGCGGGATACACCGAGTGGTGTTTGCCAACATACCTAAGCCTCAAGAGTGAAGGTCGAATGCTGTTGCCCGGATATACTAGTCAATACGATGATTCTCTCTCAACCAAACGGCCGTGGCAAGTTTTATTTGACAATATCTTGGCCCTATCGTGCCATCCCTTGGCGTATTACCACCCTGAGGGACTAAGAGCTGCGAGAACAATAACCTGAGGCAAACTTTGCGGTAGTATTCGTCATGTCGCCTCCCACATGTGAGGGCCATTCCATATGCGTACCGTTCGTTCACTCCAGCCATATTCTGCAAGGATACGCAGCTATTTTTGCTTCCATCCCGAGTGCCTCGTGTAAATAACCTCCAAATGGTGGAAACTGTGAGTTGGGTGTCGTGCTTCCGTGGCCTTCCGGGAGCAACCGTTCTCGCATTCGTCACAAACCCGGAACATCCGAGATATAGAGACTCGCGATGCCACTGCAACAACCTCTGTACAGTAAAGTTCGGAAACCCGAAAACAAACGAACAGGTAAACACACAAATGATATATTTTGAAGCTCGCTCGTTCTTCAATCAACCAAAGAACCCTTGGCAGGATAGGCGTATGAGTGTAAGCCAAAGAGAACCCCAGTTCTGACCTGGAAGCCCGATAAAGGTTGTTGGAAATTGATGGTCGTATAAATGCACCCGTCCTGGCTGTCTTTCTTCGACATGACCCTTGACCAATACCATCCTTCTTTGGCCCTGATTACTGTTACATTCGAACCATCTGATAGACATACATTTCGGCGGTAAGACTCATTTTACTACCTTCGACTGCCTCCAATGCCTCCATCGTCCGTTCATAACAACCCAACGGACTCCCATAAATTTGGCTTTGTACTCGATGTAATCCTACAGCCGACTGTTGCACTGGATGTTCTCGATTTGGCTGGTTCCTCAGTGAGTTACTGACGAGATATGCCGCATTCAGTACAAGAGCCAAGATATTCAATGATTGCCTAACTCGGCCATTTGTGTGTATGTGAAGCCTCGCTGTGTGTGAAATACAGAATACTATCCGTGATTGCAATCTAATATTTAAAGCTAACCCCTCGTCCATGCTCAACCAGTGTCCATCGAACTATTTAGTCAAGACGATCAGCGATTAGAGCCTTGAGTCTCTCTTCAGTCAGGGTCTCAATGCCAAGCAGTGAGTTATCGTTCTTGTCGAATACGCTGCCATATTCCTCGCCAAAGACAGTGCCCACCAATATCTGTCCGTAAGCCTGTAAGATGTCGCCCCCAGAGGCTATTGCGTCAAGACCAGCTTTCAAGATATCGGCTGACTTGATGTCGCTGGTCGTCCACTGGATCTCGGGCTTGACTTTCTTTGCAATGTCTAGCAACTGCCTCTGAGTCAGGATTGCCTCGGAGATATAGACGACACGGTTCTTAGTCTCCTCAGGGTGGTTAAGCACAGCAGCAACCGCCCTCGCGAAAGTTGCCAGAGATGTGACGCTGACCCTAGTATTTCCTCCATCCATGAAGGCGACCGACCGATTCTTGAAGTCAATCGCGGCAGGAAATGCCAAGAAGTACTCCATAAAGCAGCCTGGCGCAATGATGGAATATGTCAAAGCACTCGTAGTGGCTTTCTCCATGAGATGGCTGCGAACGGATGCCAGCGTAGAGTAGAACGGAAGATCCGCAACCTTTGGACTGGTAGTACATGAGCCGAACTCTGAAGGAATGAACCGATAGACGCCGGCAGCTATGGCTGCATCAATGAGAAGTGTCTGCTTTTCCAACCCTGACTTCCCAAGGGTCGAAATCACAGCATCCTGGTCCTTGAGAGCTGCGGTCAGTTCTCTGACCGAGTTGAAGTCAGCCTCGACAACCTTGACTTGAGCCCCGTAGTCATTCGATGTCTGAGAGCGAGTCAGAACGGTAACGTTGAAGTTGGCTTCGAGAAGCGCCCTCAGGACGTGTGCTCCAATGTTGCCGGAGGCCTATACAGCTAGTATCAGCGCACATGATTGATGGACTGGGACCAGCCTCCAGGTACTCACACCAGCAATAGCGACGTTCTTAATAACAGCCATGGGAACAACTGGTCTTCGTGTTTGAGATCGGGTTAGATGATTTGTTGAGAGGCTGTGATGGATGGAAAGAGTTCGAGGGAGTTGGCGAAATAGGGTGAGCTTTAAATAGCTTTCTTTACCCCTAAATAGACGCTGATTCTTCTTCATCCCCAATTTATCGGCAAAGGCAATGATGCTCCGTGATGCCAACTCCGCTGACCGTCCGGCACATCTCGTTATAAGTCCGATCATTGTAGCGACAAATGTCCGCAAATCTCGGCATTGGCCCGCAGCCTCCCATGACTAATCCCACCTATATATTTCTTCGCGTCCGCATCTTCCGCTCAAGCATCGAACTATGCACTCTCAACTTGCGGCGCACATGTGCACCTAGAAGTACAGCTTCTATTATTTCATTTTCATTGCTCTGGAATTCCCAACGATGCGATCAACAGGCGCGTGGCAGAAATCCGCCTATTCCAAGAAGGCTTGTCTTCGATGCCGTCGGTCGAAGCGGAAATGTGACAGAGTGCTGCCCAAGTGTCTCCTGTGTACCCGGTCAGTACTAATCCATGGCCTCCCGTTGTTCATGCATTGACGATATCTGGCTCTTCTAGCCGGAAGGATGATTGTCAGTACGAGACTATCACTGTTACGTCTTCATCTGCTGCCTCATCCGCGGAGCCGATAAGCGCCCTTGATGATGGTCTATCTTCGGAACATATCAGAGCCGCGATAATGGAACGGCTCTCTGGAGTCAAGCCTAGTGATGCCGAGGCGGCCTATGCCCGCAGCATCAGGCCGTGGTTTCCTATCATTGGAGAATCAAGGCTCGGTGGCCAGCTGTCCAACGGCTGGGATGACGCCACTCTCGACTTCACCTTGCTGTGTTTGAGCATTATACTCTTCTGTACTGCTCCAAACTCCAAGGCATGTGGCGATGCCAACGCTTCTGGGCTCATGGGCCTTTATCTCTCCGTTAAGAGCTGGATTGCGTTGGTCGAAGGGCTTGGAATCAACTCGATTGAAGTCGTACAAGCCAGGCTAATGATTGCAGCCTTTGAAGTCTCACATAGCTTCTACCCAGCAGCTTATATATCAATAGGCGCAGTAGTCCGAGCGGCAGAGACACTGAAGAGAGATAGGGATCTGGAAACTGCCCCGTACCAGCCACGCACAGAGGAAGAAAGAGTAGAAGAATTAACTACGTGGGCGGCGATCAAGATCCTAGACAGGTGAGTGGCCGTCAGGATATCACAGTCATCCGCACCGTTCGCAAGAAAAGGTGGATTTTGCTTTCCTTTTGCTTTTGCTTACCACTGGTTCAGGTACATTGCCGCTGAGTGCGGCGAATCCCCGCCGGTTACAAGGCGCATCTATAACAAGGACCCTGATCTACCCTACTCGGAGCTTCCATTCGCTGTCTGCCCGGTTCTTTTGTCCGCCCCTCTTTCTCCCCAACGGCAGTTTCTTAGGCTCTACGAGGCAACGAACCTTCTGGATAAAGTACACTTGGCTTTCTATGAACCGACGCCCCGAATATCGTTCAATCTTGAGGAGGGAGCTCTTCTAGTGAGCACACTATCGTCGCTAAGAACGGTGATACTGGGAGAAGTACCAGATAATGCAAGGATTTACTCCGGCGGTCTCCACGTCTGCAATATGTGAGCGTTATCAAACTGCTAGACTCATGGAAAGGCTAACAGTTTTCAGCGGCCTCTTACTTATCCATGGCATATGCGATAAAGCAAGGGCGTTAAACTACATCGTCAAAGAGGAATGGGTGACAGCAGCTCTCCCGATGACTACGGTGATCGAAGATATACATGACATGATCCAGTCAATCAATATTGATGAAAGCGAACTAGACAGGCTCCCCCCGTTTGTCAATTTCCTGCTGTACAAGGCCGCAAGTATAGTGACAGTCCGACTGATAGACCAGCTCAATTTCGACAACAATGCTCAAGTCTTGAAGACGTTCCGGGATTTTCTAAATGTGGTAAAAGCGAGATGGCTGGCTGCAGGTAAGCACGAAAAATAGCCTTTCAGTGAACTGCGCATATTAATGGAGTTGTCTAGGTCGTTATATAGCCCTTCTTGACGAAGATACAACTCCACGGATTTTCAAGGCACTGGAAAGGGTGAGAACTGCAAATGGGCGGGAGACGACAAAGAGCTCATAGCATGTTGATTGCATATTCAGAGATGAGACCCAGAACTGGACGATGCCAACAATCTCTCGGGGGATTCAGCGTAGCTGGCCCGATTCGTGGGTCCCTCAATTTCAAGCTGGACATCGAGGTAGTAAGCGGACAATTGAACAACATTTGATTGCCATTTTGAGAACATACGTCCAGCCCTCCTGCATTGACTTCACACAAACATTGCTGCAGGTGCAAATAGCAGACTCATATTGCCTGATTCTAGGCGAAGAATTTCTCATCCATCCTCCAAGGCCCTCAAAACATGTGTATCCTCTGTCCGGAATGAAACATGGCGGGAAGGAATCCTTTGTTCTCATCCAGATTCTCCACTGCGGTCTGGAGGATCTTGGGCGTCTTCTTGAGAACCGAAACTGCGAGATACTTATCCAGGCGCTGGGCCCTCATCTCAAAGAATTTCTCATACGCAGCCAACACAGTGTAATGACCAAGCGACACCGCCGCTTCCTTCGCATGATCGAGAAGGCCTTCGAAGAAATTGTCGTCCTCAGTATCACTGTCGGAGTCCGTGCCCTTCACATCATTGCTTGATCCGTTGTTGGCCGAGAAGGGGAACTTCATTGTGAGGGGCGACATGGAAGAGAAGCTCCTCGCCGACTCGATTCTCTGGATCCCCGCGTCGGCAAGTTTGTCGTAGCTGTCACTTGCGAGGTTGGTAGCCTTTGAGAGCTTCTCCTCGCCCTGCATTGCCTTCTCAGAGCTCTTGATGTACGTGTCCAAGATTTTACACATCTTCTGCTTCTTCCGATCCATGTATATGTGCCACGCGCTCATGAGTCCCGGCTCAACCGCAGAGTTGGCAAAGTCGATCTCTGTAGAAGCTATGCGCTGACCATAAAACTGATGCGTCGAGCCCAGTTCGAGGAAGCAGAGAAACCATTTGGCGCCTGGAACTCCAGAGAATCGCGCAAGCACCCACTCCCCGGCAACAAGCTGAAGCCGAGGCTCTTGGATATAGTCGAGCATCCTGACAATCGCCTTTTCCTCCTTTGTGGCGCGAGCGTAGTCCGTTGAGTCCTTCTCTTCCACTTCGCCGTCATTATTACCGCCGCCGACAGTGTTCTTGGCCACCAGGTCCTTCCCATCCTCCACCATTTGGCCAATGTTTTGGAGCTCGAGATTTTTATACAATTTCTTCGCCCTGGAGCCTTCCTTAATCACAGTGTCTTCTGTTGCCTTTTCCACGTCAAGCTGGGTCTTCAGGATACGCTGCTCACATGCAAAACGCACAGCGACATTCGCAAACCCGGTGCTGATAGTGCACCAACCAGATATCTTCTGCTTCGAGCTGGTGGCCTTTGCCACTTGCCTCACCAGCTTCTCCCGGTCAATCATCGTCACGACAATCCGTTGTATATCGAAAATGCCTTCGATTCCAGAGCTGTTGACGATGATTGGGTTTGGGCACGTCATGTCCTCCGTCGGGCCCTCTTCATTGCCCTTTGCTTGACCCTCGACCAATTCAGGTTCAACCACTTTGAAGACAATGTCTTTCAGTTGTTGCGGCAGCAAAGGCTCTGGTCCGTCTTGCTCTTCGTCGGATTGACGGATGAACTTCAGATATTCCATCACACCCGAATCGAGCACTTTCCATTCAGGTTCAGGCGGCGATGCTGGTGCAACGGCGGAGGGTGCAGATTCTTCGGCTGCGGCGGCTTTCTCGGTAGACTTGGACGAGAACATGCCAAACGATGATTTGATGTCTTTCCCCATACCAAAGCCAGCGACTTTCTTCGATGATGACTTTAGACTTGGAAGCGAGGGGGAGAAATTCATTGACCATGAAGGCTTCTCGTCTGCGCCTTGAACGCTATCCGAGTCATTACGAGCAGCATTATTGCTCAAAGCCAATTGCTTCAGTCGATCATGGAGTTTCTTGATGTAAAGAATAATCTTGCCCATAGACTCCAACTTTGGTTTGAGATGCTCGAAAGTAGAGTTGTCAATGATGGACGCAATTTCTGCAACCCAGTGCAATGGTACGGGTCCCCGTTTTTTATCCTTGACGCAGTCTATCGCCTCTCGAAGCATCTGGATGATGCCGTGATAGGTAATCATTGTCTCCCTTCGCTGCTGTCTCACTTTTGCTGAAATCATCATGTTGTAGCGCCGACCGCGATCTTCATCCTTGCCATACGCCTTGTGGGAAGCGGGATACATGGACCGACCGCGAACAGGGCTCCCCATTTCTGCGCCAGCCCAATTGAACACGGAAACATCGTTATAGGTGACGATGACTTCGTCCAAAAGTCGAGAAAGGGCCTTTGCATAGCCTTCGGCATGGAATGATGGGAATCGAACGCCGAGAATGCCCATAAGCGAGTAGACGTGATCAACCGCTACAGTTGCATTTCGGCTGCAAGACAGCAGTAGAACGAGGTGGGCAGGAAATCCATGGCGAGCAACTCCTTTTTCCCACGCTCGGAGCAGCTCAACGTGACCAAACTTGGCAATAGAACGTCTGTCCTTGACGATGGCACCTCCGACTTTTGCTGCAAGATAAGTGATGAAGAATTTGATGATTTCTTCAGCGCTTTCTTCGCTTAACAACATCTTGAGCTTCGCCAGCAGTTGCACCCTTTTGTCGTCCGATTTATGACGCTTGCTCTCAACCAGATCTGAGGAGGCCAGATAGACCGCTCGTGATATCTCAGATGTAGCTGTTTCTACCGTCATATTGTCCGGAAAGCGAAAACCGAGAGCGTTGAGTATAGCAACCAGCTGTAACGACTCTGTAACGCATCTAGCTTCTTCCCGGTCATCCGCGTCCCAACGGTCGTAGATACTGCTGTTCCAAATAAGCTCAGCATCGTCCTTGTGCAAGTAGGGTACCAGAGCCGCGAAGTTTTCGGCTTTCCACCTAGACACCTTGGCGGCATCAAGACCACCATTGTAAAGAGCCATGAACGGAACCAAGGAATATATATCCCCCAGACTCTCTATAGGGCGACTGAGAGGCTGCCACTCCGAATTGGCAAAATAGGTCATTTTGCTCATCACCAGCTCTTGTAGAGTCCACGCACGAGAGGCCCATTCAATCGAGGATGGGATCTCTTTGAACTTTCTGATATTTGGCGCCGGAGCAGGATCCAGCACTTTGTCTGCCTTGCCTTCAATTTTCTTCTCGCTTGTTTGAAACTTTCGCAAATCATCAATGGCGTCAGCTTCTCGCCAATTCGTGTCCAAATGGACAAGGCAGAACTCGGCATTCGAGTACCAGTCTCCCATCAGAGACAGGGAATTGGATAATTCGCCATAATTCTTCTTGTCAATGCAGCATGTGTCGGACCAGATGTAACGTGCTCCGCGTCTCTGAAAATGGCTCGTCTGGAATATCCTCCGGGCTTCCTTTATCGAGCTATCCAGCTTGAGGGCCGACTTCCACCTCTGCAGGCGACGGATCAGCTCATCCACTTCGTCACCGAGGCGAGTCCTCTTCTGGAAAATCTGACAGCGACTCTCAACAAGCGCTTGATCCTTGATCAATTTTTCATAGCTCTCTTCTGCATCAGCATAGGCTTGAATTGCGTCTCTTACGACAGCAGAAGTGGTGGCATGATGGTCCGAAGCCGCTGGCTGTAGCGTGGATGAAGTCTCTGAGACAAGCGGCGTTTCTTCTGCATTGCTGCCCACAGCCTTTCCGGCGCGGTCGATTATCTTGTCGAACATCTTCTTTTCAATCTCGCAGAGATCAACCATTGACTTTTTCGAGTCTCGTGCTTGCCGAGCCGAGTTCATCTTCGATCTCATCTCATTGCCTTCGACTCTTCTCCTGACGAGTTCTTCCACGCTCAAGGTCTCAGACTCTCGGTTCAGGATCATCTCGAGAATTTGCTCCTGCTCGAGTATATCAAGCCTACATTGCTCAAGCACAAGAGAGATATCGTCGCCCCGAGCCGCTGAAGCTTCAACGCTGGAATCAACCACTCCGAGATCCTCAGCTTTGTCTCTGGAGCGCTGCAAATGCTTTTTCCTGGCACGCATAAAATGTGCCAAGGTGATCTCATCTCCTTTCCAGCGATGGGAAAGTATGCAATATGAGTCAAGGTGCGATATGTTCCATGCGTCGACAATGTTGCCTGTCTCAATATCGATCATGCGCAAAGGTCTTTGAGGACGCTCCGTCTCTGGCGATTCGAGGAATTCAATGTCTTGAAGGGTGCTGACCGCATTCTCCTCATGGCGTACAAATGTTGGCTTGAAGTCCGGGACAAACCATAGGTTTAACGCTGCACGAAGCTTTTCAGGGCTGCTACCAATATCGTCAAAGATCTTTTTGAGCTTTTCAGGCGTGATCTCAGTGTAATTGCTCAGATCAGCGACCCTCGCAATTTTGTCCGATATGTTGGTCATGGCTATAGCGGCCAAGTATTCTCTTGATGCCTTAGCAGTTGAGTTGGATGTGAGTTCCGAGTTTCATTCTCATATTTTCTCCGTAGGTTGGGGTCTTTGTACTTATATTGACCCTTCAGACAATTGAATGCATTCTCCGAGGCAGCCACGCTATTCACGCATGGTGACAGAGCTGCATACCTCTTTACGCTAAGCCATCGTTTGCAATTAGCCCGCAGCTCAACGTGATGCGGTCACCTCTTCCTCGGTGAACGACAGAGCCATACGTAGCCTATTGTTATCCGCCACGATACTCTGCGTCGCTTTCAGCTGGTGACTGTTTGCTCCAGATGCCTGCCGTCTGCAATGTTCATTGGTGCCCGATTCAACTTGCAATTAGCCTGCATCGGTAGGCTTGCTTCATTGGGCATTGGAAGGCCTTCACATGCAACAATGACAGCCAGCTTGTGGGCCGTAGGATGGTTTAGCACATTGATGGTGTCCTAAATCAGCCTCTAGCCCGTGTTTGACCTGTAGCTCGGGATAGGAGGACGGAAACGACCAGCTTATCACCATCGCTTTCTCTCTCTATATGGCTCATCCCCAATCCACTTCCAGCTTCATAAAAGCCCTGTACAAGAGATTCTCTAGTATGCTGGCACCAGAGTCTTAGATCTGCATCAAACCGCTATACCACTCAAAGTACGGGCTCGATCAATGGCATCGTATCATAGAGTGTTGAAGACCTTTGATAGGTCGGTGAAGCAAAAAAGTGTAGAATGCGACTAGTGAGTATCTTCCCCGTGTATCCGTCGAGAAAAGCGTTAACAAAATATCTGGTAGTGACATTCATCCATGGGACGTGTTGATAGACGGTGCGAGATGGAATGGAAAGATCCGACTTGTTGGTTTCGTGGATGTGTTCTTTCTCATCTGTTACTCGGGTGAGTCTCGTTTTGAGCAAGGCATCATTATCTATAGTAAGTCTTGTCCTCCACGCTGCACCCAATAGAATGCATGGCTCAACTGACTACCATTACAGAGGATGACGATATTATCCAGAAAATGATGGACAGCGCACATGTGACTGCGGACGAGCTAAAGCTACAGCTCTTGAACGAGAAGGACGTCAAAGCAGCGGAGGCTGAGAAAAAGGGTATGTTGAATGGTCCCTATTTAGTCCATTTAAAGCTCACAAAGCCTCGCCTTTCAAGGACCAATATTCAAGAGGTATTTTGACTTTCAGAGAGTCAAGGGAGGTCTCGACTACACAATCACGAGTCTAGGACATGAAGTGGGAGTCAAGACGGAATACGATGCGTCCCTTCTCAGGAAATATGTCATCAAGATCCGCAAAGGCAGAGATTCCGCAATGAAGTGTAAGCCTTCTTCAAACTCCGCAATCGCGTCGAAAACTGTATTGACCGAGGGAACAGCGCGGATTCGACGTGGAGTTAGCCAGCATAACCTTTTCGATCTCATGCATGATGCGGTTCGTCTCGGAATTATCACGCAGGCCGAACTTATCGGCCAAATCATTGGGAAGACGATCGGTGGGTCGACCATGGAAGATGTCGCCAAGAAATATCTCGATGCTCTCAGTGGAGCTAGGAGTTCTCAGAATGTCGCACTGGAAGCGGACAGACAGTGAAGGTACTGCTCCATATTCGGGCCATGGTTTAAATACAAGGGCTTTACTCCGTACTGGCCACGATGTTGGCGCCCATTGGTAGAACTTGCACGCTCTGATAGACGTCCAAAGGGAGGTCAGCCATCCGCTTTCGCTGCCAATAACCTTCCCCATTGTGTTAAGCGAAATCGGCACTTGGAGGTCGCATCAGTCCGAAAGCTGTACCCTAGTATTACACTCATTCTCGCTTTCAGCGTTTAGCCTATGGAGCTGCTGAATTGTTCAAACAGCAGCAATAAAAAGGCACGGTCTCATCGGCTACTGTTCGATATATGAAGAACATCTGTCATTTGAAACTCACAAGCTTCAGCTGCTTTGATCAAGGCGGGCTAACCCAAAGTGAAGATAAAGTGGTAGCATTGCAGGAGCAGCTGCATCCCCTAGCTTTTCCCGCATGGCTTAAAGATGCAACCCCAAGATTACGGGGTCGAGAATGATTGAGATCGGACAGTTGCCACCTCGCCTCGCCATGCACGGGGCCCCTTTCATATATGGGAGGAGTACACATACAAACGGAAGGTTGCTTCTTAGGCCGTGATTTAACTTGTCTGACTGCTATTTAGCAGATTAGATAGGATGCATAAAAATGTTACTATTCCTAAATTAGTAGGGATTTGCAGCATAATTAAGGGAAAAAATACCTTACTAAGGATAATCCTTAAATACCCCCTGTTATTAATATACTATACTAGCAGGGGCTGTGTATATTACTATAAAAGGCATAGTTACTAAGAAAATATAAGAATTCTACTAAATTTAATAGATAATAAGTATAAATTAAAACTGTTTATACTTATATTATAAGATATATATACTATCCTGCTAGTTTATTAAAATTCAGCTAGGTTATTATAATATTATAAATTTAATTATAAGTAATATTATTAAGACTAGCTAGCTAGTATTAAATGCAGTTATTAATAACTATTATAAAGCTAAGGAGGACCTTTATATAGCTATTTTTATATTAGCATATATTGCCTTAATAGTTAAGCCTGTTAATAACTTACTTAAGATCCTTTCTGCTATTAATTAGGAGGGGCTAGCTAATATTAATAATACTAGCACTCTTTTTTAAGGCACCTTTATGGCCTTAAGGTAATACTATAGGCAGCTCTTAGCCTTGCTAAATAGGTTATTTATTACCCTTTTTTATATAAAAAAAGGTATATTTTTTAGCCTCTGCTAGTAGCTTTATACTAATACTAGCATAAGTAAGAACTAGCAGCAGTTAATTAAGCAGAAGGTAATAATATTCTTATAGATTTATATATATAGTAAGCTATAAAGGAATATAGCATTATACTTTTAAATAAGCTAAAGCATAATATTATAAGTTTTTTATAAACTAAAAGAACTTATATAATAACTATATATATATTTTATTTAGTAGCTAAATTTAATATACCTTTTACTAGCTATAGAGTTAAAGCTTAAGTTCCTAGCCTTTAATAGTATAATTAAGGCTATTAATAGCATGCTTATCCTAGCTTATATTCCTTTTATATATTAATAAAGATTCTAGTTAAAGAAGAATAATATATTATAAAATATATTTATAGCTATTACCTTTAATAGCTTATTTAGCTATATTCTTACTAATGCTAAAAGATTTATTAATAACTTAGCTTTTTTATAATATATGCTAATATAGTTATTTATAATACTTTTTATATAATATTATTTAGGTAATACTAGCTTTAGGCTATAGCTTAATATAATAACTCTTTATAAAAATAATATATATTATTATCTATAAGACTAAAGAATAATAGCATAGCGCTTTTAAAATAAAGAAGAGCTTTTTAACTTATAATATACTTAAAAAAGGACTATTATTAAGTAAGTCTTTAATAAATATAAATAAAAGTAAAAGATTATATACTATAGCGCTGCTAAGTATATATTTTAAGACTAGGTCTAGATTATATATACAGTTACTAGTTTATTTAACTTTATTAAGCTTAAAGGAAGAATACTAAAGCAGTATTATAAGGAGGAGTAACTTATTTTAACTAATTATAAGTATAATATTATAAAATCTACTTAAGAATATGCTAAGGCTGTTATTCTATTATTAAAAGCAGAGGATTTAAAGGAATATATTACTTTATAAGCCTAGAGATATTATTAGTAATATCTAGAATATAATAATAATAATATTAACTTTAGTAATAATAATAATAATAAAAATAGTAATAGCAGTAATAGTAGTAATAGCAGTAATAGTAGTAGTAATAGCAGCAGTATTAATAGCAGTAATAAGGATAAAGAAGATAATAATAATAAAGATAATAAAGAAGAGGTTAAGGCAGGTATTTAAGGCTAGATTTAGTATTATAAGGCAGAAATTTAAGGCTAAGTGAATATAGTAAAGCAGGAAATTAATAATCCTTTTACTAGGCTTTATATTTTTAAAGCTATTTATAACCTAATATAAAAAAGCTATAAATTTAAAGGGAAATTAATTACTAATTATATATCTTTTACCTTTTTTAATAGTATTAAGTTTTATATTAATAAATTTAGCAGATTTTTATAAATCTACTAGACTAAATAGCTAATAAAAGCTATGCCTTATTCCTTTATAAAAAGGAAGTAATCTTTTATTACTTTTTTAAAGTCTTCTGCCTTAATAGCCTGTTAGTTATAAATAATATAATGCTTTATTAGCTACTACTACTGCTGCTGCTATAAGTTATATACTATAAGCATACTTATAAGCTTATAAAAGCTATTAACTATTTTAACTATAGCTGCTGCTTTCTTTTTCTTTTTAGCTATAAGGCTATTAGCCTAAACTACTGCTAATAGCATTAATAATAATAGCTATAATAAACTAGCTAAAATTACTTATAGTATTAATAAAAGCAGCAGTAATGCTAGTATTAGTAATATTATTAGCTAGTTAGCTTTATTATTATTATTACTATTACTTAGTATTAAAGTAAAGTCGCTAGGTTTATTAGTAATAGTATTAAGCTAAGTTAAATCTATCCTTTTAACTTTATAATTCTCTTAATAACTAATAATACCTCTTAAACTAGCTAGTTAGCTATTTTTTATAAAGGCTAGATTATTAGTTATATTTATAATATACTTACTAGTAGGCAGGTTATTTAAGAATATCTCCTGCTATAACTTAATATTAATACTATTATTAATAAGGAGACCTTTATTAATAACCTAGTGCTTAATCTAGCTATACTATTAGGTAATAAAGTTAGTATTCTACTAGCTTATTAACAGTCTCCTAGTCTTTAAGTTATAAGATATGCTTAATATCTTTTTAGCTATTAAAAAAACCTACTAATATTTCTTTAAATATTAATACTTATTCTCTAGCTGCTTAAGCTCTTAAGCATGCTTAAGAAAATACTAAACTAGTTATAAAAGGAGGCTTAGCAGACTCTCTTATAAGTATACTTTTTTTAATAAATTTATTAAGCCTTGCTGCTGTTTTTTAAGGAGTAGTAAGAGGAAGTAAAGGGTCTGCTTATTTAACTACTTAATAACTATATAAGAGGATTAGCTAACTTATAATAACAGGATAATTAATAATTAGCTTATAGTAATTTAAAAAATAGTTATAATACTATATAAATTAAGGTATTATTAAACTAAAAGAGAGATAAAGTATTAGATAAAGTTAAAATTAGCCTAAAGGCAGTAAGAGAGCGTTATTTAGTTCTAGTCTAGCCTTATTACTAAGGTCTTTAAAGTATAAGATTAGCTAACCTATAAATTTAACTAGCATAAAGTATTCTATTTAGCCAGCTTACTAGGGAGTTAGATAAGTTGAATTATGGCCTTGATTATAACGACTTTATTTGCTGAAAATTATAGTAGAGAGTAAGAAAGATGGTTTTATCCTTGATGCTTGCTTACAGGGTGATAATGCTGCCTGTCAAGATTTTCTTTCAGGTTTTGGTCTACGGCTCGATGCGAATTACAACAATATCTTTACTCGGAGATTTTCCAATTCCGCATTACCCGTTAGTTCTACTTTCAGTAACTAACTGTTCGGACGGGGCCTTATAGTTAGGCCTGAAAACATGTTCCAGCCCATCTAATCGGTCTATATAAATTTTGGTGGTCTTTTAATTTAGCGCGCTGCAGCCAAAAACGCATCTTCCAGAATTATCATGGCCAAAATGTAGCTAAATTTCAGCAGCCTTTACAGCAGCCATTGACCTTATAATATATTAAACTCATTATAGAATAATAATCTTTAACCATTTATTCTTTTATTTCTTCTTTTTATTTTCTCTATAAGTGCTGTTTTCATCTTTATTTTGCAAGGTATATACAGAGCATCTAGAACGATTAGACGGGCTGGAACATGGTTTCAGGCCTAACTGTGAGGCCCCGTCCGAACAGTTAGTTACTGAAAGTGGAACTAACGGGTAGTCATTTTTCAGAATGCGGAAACAAGAGAACTGTTCAACCAGATGCTACGGAGTACAATGTAGGCAAATCTCAGGATATTCACCGCTGAACAAAAACCGGGTGAATCACCAATTGAAGTGGGGTGACACCAAAAATAACACGAAATGTGACAAATTGACGTGTTTGTGGGTACATCTGCAGCATCATGAACCCATCGATTGGCCATGAAGTGCCGTGAGAAACTGGGGGTCGAGTTTGTGAGGCTCAGCGCTTATGCCACCCCTGCCAAGCATGCAGGAGGAGTTGAACCACGCGGTTTTCGTTCTCTTTGGCAGGTCTTTCGACTCAAACCACCTCTTTCACTTCTAGTTGAGGAGAGGAGTCGATGAGCCAAGAGACAGCGGAAGATCTGTCGCGCAAAGCGCTCGTGTTAAACTATGGCTAACACGGATAACACCGAGCTGATTCTTGCCATTGTGGCATTGATCATTTCTATTCTAGCCTTTGTTATAGCCATCCTTCAAGCTCTCCAACAATATTTCGCTTCGGCTACCGGATACTCTTCTTGCAGTGAAGCTGTCATAGGGAAATGGTCGCAGTTCTCTCACCGGCGGCTACTCTGGAAAGAGTTCCGCATTGAAGTTCAATTCGAGACGCCCGTATTATTCGTCGCAAAGCCGGAAAACACGAGAGGGCCGCTGGGAAATGACGAAGACTTTCGAGAGGAAGACAGGAAGATCATTCGCCTTGACGGCAGCCACACAAACCTCAGGTATACCTCGAGCACCGAAGAATTCAACGAGCAGCAGAAGAAAAACAAGCAGCAGGCAGTGCACACTGCAGACAATGAGAACGCGTCGTGGTGTCAGCTCTTGATGACGGTCTATCAGATGGAGAAAGACTCGCGCACTTGGCAGAAGGAATCGCTGGGCTATCATCCTCCCTTCGATCCATCACCTCCGCATTCTTTGGTTGTTTGCATGCAGAGGAAGAAACGCGTCTGGGATAGCATGCCTCAGGGCTTGACCAAGCCCTATGCCACAACGACTATCTCGCATCTGGTCGAGATTGCTGCCATGCTTGGGATTCATTGGAAGAATTTCGATCTTAACAACGATCGCTATCGAGCTCAAGGCAACGGCTTTGTCCTTTATGGCTCGTACTTCGACAATCTGGGCATAGCCTTCACCTTTCAAAAACAAGGGCCGACGGTATTCCGCCAAGACCGTGTGATCCCAACTCATGACATTAAGAAGTTGTGCTTCGGACTGGTACCGACGATTCTCTATCGGGAAAAACTTGTCGACGTCGACGACCACAAGGACTATGTGACTTTGCAGTTGGGTGGCTACGCGGAAATTGCAGATACGCTGGCAGAGCTCGGTTGCGATAACAACACGATCAACCACTTTCGGAAAACACCCGAGAGTTCTCGACATAGCCATCTTTTCCCAGGTACGTCTAACCAGATGGTGTCATTCATACTGCAGAACATTAATCGGACACCAGTTGCTTTCGAAATACTGGGAATGGTTGGTGAGATATTTCACATCAAAGATACAGCTTTTCGAATGCTCCCAAATCCCACCCCATATTATTGGGAGCCTAATACCTTCTCTCTTTCTACTCTTACCAGCAATATCGCCGCTCTATTGAAAGCGGCTGAAGTGGCAGACGCTCTTACAAACGAGGGCGATCAGGTTTCGCAACTGCTGGACTGGTACGATCAGAGGACGGAGAAGGCCGGAAAGCCACCTAATGGATCCATCAATACCGAGATCAGCGTTACGACTCCCGCCGACAGAATCGCGCACTTGCGTGCGGGTGTCGAGCTCTGTGATCGCTACTTAGATCAGGTTGATATTGGAATGGTCTTTCAAGTCGTTCGCGTGCATATCCAAGAAGTTATGGGCATGCTGAACGAGAAAGCAGGCTCGGATGAGCCTGCGGGCCCTGGACTCGATAATCGGGGTCAGAGTTCGACCATTACCATAAGTGATATCGATTCGGCATCTGTTGACGAGAAACATCATCTTCTGGCACAGATATACTGCACATCAATACGGAATAACGTGATACAGACCGTTTTCAAGCAGCGATCACAATACAGCGAGAAAACAACGGCGGAAATGGCAGGCTCAGAAATCAGCGTGAAGCGAGACATTAACCAGATATGGTGCACTCTCATCTTTCGAATGCTCTATTGGCTGCAGCTGCACAACTTCCATAAGAAGGATGTTCAGATTGGCAAGGGTGATGCGTACGACAGCCGAATACCTGTGTATATTCTTTGAAACCGTCGTTTTCCGGCGAGTTCGGACGATAACGACCATTGATTAGGCTTCGTCAGAAGATAGCTCTCGAAGCATGTCAAGGAACATTGTAATTTAGTCATGACGTGTCCTTTTCTGGATTCCATGAGCTTGTTTGAACTTGATTATAAGAATTGATGATTAACGACTGAGTCATAGCTGCTTAATACCGAGGTGTTAGAAGCCAACTAGTGTATACAGCTCAGTTGTTGTACATGTTTGGCTCCACGGTCCGCTTAATGATGATGGACCACTGTGCAATCAACAAGAAAGAAACAAAACCGACCAATGACAACGATAAGATGATAATTTTGATGGAAAGAATAAGCAGATTCTTCCAACATGCCCATGTATAAGTTCGAAACGCATCGGACATTGTGGCATAACCTCGACCGCCCATGGCACACGGCACTACTTTCCCATCAAAGGATCGGTCGAAGGGAATAATAGTATCATCTTCGATCGGGAGAAGGGACGCCTGGATTCGCATCAGAACGACTTGGCTGGGAACAACGAGACAGATGGAGCCGATGACGGTAACCAGGATAACCAGAGCGCATTTGGAGTACAGTGCGAGGTCTCCGGTTGCCATGTGGATTCTGAAAGCATAGATGTTGTCGGGCATGAGGAGGTTGAAATGCGGCCAGTCGATACCCATCGAAGCGGCTAACCAGTAGGGCAGCCATCGCGTTACTTCAACAGAAGCCCAGTGAACGACGACGGCTCTCCATGTCGCCTCGAAGGTGCGTCCAAACGGGGGCACACGTCTCCAGAATGACCCTTTACTGGGCTTGGTGATGACAAGATGCAGCCATAAAGTGCTGAACTGGACCATCACCAGCGCAGGGGAAAGTCTCACCAGAAAGCTGCCCCCCCAGTGCCAATAACGAGCGACCAAGACGACTGGGTAAATAGTGACGACTCCCTGGAGGAGAGCGCAAGAAAGGCCACGGAAGTTGGCGAGAAAGCCATCAGTGTCTACCAACAGTCGATAGATGGCAGCTGGAGACGACGATTCGATTCGACTGGGATTATCGACGGAATTGCGACGAAATCCTCGCTCATCGGCAACATTGTCAAGAATAATGGGATCGCATTCTTCTCGCTTTCTGTCCTGTACGATGGCAAAGACTGGGTAGACTCGAGGTAGGGTGTAATTGAACTGTTGCGCCGACTCATTAGCTGCACGTGGTGGAAGTCATGTATATATGGAAGGGACAAACGTACAATGACAAACAAAGGGAGGAGCATGGCAACATCAACGAGCAATACAACCCGCGACCACCAGGGTGCCTCATAAACAAAGTGAACCTCGTTGTTGTGGTAGAGAGGCCACTGTATGGGACTTGTATGCGCCGAGGAAGCCATGTCAAAAGGTTCGTTTAGTTGAGTATTACCATGGGATGGTTAGATCCAAAAGCCAAGGCTGAGGGATGCCTTGCGTAGAATGTAAGGGGACTTTGAAGATGACAGAGAGATGGTCTTGTGGGTGAGTGCCTTGTTTAAATTGAAGACTTCGACATTCCCTAGGGGTGGGGATGTATCGGCCGTTTCCTCTTTCGAAGAGCCGTTTTAGAAAATAATTTCCTCTTTTGGAGAGGCGCAGCCCGTGTAAAGTAAGAAATAAGTTGCCAGATAATACGAAGAGCCAACGAAGGTTACGGCATTACGTGGCCTACACAATCCGTGCCTATGGCAATAGTTCTTGACACTTGTCTTTATAATCGTGACAGAAGTCGGATGTGTACAGTATTGGAAAGGGAACAGTTATGCGAATCTGGAAGATGTTATCAATAGGCCACCACTGCTTGGTAAATGGACATATACCTGAATACGTAGAGAACAATGAGGCGATAAACTCTGGCTAAGATGGAGGAAACTCACATGGCCTCAACTTCGTTCTTCATTTAAGTCAATATTGAGTTATGATCCATTGAGTGCCGTGCACAACCAAATCATATGGAGCTCCTTTACTGGTCCATAGAGAAGCCCGTAGCAGCTCAACCAGTCTGTTATCACCACGGGCTTGGGGTTGATCTCCAGGAACAATAAACCCCGGCTTTTAAGCTTATATTTTGAGTTTGGGCTTTCGTACCCGTACCGGCCTTATAACTGAGTATAGGGACAGTGTTTTCTCTGATCACTTGTCTTGTTCACCTTTGGCAATCTCCATTGTCTCACTCGATTCTGTGGGTCAAAAAGATTGCGGCGATGCGTTGCGAAGCAAGAGCTGAACTGATGCAACAACGACTCGGGTACATGCTCCGTTAAGCGCCTTGTAAAGGTAAGCGACCAGGGGATGAATGGCCGTAAGGACCGCCTTGCTTTGCGCTTTGAGAGGCTCGAGTTAGCTGAGATTCCAGCACTTATATTCGCGATTCATTTCACCTCTACATTGCTAGATAGGGAAGCTCTCACTTAGCCCCATTGCTCAACTTACGCAGGCTTGCCTTGGTTTACCTATCAGTCTCGAGCAGTTTGCAATGCCCTCGCCTCAAACATCCTCTTTTGACTTGAGGCATAAGAGACATCGTCGGATACCGATGTTGGGCTGGCAACGTATGAGCAAGCTCAAGCAGATCAAGAGCTATTTATTAGAACTCCAATCTTCGAGTATGTGAGAAACATAGCAACGGCAAAACGAACCTCTGACGGCGAGTGATATCCCTGCGCTAAGTGGATCTTGGATACACATTAGCCGCCCGGGCAATGGTCTGGCTCCTAGTGATATATCCGCTAACACTGCCGAGTGTTGCATCCGTGATCGGATCACCATCGCATTGTGTCGCCCAGTTTACGTCGTACTCAGTATATAGATGAAACCCAGTGGTACATCATGGTCTCAGCTTCTTGAGGATGTGTGTCTGCACTCTATGGATGTCACAGTAGTGTTATTGACTCAGGAAAGGTCACAGACCGGACATCATCGGAGCTGCTCTCCCTCGGAATCCCAGTGCCGATGGCTTCGTTTGGCCTCTCGGAGATGATCATCGTTTAACGTAACTCACAGGGATCGGCAGTCACATTCCCGAACTCAGAAGTTTCTCTAATGTACCTCGAGGAACAGATGACAAACGCTCGAGGAACTCCCCTGTCAATGTCTTAGACTGAACCCCGCATAACACCAAATCTCATAAAATCCGGGGTTTCGTGGAGCTTTCGCGACACCATATCCTACGTCAACACTATCAAGCGCAATGAGGTTCTTCAAGGCGAGCACAGAGGCGGCGCAGCAGCCAGCGGCGGATCTGGCTGCGCAAACCGGTCGTGTTGAAAAAGATCCGCTGCCCGTTCACGATGAGAGCGCTGTGCAGCAGCCCTCTATCGATCGCCAGCTGGAGCGGCGAGTCGTCCGAAAACTGGACATGAACCTCGTTCCGTTGGTGATGGCTCTATGTGTGTTCTCTCAGATACCATATCACACGGCCACTTGCAGCTAATGAATCATGTGGCAGATCTCTTGGCTTTCCTTGATCGGTCAAATATTGGGTAGGCACACATCCTGTCATCAGAATCGCGAACATGATCTAAAACGAATTGCAGAAATGCGCGTATTGCTGGCATGAGCGACGACCTTAATCTCATCGGAGACCGCTACGACTGGCTGCTCACGATTTTCTACATCCCGTATATTGTCTTCGAGTTCCTCGGCATCATGTGGAAGGTCGTGCCGCCTCACATCTGGGCAGCCTTTGTCGTCTTTGTTTGGTACGGGCTTTACTCAAACAAAGCTGACTCGCTATGGATACTGACATTGCTGGCTATAGGGGGCTCGTGTCTACTCTGCAGGCAGTTACTCAATCCTGGGGAGGCGAAATGGCCCTCAGATTTATCATGGGAGCCGCCGAAGCAGGCTACGGACCGGGCATCCCGTTTCTGCTGTCGTTCTTCTATCTCCGCCACGAAGTTGGGTTCCGATGCGGGGTCTTCCTCTCCGCTGCCCCGCTGGCAAACACCTTCGCAGGGGCTCTTGCGTACGGTATAACCTCAGGGCATCCTTCAATCGCGAAATGGAGAGTCTTGTTTCTCGTGGAAGGACTGCCAACCATCGTCATGGCAGCCATAGCCTTCTTCTATCTCCCAGACTCCCCCGAAAAGGCCAAATTCTTGGATGAAGACGAGAAGAGAGTAGCTATGGCGAGAAGCGTTCAGCAAGCTGGCACTTCAAAAAGAGTCGGGGGAGTTGACTGGAAGGACTTTGGGAGAGGGCTGATTGACATCAAAGCTTGGTTCACGGGAGTAAGCCGGCAATCTTCTTATCCCGCCGCAACGGTTTGCACTGACACATTACTTTTTCGCAGCTCATGTATTTCAGCTGTAACGTCAGCTTTGCTTCTCTTCCAGTCTTCCTGCCGACGATTCTTTCAGAAATGGGCTTCTCTGATGTGACTGCCCAGGGCTTGACAGCCCCTCCATTCTTTCTCTCTTTTCTTGTTACTCTCATCACGCCGTACATCGCGGATCGAACTCAGCAACGTGGGCTCATGCTCATCGTACTGACGATAATCGGCGGCGTTGGATATGTGATCTTGGCAACTGCCAAGTCTGTTGGAGCCCGCTATTTCGGCGTCTTCATGGCAGCCGGGGGCATTTTCCCTTCTATTGCCAACATTCTTCCCTGGGTTCTGAGTAAGTACTACACGAATCATGAGATTCTCAACAGCTTGCAGTTTCTGATCTTTCTCAGATAACCAAGGAAGCGACACTCGCCGAGGAGCCGGAATCGTCCTTCTCAATGTCATCGGGCAGTGCGGTCCTTTGCTGGGTACCCGGCTATATCCATCTTCCGAAGGGCCATTCTATGTAAAAGGCCAGTCAATTTGCGCTGCTTTCATGTTCTTCATAACCCTGCTGGTAATTGGCCTACGCACCTTGCTTGTCTGGGAGAATAAGCAGCTGGATAAGAAGTATGGAACCATCGAAGAGCAAAAAGCGAGACTTTCGGAGGCGGAAGGGAGAGGTGAAGAAGCTACTCAGGTTGTGGCTGTGGAGAACTATGGACCAATGTTTAGATATGTGCTATAGATGGTGTTTTGGTTCATTGAGAAAGCCGATCTCTCGAGGTTGTTAAGCCGTACCGCCGTGCTTGACGTGGAGCAATTACTGTGTACCTGCTACTCTATGGTTCATTTCTCAGGGTACTTACTCATAGTATTTTATTGCTTATCTAGAGCACTGGGGCTGTTTATACATCTATGTATTTTCTAGCGAGTCCTTGTCAGACGCAGAAGCTGTGATTCACCCTCCGTGAGCCAAGCAGAGTAGGATCCGGTCACTCTGGTAGATTTGCCCGACCAGATGTCGGTAAATGTCCAAGCGGAGCCAGAAATACCAAGATCCTTCAGAGACACAGTCAATTTCTGTTTTCCGTACAGCTGAGTTGAAAAGCCTCCGTTCCCAAGGTCCGGTCCATAGTTGACAATGAGCACATAAGCCTCGTGGTCATCCGAAGGGCCACCGATCCAGGCCTGGAGCTGCTTGGCGGCGTTGCTTCCGGTCCCGGGATTTCGGGGCTGCATGGGATACTTTGCAAAAAAGTCTGCCGCATCAATCGACTGCTTGCTGGTGGTCAGCTTGAGGCCCAGGGCGTCGACCTGCTGCATATCGCCACCAATGATCAGGTTGGCTCCAGCTCCAAGCCAGTGATTTTGAACCGTATAGCGAATAGTGTCATTGACACCGGCGAGATGTTCAGGGTTGACAGTGAAAAGAGCATCCATGTCAGGATAGATGGTGAGAGGGACATTTCTCTGCGCTTGCAGACCGATGTACTGCCTGTAATTCTCAATCGCTCGCTGGCCGACTTGCCACGCCATCAAGGTGTTAGTGCCGTAATTGTCCAGATCTTGATCTGTGCGCATGGACTCGGCAAGATCGCTCCAGATGGGCAGCCAAGTTTCGTTGCGGCAGAGTTTCCAGGAAATATCGAGGCGAATCTTCCGGCCTGACTTCTTGATTGCTTTTTGGTATGCTCGAACAGCATCTGAGCTGTCACACGCGAGGTTTGCGCCATTGGAAGGCGAGCCAGGCGTCAGGAAGTCCAGCTTGAGCATGTCCACGCCCCATGAAGCCCATTGTGCGACGACCGAATCGTGCCACTGCTGGACGCCATCTTTGCTGAAATCAAAGTCACAGTTGACCTGATCGTTGTTACCGTTCAAGACGTCCTTGATCTTGATCTTGGTGCCGAGGATGGTTTGGTTATGGGCCAGGCATGGCACGCCAGGAGTGATGTATACGCCGAGCTTCAGATCCCTCTTGTGCAGCCATAAAGCAAGTTCTGGGAGGTTAAAGCGAGTGGTGTTGTAGATGATCCGGCCATGGTCGTCGACAGCGTTGGTAGCCTGCCAGCCCGAATCAAGGCTGCAGAGATCATATCCAGCTTTCTTAAACTCCGGTCGGGCAAGGACTCCACACTGAGTCTCGACAAACTTCTGAGTGTAGAATAGGCCCGATTGTCCAGCAAAGGACGGCACGACCTGGGAACCGTTCGCCAACGCCTGAACACCGTAGGTATTCCAGCCTCGGGCTGAGGACGTGAACCCGTTTCGCGTTTTGGCCGTCTTGATGACCTTTAGCGGGCCGCCGGCAGGAGTCGCGTCTGGCTGCGGGTAGCACTCAGGCAGCGCAGAGTCACGATTTTGGATGCAATACGGTGCCGGTTGAGTCTTGACAACATCAGTCCTCGAGGGATCGCTCGTGTAGCAGGCATCCTCGGCGGCGGCCCAATACCACTGGTTGTCGCTGTAGCCCCATGTTGCAGTGGTGGAGCCGCCGAGTAGGCAGAGATCGCGGATGTCCTGGAAGGCGATGACGGCGTCGTTGTTCTGACTTCCCGGTGAGGCCCCCAAGTTGGCCTGTTGTTGCATGAACAGGTTTCCCTTGCCGTCGTTGCAGTCGACCTGGCTTGCGTTGGCCTCAAACTGGGCGGCGCAATCCATGAACGCATTGTAGCACTCTAAAGTGAAGTTGAGCGTCCCTGGAGTGTACAGGTTGCCGCCGCATTGCGTTTGAGCGGCCACAGGGCGTAGCAGTAATGCCGCTGTGACGGAGATGAGAACTGCAGCGTTGGGCGCCATTGTGCTGCGATGAAGACTGAACACTTTGCGCCTTTTGCTTGCTGCTCAAAGGAAAGGTGACTGCCATTCCCAAGGCGCTGGAGGCCTATTTATACGCATTCCATATGCGCTCTCTGAGTCCATCTCAGCTGATACTCGATTTCCAACGTCAATCGGCACCTCGGCAGAGCTCGACGCTGTTGCGGTGAATTTTCCGGGGCCGGAGAGTTTAACTTGAGTGATCCAGCACCTATATTGTACAGTCATAAGCCACTTCAAGCGGCTATATTTTATCCGAGGGTTATTTTGTTCAATAGTCGGTTTCTCATCCGATGGATGTATCATCCGTCCAGTTCTGGCATTTTGACGTGGGACGCGTCGTTCCGGGGGTCTTGCATCGTGTGGAGTTGGTTCTCCGCAAATTTCATGAACAAGCCTTGTCCGAAAATCTGGGGAAGAAATGATGAAGATATGCCGCGGACGATTGCTCGGCATGTACTTCGGCGCGTCAGTTGTTAATCGACGATGTTTCACCGCAATGGCTCAAAAGGCTGAATGAGCTCGAGAAATAAGCCTAGAACATATAACACGACTGGAGCCCAGAAAGTCGCTTACCCCATGAAACTATCAGGGTCAAGATGAGATGCCTTCTTTGGAGGCCTGACAAAAGCATCGAGGAAAGCATTTGCATCCAGACACATGATAGTCGTGATGGGTTCTCGATCTATCGGCCAAGGTCTTCTTTCCTATACTACCTATAGACATACTTGGTTCTTTTCGCCAGTGAAGCCTGACATGCGTAGCTTCATACGAAGTCGAGATTCGACCACAAACCGACTCGAACTACTACTCGTTGCTTGAGCCAATCCGAGATATCGCGCCCAATCAATTTCTAAACAGATTGTGAACAAGACCGTGCCCACGAAATGCTTGTCTCTTAATATCACTCACAAACTGTAATTGCCGTAGACTTACGAGCAGAAAAGCATCTCGATTAAGCCTGAAAAAAGACTACTCGCAAGCAGATCATGTCGCTACCCAGGTGATGTCTTTTCGTTGCCTGGTTTTCGGTAAGGGAGGTGTATGTATGCAAACGACGACGAAGCTACCCCAGAGATTCCATACCCTGTATTTCCATAACATGACTTCAGAGAAAGTGACATATGAATGACATTAAGATACACATCCAGATTAACGATTCTTCCATAGCATACCTATTGCCAGCTGGTCCATTTTGGTTTAGATGCATGCAGTTTAGCGATCTTCTCAAACTGGGTGTGTCCTTTCGGTCTCGAGTTTCCCATGCCTACCTAGCTGAGTAACCTAAAAGACTTCCCAGGTGCATCAACTCGAGGTCAACGTCATTGGTTGGAATCCACAGGATTGTGCCTGAATTCGCGCGGAAAATTTGTCTTGCTTTCCTCGACGTCAATTTATGTCCTCGCATCAGTAATCTTGTCTGGAGGCGCGATTCGGTCCAGTTCAATTTTTCCAATGAACCGATTCTTCAATCGAGTTGCGATCCTCTTTGCGATCCTCTTGCGATCCTTACAACACTAGCATTTGGGAAGATAAAAACGCCCTACAGAAACGAAGCAAATATGAGAACGTATATATTGCATTCCTAGCGGATAGGCGGCACTTGAAACTGCTATAACAACAGAAGCTTCTGCACCGAAGAAGTTATGGACTCACGCTACACGTTCACAGCCACGAACGGAAGGTTAGGTTTACTACGTAAACATTGGAGTGTCATATTGGAGACAGGACGAGAAGAATCTCATCGTCGCGCATGAGAGAGACCACAGTAGGAAAATTTTCATGAGCTAACCTCCTTTCTAGTATATGCCTGCGCAACGATTAGCGCGATGGTCTCGGGCGGCGGGACTGACCGACTGACCGGAATCCGAGACACTGCTGTTTCGCGGCCCGAAGCCTTCAGTAGCCCCTTTTCCAAGTAATGATGCTGGTTTCCTTGAAAATACTACGTTTCGGGAATAATAGGCATTGCAATAACCTTCATTTCTTGGTGAGTGACTGTCCTGATGTGCGATGAAAGATTGTCATTCGGGAACTGACTTGCATGACTCACGACGCTACGGCCTAGCCAGGAGGTCCGAAGTGCGAACTCGTTAAACCACAAAATACGGCAAACTACACACTAGAAGCAGCAAGCATGGCCTCGCACCGGATTTCCTCAGAAATGCCGACTGGCCTTGAAGCGAGGCTGTCTATTTCCAGACATGCTTACATAGAAACATCTTACCCACGTTGATTGGGTTTTGCGGCCAAGTGGCTCCGCTATTGGTGAAGCGATTGTAAACCTGGCTGGCCTGGGCGATTGACTTTACAGACGATCATCTATTCAGCTATGCGCAGTAGAAATGCTGCTAATCTCATGTAGTTGCATGTTTGTCTCTAGTAATACCCTCCTATGCAAATTCTTTACGGAGTGTGATCTACGAACATTTACAGTATGAAATGGCTTCGATCTGCGTCAATGATGCGAGGTGAAGATGTACAAAATGAATGTACAATCGGCCTTCCAACGAGGAGCGGTATTGACGTCAATTTAGATTCCAGTGAAATTTTTGGCCTTGAAACATGCTGGATCCAATATAGGAGGTGGTTTGCCAAAAGTTATCACGGTACGAAAAAGACTCGGATCCCAAATTAGACGAGTACTAGATACTACTCGGGGCCGGATCGTACCCATATAAAAGGGAGCTCATGGTTCTTCTCAGGGAGACAAAAGTACTTCATTGATCATCATCATCAACTATTCTTTTCTCGAAACATCTATACACACCTCAATCTCAGGTCAACCATGTCTTCCAAGCCCACTCTCGTCTTCGTCCCTGGAGCCTGGCACAGTGCTGATACATGGAACAAAGTCACTGCTGAGTTGACGCCTCGGGGCTACAAGTCAGTTTGTATCACTCTCCCTTCAACTCAAAATGACCCAACCAAGGGTTTGTTCGAAGATATCGAGGAGATCAGGAAGGCCATCCTCGCCGAGACCACCCAAGGCCGAGACGTCGTCGTCGTTGTTCACTCGTATGGCGGTATGATTGGTCCCAGCGCTGTCAAGGGACTTACTGAAGCTACGAGTGAGCGGCCTGGACGCGTCATAGGCATTGCCTTGATGGCGACTGGCTATTGTGTAACGGGCATTGGCTTCCTCGAGGGACTTGGTGGTAATCCGCCTCCTTTTTGGAAGGCTGATAAAGAGACGGGATATGCCACGCTCATTGTAGATACAAGGGAGCTATTCTACCACGATCTTCCGGAAGAAGAAGGCAAGTACTGGTGCAGCCGACTTCTGCCACAGGCATTGAAGCCACTCACAGACAGTGGAGAGCACGTGTACTCGGGCTGGAAGGACGTCCCGACCCGGTATCTGATTACGACAGACGACAAAACTTTCCCGCACGAGATTCAATTGGCCATTGCCCAGAATGCCAAGGAGCAAGGTGCAGAAATTGTCGTCGAGGAGATTCATTCGAGTCATTCTCCAATGCTTAGCAAGCCGAAGGAAACTGCCGATTTTGTTGAGAAGGCTGCCGAATCTTTTGTGGAGAAGAAGAAGGCGTGAGGGAGGATTACTCTTCAGGTTGTAATGTTGTATATATAAACTCTCTGCTCTTTGTTAAGCTCAAGTCAAACTTAAATATGGAAGAAGGAATGTACTCTTTGCTAACAATGAACGTGATGACCGGGCCTTGATTGGATCTGTTGGTATGTCTCAATAGTCTCTGGGAACATGATATTCCCCACTCCCCCACGCCATGCTTCATCATCCATCAAAGTGATACACCTTCGTAAAGTATTGTAGGTTGGTTGAATTTATGCTCACTGTCTACCTTAGTCAAGTTGAGGTAGGTCTGCATATCTTCTGTAACTGGGTGTAACTTATCATTGTGCATCACATATTTAGACCACAGCGTCGATCTTGGAACATTCCCACCGGCACTTACGGGGTAACCAAAACGGCTAGTGACGATCACATACAGCAATTACGAAGTGCTTGACAGCATTCAATGGAGATACACTTATGTAGATAGAGCTGACTGCACAATATAGACTATGGAGCAACAGGTTACAGCTGTACAGCTACAGTACATATCGGCTGATCATATAAAGTTAACTCTTAACTTGATAGAGGAGAGGGATCGATATGTACTCACAACTTCAGATTCTCTCTGTCTGTCAGATCAAGTTGGTTATTATCGACCACACGAGTCTCTCTGCTTCCGTCATCATTTATCGTTTCAACCAGACCGTTGTTGGATACAAGGTTCTGCGCTTCGAGCTTATCGCGGCGCTCATTCTCGCGACTTAGATAGATGCGAAGAATAGCGATGATGATAGAGGGGAGGATAGCGGCGACCTGCGGACAGTTAGCTGACATAGAGTACGACTGAATGCTAAACTTACGATGAGCAGGATTATCCAGGTTGGCTTGTATCGGGGTTTCCATCGGGGCTCAAACAATTGAGGAGAAATGATGTTGCCCAGTCCATATCCGATATGGTAGAGAGCGATGACTGTCGTTTTCTTAGTATGTCCAGCGGAGGCATTTGCTGCCCATATCATGACAACGGCGTATGGGACACCAGTCGTGTACCGTAGCCATACTCCAATAATTAAGCCCCAACGATTTGACCAGGGAAGTGCTGCATTATGGCTATTAGTTTACATGGTGCTTCAGAACATATAAATGCACGTGTTTTTATCATCGTGCAGCTGGGTCGAAGAATGATGGGACGCATAATCAGAATAGGCTCACCCAACAGTAGTATGCTCGATATAACAGCAGGTACATATGCAACGAGAGATATCCATGCTCGACAATTCTTGGGACCTGGTTAGCAGATCTATGCAGATGCGCAAGGGTGTGTCGAACACCTACCCTGGTCCAATGCAAAGTGACTGCGGCTGCAGAGAGTGTAAAGAATGCTATGACCCCGCTGACAGTACTGAGCAGCGTGGTCTGAAAGACTGTGAAGCCAAACGAGTTGATGATCAACGATGTCTGGTTGTTAATACCGTTGCCCATCTCTTGAGACCAAGCATGTAAGGCAAAAAGCCACGTTTTGGGGTCCTTGATGGCTTCAATGAACCTGTATTAGCTGGTTAGACGGTCAAGAATTATACGCTCAAAATGGTCTTTGGCTTACTGATGCTTCTTGAACTGTTTTTGTTCGATGCCCGAATTGTTGCCCTTGATCCGAAGAATTGCTTGTGCTCGTTCCTCGTAAGTCAGGAAGTGGGCATGCAGGGGGCTGTCAGGATAGTACAGGAATACTAGAACGCCAAACAAGATAGTAATGACACCGGTAATGACTGTCAGCTGTGTTAGCTGCTCGACTGTACATCATGACCTGAAAGCGAGCAGAATACCCATAAGCCACTTCCACGGGTGGAATGATCCAGTCTTGATCCACAGGACACCGTATGATAAGAAGCCAGAGGTAATAGGGCTTGAGTTGCCGATGGACCACATGACAGACATCATGACGGCTTGTTCCTGATATGTGAAGAACATGGACATGGAAAGCAGAAATGCCGGCACTATGCAGGCTTCGCTGAGTCCCAATAGGAATCGGACAACGAACAGAGAGGCAAAATTATTGCATGGAATGTGTAGCAGCGTAATACCACCCCTACGAATATCGTAGAGGATTAGCCAATCGGGTTACTACCGCCGACAACGAGTCTTCGATATTGTAAATCTGGATCTACGCACCAGACGATGAGATTCGCAGCAAGCCATTTCCCAACAGGGAACCGTTGCAGGGCCCAATTCTGCGGCCACTCGGCCACCAGATAACCGAAGTAGAATATGGATGAGAGCCAGTTGTATTGGTTGGCGTTCAGCTTTGCATCTTCCAGGATGCCAAGGATGGCCGAACTGCCGAGCTGTAAACAGACAAATCACTTGTTAGCTAGTGCAGCAGTACAATCTCGCAGAAGGTCCAACGTACAGTTTGTTTATCCACATACATCAGATGATATCCGACGCAAAGAAAAGGCAGAATCCTCCAAAGCAGCTTGTTGCGGATTCGTCGAGCTTCTTCCGGCGTTGGATCGGCCACCTGGACCTTGGAGAACAGCTTGTAGCTCTCATCGGCCGATCGATCCGACAGCTTGGGAACGTCTCTTGCAAGATCATTCTCCTCATGGGACTCTGACCGTGAGTCTATTGCTTCCTCGTACGCAACCTTTGTTGCCATGACTGCCAGGGAAGGGTGATATCTAGGTGGTGGTGGTGAACTCATGAATGTCCACTTGGTCCTTGCTTCTTTGCATCATTTATTCAAGATTGAAGCTTCTCTAATATCTAGTATGGCGCCATTTGCCAACCATTGATCGCCATGCCTGATCATCATGCTCTTACATGTCCCCAACAAGCATAGATAGTCAATAGCTCGTGTTATTCGTGCGGAGTAGAAACGCCATGGGTGTTTTGTCAATATAGACATCGTTATCAGGAAAGAGGGTGAAAAGTTATCATGGCGGGATTGAAATCGCTTGCAGGTAGCTATTGCCGGTCTGTGATACCCGGCATAGTGGCCTTTGCGTCATGGCTTTGAAGTTGACGTGCTTTCGTGTGGCCTATCACAACACTTGATATCGGCATATAACCCCCCAACCCGGTTAAACGCTTACATATCTTTCTGCCACTGCATCAGTAGTTCAATACAAAAAGTCAATCGCTCTCTCTCTTCTTCATTCACGATTAGAAATGCCATCATAACTAGCGTGTCGTAGGGTGAATTCGGCGAACACTCAACCGGGTATAAAGTAATGTTACAGTTTGCAGTTCGCTGACTGTGACACCGCCAATCAGCAATTTGACCTTTGAGAGAGCAAATCAACGGAAAAGAGCTACAAGCATGGCTGACAGCTCAAAGCCATTTCGGGTCTTGATTGCTGGCGCCGGCATTGCAGGCTTGGCCACGGCGATCTCACTTACACGGATCTCTGGTATACCAGACCTTGACATCCAGCTCTATGAGCAAGCCCCCGAGCTGCGGGAAATCGGAGCCAGTATTGCCCTGAGCCCCAACGTAAGCTCTGTGAAAGAGACTTGACTCATATGATGAGTCCTTCTACGTTCTTTTTCTTATGATGTCACAGGGTTTACGAACGCTTGAGAAGCTTGGAGTAGACTCTGCCCTGAGTGATGAGGTCGGCTTCAGAGGGCCAAGTGGTATACCGCATTTCTATAGGTAGGCACAGTACTCTCGAACATTGAGTTCAATGCCTCAAGCTTATCTCAATCATATGACGCAACAAGACACTGGAAAACAAATCAGGTGGTTTCAGTCGATACTTTCTCCAATGTCTCTGATCGTCGCCATCAAACGACAAGATTTCACCGAGGCCACCTCCATGCTGCCCTTTTAGAACACGTTCCGAGAGAATGGATACATCTGAACAAGAAAATCTCTCGCGCTGAAGCCAACGACGATGGCGTTTCTCTATATTTCGAAGATGGAACCAGCGCTCATGGAGACATTTTGCTTGGAGCAGATGGGATCCGATCGGTGAGCTACAGTCTTCCGTCAAACCTCAATTACTCCATGCTGATGCCGCTTCTAGCAAGTCAGAGGCTCTTTCTACCCCGAGTATAAGCTAAGATTCAGCGGGAAAGTCTTTATGCGATCCACGTTTGACGCGTCTCTGGTTGAGGGCAAAGTTCTCGACTTACCCGCCGATGCTGCTCACTGGGTATTATGCCTTCCACTTACCATCACATGAGAATGTTACTAAACATCTATCAGTGGGGAACCAAAGATACATTCTTCTCTTCAAGACTTGGTAATGCCGGTTTCCCCTCATTCTGCAATAGGTGGCTGACACTTCTCAGGCAAGGGTTTATATACTGTCGTCGGCGCCTACGATGACGGGCGCAGTGCCGAAGAACTGGAAAAATCCATAACATGGGACCAAGCCGGCAATGTCCAGTTCTTGAGACAGAAATACAAGGTATAAACTCCCATGTGGCCACGATTTTTATAGGGCATCAAACTGATCGGCTCGACAGGATTGGCACCCCGTTGTCAAGACTCTGACCGAGCTGACGCCACACGCCCGCCTTTATCCCAACTACGCAGGCGATGCTCTTCCTTCATGGATCCCAGCTTCCCGCGTCACTCTTGTAGGTGATGCCGCGCACACACATGGAGGCAGTTTTGCCGCAGGTGGATCACTGGCTCTCGACGACTCCCTTGCTCTTGGACTGGCTTTCAAGCATGTCTTCTCACCCGGTGCAGCTATCGTACCATTATCTCAAGAAAATATTAGAAGGGCGTTGAGTTTGTATGATCAAACGAGGAGACCGCATACCGCTCGCCTGCTGAGCATCGTCCATGGCCTGATAAACCGAACGGCGCCGACATTTGCCACTCCCGAGGAAGAAGACGAGGCTCTCAGGGCCAGAATGCGAAACCGACCGGATCTCCAGTGGCTATCCGAGCACGATGTGGAGAAGGCATTTGCCCAGGTGGTTGCGGACTCTGAGAAGCAGGGTTTGTACTCGACAGAAGGATCAAGGACACCGAGATCAGGCTATCTACCAGAGATCGCCTTGCGAGCTTTGGAAAGCAAACTATAGTGTCTGTATTAGATCAAGAGGAGTAGATTGTTAGAGAAGGTGAAGCGACTAGAGCGTACGACGCGTTGATCTGAAGAATGGATGCGCCTTATATCAATACGGACTGGTATGGTATTATGATTGCCATTTCCCTCTCATGCTACATAGTTTGATCTCCCTCCAAGCTTGCAAACTCTAGCATACTGCTCCCGACCATAGGAAACAGTGCGCCACTATCATAAGCATCGAACCAAAGTGTCCTCGGGGATAAGAAGCTCCCAATGTCGCTAAGATTCTGAACCGACGGATCGCCACCGTCATCTTGCTGCATCATCGTGCCTCTGTTCTGCCCACCCTGATACTGCGCTTCGTCAAGTTCTCCATAGCTCGTCTTGTCATTGACCAGACCGCCACTTCCCGTCGCCGATGGGGTCGGTTGATTAGCCGTTGCAGGCTCGGAGTCCCAAACTCCCTGCCACTGCGCGATGTTGCTTCCAGAAGCCTCGTGGGTAGGTCCGGCATTGCTCACTGGCGGCTCTGCATCAACCCGGCCGAAGAGCCTTCCGATCAAGTCGTTGTTGTATTCCATCCTCTTCCGCTGTTGCAGCTCCAGGAACGTATCGCAGGCACTGATCATCTTTTCCACAATGCCCAAGTAACGCTTCGTAACTAGATCATGCACACTGAACTTTTCGAGAATCTTACACGCTTCTCCAAGTCGCTTCCTTCGTAATGGCATTGATCCCTCTAGATCGCTAAAGAGAGAAAGCCCGATAATAAGCGACGCTGCGAATGCTGAATTCACGATAAACGGCAGCCTTTTTGGTGTCGACTTGTTCGTTAGGAGTGGCTGTAGAAGGTCGATTGTCCGCACGGCAGAATCCACACATGCTTGAGCGAGTATGTTGCGTGAAGGGGATGGTGTTGATGTATGGTGGGTCGAGTTGGGAGGCGAGCCCGTCTCTGGTGGCGATATCGAAGAGACATAGTCGATGAGAAATGGTCGGGATAGCAACATTATGGTCCAATAGTATGCCTCTTTGAGGTGAATAAGTCCAATATTAGGTCCAACCCCTCCCCTTCTCGGTGTCTCTTCGTGAGGATGCGTGTCGATGCTCTCCACGCCCTGGCCACCACTAAATCTAGCCGCCCAGCTGCGATGAAGCTCGCTAATCTTCGTCAGGCATTCAGTTGTGATCATTCGCTTTGCATACACTTCAGTCAGGATGTTCTCAAATATGAAGGACAGGTCGTTCATGGCTGAATAGTTCTCCTTGGACGAAGTATCCCGAGTCTCCAGTGTGGCCGGAGGCCTACCTAGTGACGCGCTCATGAATAGATCCAGGGCCCTGATACCTTTCCACAAACGCTCTCGCGTCATGTATTCGGTCGTATCATACAATGCGGAAACATCTTCTCTGTGAAGGCCTAACGCATAGGCGCCACGCACAGCTATACCCAAGTACATGAAGGCAGCATTTCTGCGTGATTGAGCCAGGAGATACATGGCTATGAGAACATGACATTGGGTAGTCGCGATGCTTGGATCATCCATGAGAGTAGCCAGCGTCACATATCTTCCGTAGTTGAAGTGCTTGTCCGCTGTTTCGTCATAGTCTTCGGGACACGCCTGAGCACCAATGGCAAGTATCAGGGAGTACGTGGCACTGAGCGCGTCAACAGGCTGCTGAGGAATACGCAGCCAGTCGAGGATGTTGTCGCATATAGTCGTATCGTCGAACAATTCGAGAATGGAATGCGTAGCCTGTCGGTACCAAAGCACAAAAGACCTGGCCTCGTCCTCGGTTGGTTTTGGTGGCGGTGCCGTACCATTGTCGAGGATCAAATTGTGCCCCTTGCTTGGACATGCCTCAACCATGTGATGGCGAAGCGGATCATTAACGAAGATGCAATCGCCCACGTGCCGGTGAACGATTCGGCGGACATTCTGGAGGAAGCTGTGGTTGGCAGAGTCGCCGATGAACATGAAGGTGCCTCTGTCATCCCTTATCAGCCTTGAAAAATGAGGGAAGCGTAGTGCCATCTCATGTTGAAAACCGTGAGATTGCCCATCGGTATGATTTAACAGCGAGCCATTCCTGGACTCGATTGTTGTAGATCGAGGGTCCGAAAATTCGGACAGTGGACTTGGCAGCGCCGAAGCCGCACGAGAAGAGCGGCGAGGAGGACAAAGACTGCATTCCGAGCCAACTCCCCTATCTAGACAGCGTCGACATGGTTGTCTCCCGTCGCAGCGCTCCTTGCGCCGCTTGCAGTTTGTGCATGCCCTGGCACATCGCCGCCGCTCACTATCTTTCACCTTCTTCGTAGGCATGCTATCTCACGTGTGATAGGATGCTGTCGGATATGGAGAGGTATGAAGCCGACAGTTGGAGATTGTCGATAGTCAATAGCCGATGCCAGGTCCTACCGGCGGGAACCGGGAGAAATATCCGATTCAGGGCGTAATTTAAACCGGAGTCAGATTCGCTTCTGTGACAGCCGTTATTAGGGTCAGTTGACTTGTATCATCTCTTGGCTGCCATTGAACCTCACCTAAAGTCTTCAAAGAAGCTTGCGGAAGTCTGCTGGGATACCGCGCGGATATCACGACGCGTCGATTACCAATTGTTCAATGCTTGGATGCTTACACGAAGCTGACAAGGCGATTGCCACCTCATCTTGCTAATTCCCAGAAGAGACACAGGTGTTGCAACCATCGGATACCGGGTCATTGTAAACAGCCCGTTAGCCGATACCGCCAAACCTGCTACAGCTTCTCATTCGCCAGCTAGAAGAATAGAGGGAAAGCCTGCGGAGCTGTTGCGGGGAATAGCGCGGGGGAGCTTCACGGCAGTCTAATGCGGCTGTCGAAGCTGATGCTGGGACAAACGGCTGGGCAGGGAAATAGTAGTAGTCTTGGTGAGATAGCAGCGAGGGCAAGGCCTCCAAGCTGGAGAATGACCGTGTGTATTAGCTTCTGCTCAAGTTTCGTCGACCAGTCAATGCCCGAGACTTAGTTGACGCTTACATAGAGCCACTTGATTCCAGCTGGGAGCTAATCAGTGGACGTCGTTTATAATGGCGCTTTATTAGACGTATACACTGGGCCAGATGTGATTATGGGCTACATCCAGAATAACAAGGCATGAAACAATACTTGAAGGAAGGGGAATTTATACGTTTGATGATGCCATTCAGCACGAGACGTTGCTGTTGTCTATTGCGATAGATGTTGAATCCATGACATATCCCCAAGAAATACATGATGATGGTACTTGACTGCCAGGCTGGAGCTCATCTCATGACCTTGTGACCAAAAAGAAGAGCCTACTTCTTTGTCCCAGATTGATTGCCGGAGTTGCCACCATAGCCACCTCCAGAGTTAGTGCCTTGAGAGGCATTCTGGTTCCGATCCCCCGCCGACTGTGCACGAGCAGCGAAGCCGCCGGATGACATGTCTTTACCCCCCGTGGCCTGACGCAGAGAATTGTCAGCAAAAAGATTATGAAGAGCATGAGTCTTCTGCATCATTCATACCTGCGTGCTCTGGATGTTCGAGGCAGCGCTCTTGGTCATTTCGTTCTTCGTCATCTTGGTGGTTTGAGATAGGTGCGCTTGTGTTGAAAGATGGGTGGATTCGTTCAAATCTGTACGGAACTTGAGAGTAATATTGAACAGCAGCAAGAAAGTTAGCAGATATCAGGGAAATTTGGACGAATTTATAAGAGCCCAATGATAGATGAGCGGATCGTTATAGTACACCATGGAAGTGGTGCTACGCCATATATCACCATTCTGTACACCATCAATATAGAGTTGATCATAACATAGAGCGGGCACCAATCGCCCAGTGGCGTGGCAGCTCACTTCCGTTGTGAAACGTATGGATACGCTGTTCATGTGAGGTATATACAAGTAACGAAGAGTTTGTGGCCCCAACTCAGTGATACAGTTGCTTCCTGAACTGCTCCTGGAGACAGATGATGCATATCATTGAGTATTTTCAGGCGTCTACCTGTCTGTACCCGAACTCATTGCTGTTGGACTCTCAAAAAACCTCCGAAGAAGCGGCTGACTGCAGCAGTGTTCTCCATTGGGCCAACATAAGACACGTACTGGTCCGGTCGAACGATAACAACGCACCCACTGTGAGAAATGCCCAAGGCATCGTAAATATTTCCGAAGCCTTCATGGTATGAAACATCGTCCACGAATATCTTATTGTAGTCCCAGCCATCGATCTCGTCGAAGGGGCGAAATATCTCTGGAAAGTCGAAGATGGACACGCTGGTTCGAGGAGCATTGTGAATGACGAGAAGTTCAAACACTTCGTCATATTTGGCACCCTCTGGGGTATAGAGGCTTAAAAAAGCACTCTGGGAGCCGAAGTCTTGGGCCAGCTTCTCAAGCTTGCCTCGCTGCTCACTGTTGGTGACGTTTCCAGCGAAAACGATGATCCGCCAACGGCCATTGCTGGGAAGGAGTTCTTGAAGGTGCCAGGGACGAGCATCGGCTTGGTTAAGGACTTTGTGGCTTGGGATTCGCATGCCAACCGTTATGCCACGACATAGAGACTCGTCGGAGATGACATTACTCTGGACATTCGCGACGGATACATCTGTACCGTCACCATGCTCTTCACGGCTGCCCTCCTTTGCAACAATCTCGCTGGCCCCGTAGTTGACAGCTGCAAGACGTGTGAAGTCAGTAATAAGCAAGCCGAAAGGATAGACCTTCCCTACCAATGCCGCTGGCAAACATATGACCCTTTAAAAATGCTGCCTTGAACTCCTCCATGCTGATGCCCTCTGCATCCATGACGTCTTTTGCTGGCCGGCCCGAAAAGAGCCTGGAGAATTTGTGGTCAAACGCGATGAGCTCCTGAGCAATGCCACGTCTCTCTGACTGGTATGTCTTCAGAATAGATCGCTTGGCGTGGCCCTTGACGACGCTGGCAATCTTCCAGCCGAGATTGAAAGCTGATATGTATTAGCGCCCCATGTTTTGTTCGCGCCTATTCTCCTTCCACTTACTATCTTGCATGCTCACATTCATTCCTTGGCCTGCTTTGGGACTGTAACGAGATGTCAGTTCTGTATCATCGTAGCCTCCATTCCTGTCTCACCTATGAGTGTGCACTGCATCGCCTGCGAGAAACACACGGTCATGCACAGAAAAGGACGTCCCAACACGCTGTCCTATCTGGTACGCCGTCCACCAGTCCAGCTTCCGGTAGGTAATCTTGTACGGTGCCATGATCTTCTGTGCAGATTCTAAAATGACCTGGGGATTTATCTTGGATCTGTCCGCTCTCGACGAAGTATCTCCCGTCTTTTCCGTTGTCGTCAGCTGAATGTAAAGCCGAACCAGCTTGTTCTCCCTCGGTATAACCATGATGCTTCCGTTGCTGGCGGAATGGATAGCGCACCTCATTCTGATGTCTGGAAAGTCGGTGATTGGTACAATGTCCAGAACGCCCCAGATGTAGTCGGTAGAATCTCCCTCGAGCTTCAGGCCAAGCTGGCTGCGCGTCCACGAGTGTGCTCCATCCGCACCGACCAAATACTTTGCATGAACAATCTCCTCACTATTCGCCTTGTCACGAAGTTTCGACAGTTCCAGCAGATCTTGTGTGTCGTCCTTTGCTAGGTTGCTGCGAAAGAGCCCATCCTGAACTACCTCGCCGTTTACAGATGTCGAAGACTGCCTTGGGGTAGCTTCTTTTTCAGTGAGATGTCTCAGAGTAACAGTAATCGGATACGCAGCATCATCTTCCACCAGCGACTCGTCTATCTTGAGGCTGGACGGCATCACTCCCCTCTCAACGCGAATGTCACTCGCCTCTGCGATAGCATCGAGGAAAAACCTCTCGATTCGGCCCTGGTGCAAAACAACTTGCTGGAAGCGGCTGATGCCCGGTATCGTGTCTGGAATGCGGTCGCTTCGTCTGATGACTCCATTCTCATCGGGGTTCCAAAGGCAAATCTCGACCATGTGGTTCGCTTCGCGCCATGCTCTATGCCCAATGCCCAAAGAGTCGAGAATCTCCAGGGTGCGGCATTGGAGGCCATCAGCCTGTCCGTTGAATATCTTTGTTCCTCGCTTGTCGACTATGCGTGCGTTGATGCTGCATTTGGCCATCCAGGTCGCCATCATCAGCCCAGCTGGCCCGCCTCCAACGATGAGAACATCTACATTGCTTTCTAGAACCGTTGCCATTGCATTCACGGCGGTGTCCGGAGGCTGCCTAGAAGGGTCAGAATACGGTCGTGATGATTATCTGCAAACGGGCAGGGCTGTGTCTTTTAACCACGGTGATCAACCACCAAATCCTGCGTCTCTTTCCCATGTCTCATGACTCGTCCTTCCGCCCAACCTTCAGCCATAAACAGATATTGCAATCCACCTTATTTCCTAACTCAGTTCCTTCTAATGCAGTTGTGAGCAACCCCACGAGTTCGACACGCAAGGTTTATTAACGAACGTCGACGTAGACACTCTTGACCTCTGAACTCCATCGGATCTTGCAAGAGGCGTCCGGGTATGATCTGATGCTTCTTCCCCGCATTACCCCGCTTCCGATGATCAACATAATTTGTCCTCGTCTCCATGGATCTGGATTCCACGGCTACGGAGTCTGGAGTATGCTTAAATAATATGAAGGCTCTGACCTAGAGTCTCTGTCTACGTGTAGACTGCTGGGGAAGCTAAAGAGGCAACTGGGCACGGATCCATGGATCGGGAAATCCTTCAGCTGCAGCGGCAACCCGGTTGCCGACTCCACAGAAACGAGGGCTATGCTATTACTGTCACCGTCTTCGTGGAGAGATAAGTGAAGAGTCAGTGACTGAAGACGTAACTGTGTAATCTCGGCGGTACAAGGGTACAGGGGTACCGCTGTCTATACGACAGTTGAAGTCAAGGGAGCATCAACGACGGCAAAATCATTCCGAATGCACAGCCAAATTCACCATCCAAGCTCTGTTGCTAACATTTGACAAAGCAGCCATCAACTGGATGAACGTCCATTATTGGTGAATGTGTTTCCCCAGCTTGTTGACTCACCGCTGACCAAGTTTAGCAGTTCCCTAATCAAAGCCTTTTCATATACTACAAGTCGCGCTCCATTGAAATGGCGGCAGAAAAGCTGGGGGACTTGACCAACCCCAGTGCGGGGATACAAGCTTCAGGAGACGCGGAGGTTTCTATCCCCCATCAAGCATGAACCAGATCTCCTTAGTGAAAAGAGGGCGGCAAGAATTTGCGCTAACGACGACAAAACCTGGGGGGCGGATCAACGTGATACTTGTAGGACTTGGAGAGACGCGTAACCGTTGGCGCATGGAACTATTTGCGGAGTAAGGACGAAAGAAGGGACGGAGCACTCCAGATGGAGCCTAGATACAATGCCCTATTGCCGACAGGCGACTTGCCATTAGTACTAGTATGAACATCGTCGGAGAATAAGGCAGTGATGTGGGAGACAGGCTTCGCGTGGTCAGAGATCCATGTGCCTACACCACTATACTATCCATGGGAAAAATGCAACCCTTTCTTGAGGTTTCCAGACATGCCATTGGATAGACAAGAACGGGCATCCAGAGGGTTGATAATCACGTTTCATTGCCCGGCAATTGGCTAGCCCACCATGGAACGGTGGTATTTCTGGAAAAGATGTGCCTTTGCTCTCTGCCATGATTATATAAAGGGCCGCTCATATCCAAAATATTCGCAATCCATGTCAAATCCTTCGGCTCTCCTGCACAGCTGATCTGCATAGTTTCTTGAGCTTGCCATCATGGAGGAGGCAACGCGAGACCGCACACTCCAAGACATCGAGAATGAGCTCGACATCACCATTTACCCCGGGACAGAGGTGATGGTAGATGTTGGAAGCCATCACTTCATCAAGTCCGGAAGTGGCAATGGAGACGCTCGCGTTCTCGTCCCTCAGCCTTCCGATGATCCTCTAGATCCGTTGAACTGGACGTTTCTTTGGAAGCTCACCACCATTATTTGCGCCAGCTTTGTTTCGATTAGTCAAAACCTCGGTCCGCTGGCGAACGCACCTCTGTTTGGTTTGTCTCTTAGACGCGTTGACGTGTGTGTTTCCTCCTAAGGCTAATGTTTCTAGGGCTGTACATGGAGGAATGGAACGTGAGCCTGGCAGACGCCGTGCAAACGACAGGTGAACATCCTATCACGACGAACGATCGGTTCAAGATGCGCGATTCTAACAACGAGCTTCAGCCGTGACAATCCTCATCCTCGGCTTCAGCAACTTAGTATGGATTCCTATCTCGACGTGCTTTGGTCGGAGACCCGCCCTCATCTTCAGCACGCTGGTATGCACAGTTTCTTCGATCTGGAGAGTACGCGCCACCAGCTATAAGTCCTTTCTGGGAGCCTCAGCGTACGAGTTACCCTCACGATTCGACGTAATCCGGAGCTCAAGCTAACTATACATAGTCTCAATGGATTTGGTGCGGGCCCTTGCGAAAGTCTCATGCCTCAAATAATAGCCGATATTATCTTCCTCCACGATCGTGGTAAATACCAGACATTATACTTTGCCATCTACTTTGGATCCCTCTCGGTAAGCGATCGAATGAACTTATACCTGGGAGACATACTGACAGACTCCTCAAGATTGGTCCTATCATAGCTGGCAGCATGGCAGAGCGATTCGGATGGAGATCCTTCTGGTGGTTCAACACAGGGCTCCTCATCTTCACCCTCGTCCTCAATATCACGCTCCTTCCGGAAACACGATTCGCCCGAAAAACACACCCCAATCCGACGTCTGAATCAAATCCTTCTGTCGAGGAACCCGAGATCAAGAAGAGTTCCGTCATCGATCACTCAGAGAATGGCTCTTCTGAGCAGCCACAGGACCCATGGCTTTCGCGCGGACACCCTTCACTGAAGCAATTTCTTCCATGGGGGCCATATCAAGGGAGTATCCTGCAAGAACTATGGCTTCCGTGGTATCTTCACGCCTTTCCCATTGTCGAGTTTGCCGCCTTTATTGTCTCCTTCTCAGCTTCCGGCTTCTTGGTAGCCAACTTGACTCAGCAACAATTCTTTGCCGCGCCCCCTTACAACTTCACGACACAAGAAGTAGGCTTCACCAATTTCGCCATTTTCGCGGGCAGTATGATCGGACTGCTCACATCTGGTCCGCTGTCTGACTGGGTTGCCAATTACTTCACAAAGCGAAACAGGGGCATTCGGGAGCCAGAGATGCGGCTACTCACCATGCTTCCTTATACCTTGGGAATGATTATAGGCCTTGTCGTGGTTGGGGTGGGTTATAGCCGCTTCTGGTCATGGAAAGTTATTGTCATCATCGGCTACACCTTGCTAGGAATGCAAGTGACAAGCTTGCCGAGTATCGCGTCGACATACGCGATTGACAGCTACAAACCAGCCACGGGAGCTATCTTTATTGCAATCACAATGTGAGTAGCCACTCATTTCGCTCCCCAGGTGATTGTTTTCATGGCTGACCAGCAACACAGAAACAAGAACCTATGGGGCTATGGCGTCGGCAAGTTCATCACGCCATGGACGGTGGAGGCAGGGTATCTCGTGCCGGTCATGACACTCATGGCCTTGATCACGTTCTTTTGCAGTTTTGGCATATTATTCTGGTACTGCGGGAAGTGGTTCCGAGGCCGATCGAAGAATTCCTTCTTGCATCAGCTGGATAGTTAGACGGCGGCGTAGAGGACGCATCATTAGCATAAGCTGGCAACAGGAATAATCCCAGTGATCAGAATTGACGCGCTTGTGACAAAGAAATATACACAGGGCAGAAGGTTGTTCGATCTACAAGTTTCAACAACTCAAATTACATTGTGAACATCTTACCATACCTTATACAGACCTCGTCCTGTCAGTGCCTGGACAAGCGGAGTGACACTACCCCCGTAGAAAAAGTGAGCTCAAACCTCGCTGCACCAGTCACAATTCCAAGAGCTCTCTTGAACTTACTATGCTAACAAGCCACCGGAGTCCGCGCGTCTTCCCGACTACAGAGCTTCAGCTGTACCAAGTATGGGCTATTGCAGCATGCAACATGTATAAAATGCCGCCTTCAAGCTTAACAGCCATTGCAATTGGACCCTCTGCTTAAGTCTCTTCGTCTGCTCAGACTCACGCATTCTAGCGGCATTTTTCGAGGAGGCACCAATGGCTAAGCGCCAGTCAGCAGCCAACATGTTTGCCAGAACATTTGTTATGACTCCAGTTGGTTCGAAATCCTGCTTGGTCCATTCATTCTTGTCAGTCGTGTTATTGATAGATGGCCATCGCACCGCAACTGATCCTTCGTATGGTGCAATTTAGCGAGCATCCATCCAATCTGCTCATCGCGCCTGTATTCGTAGACGCACACATAGGGCAGCCAGATCATCATTGTCAAAACTAAACATCATATTCCGTAGCCAGTAGAGACAAAACGAGCGCAAACTAAAAGATATAAAAAGCCTTGAGCCAATTGAGTTTATGCCGTGTAATCCGGCACAATGATCAGTCTCGTTCCATGGTTCTCACCAGTTTTCAAGATCTTCCACGCCTCTTCCGTCTTGTCCAGTCCCCCAACAACGGTCAAAGGCAGCGATGAGAGCTGCTTCTTCTCCAGAGCCTCCTCCAGAAACTTCCACCAGAACCACTCCGTAAAGTCATTGTGAGTCTCATCCAGATAGTCATCAAGGAACTGCGCAAAATCTCCCTTGACATTCTCAGGCAGTTTCACACCTGGTCGAACACCCATCGTAGACAAAAACGAGCCGCCACCTTGAGCCGCCAATATGGCTCCGATCTTGACTTGGTCTTCAGCGTCATCGGCAGCAGCAAAGACGGCTTTGAACGGCCCTAGCGAAGAACCTTTGGAGACAACATCTTCTAAAGCGCGGTCCAGAAAATGCTTAACACCGAATGTTGTCGCAAGCTCTTCGTGGCGAGCAGATGCGACACCAACGACCTCGTATCCTGCGAGTGTGGCTAGCTGGGCTGCGAAGATGCCGAACGACGACGACACGCCCCAGACCATTATCCTTTCGCCAGTGGATGGCGCGCTGGGTATATGTGGTCTGTTCAGTCCCAGATGTAGGACTAGAGCACTCATCGCCGCATAAGACGTGGCGATATTGGCGGCTTCTTCAAATGGCACATCGCTGATCTATATGTACATTACGTCAGTAAGCAAGATATTCGGAGCTTTCACGCTCTTTTTCTTCCGAACCACGAACCTACCTTTGAAGCAAATCTTTCAGGCACAAGACAGTATTTCTGATAGGCGCCAAAGCGAGGATCGTTGCGAAGGACGCCGGTAGTATTAGCCAAGATGCGGTCTCCAGCCTTGAAATGGGTCACACCAGGGCCAGTCTTCTCAACAACACCGGAGACGCCCACTATTGTGTCTCTGTCAGCGAGGTGATGCGTGGCTGTACGGAGTATCATGAGAGACTTACGGCCGATAACGGTTGGGTAACGAAGGCGAATGGGGATTATGCCCTCTTTGAGTTTCCATTCTCCAGGCTGGACTGGGATTGCTTTGGCCTTTATTGCAGTCATTATGTTACTGAGTAAGCCTCATGGCATCCTTGTCGTATCTGGATGTTAAACCAACCTGTATCAGTAGCTCGCCTTCACCAGGCTCATGCACATCTGCCGGTCCCAGCTTCGCTTGCCCGCCAAACTCGGTTAGCCAAACCGCCTCGTTTGCCATTATAACCTGACGTATGCTAAGAACCTTACGGACAAGAGTATATAAAAGATGCTGTTTCCGACTAGAGGAAGCGACAAAAGCTGCTTCGCTGCATACTTATAGTAAACCTCAGGCTTCAGAGCAAACGACCATCTCACCCCAATATGGCAATACACACTCTCATGCAATTCCCCATCGCAGTTAGTGTCTTTTTTCTTCCCTACCAGGCCAGAGTGAAACCGCATATTGATAGTCGGCGTTTGGTACAAAGCTTGAGAGGCTGTTGTTCGGCAACCTCTTCAATGTGTCTAACTCCGTCGCTTCGGATTTGTAATCCCCGAAACAGTCGCCATATACTCAGGGATCTTGAGCAATCGCGGTTTGATTGGAGAAGAAAAGCAGTGAGTTTCCACCGAAATTAGGAATCAATTGAGTCCCCTGCTCTATTCACGGTGAGAAAGCGAGTTTGCAGAAGCGCGCGCTTCATTACGTTGCTGTTGCCTTGCGAAATGTTGAGAAGGAATCGAAATAGGGCAATGCTCATTATTTCTGGCAACCTTACCAACTGAAAGAGGATTTGTTACCAGTAACTGATACTCAACCTGCTCTCGACAACGGCCATCATTGAAAATAACTCATCATCATCAAACATGATATTTAACATCGACTATTTTCAGACTATATATTTCCCTTTTATAACCACATTGCTGAAGTTAATAGTAAGTACAGAGCAACCATAATATGTATGCAGGATATCAATCAGTTTATAAGCACAGTTCTATCGAAAGACCTCGTTCGAATCATAGGCCGCCCTCTCTCCCATCATATTTTTGTTTTTGTTCTTTCTTATGAGCTTCTTAAGCAGAAGCGGTGATAGAGGCGAAGTGGGGAGCGTTGAGGAAGAGGCCCATGAGGACACCGCCCAGGGTGCCGGCAATGGGGATGGTCATGATCCAGGAGAAGAGCAGGAGGCCGACTCTCTGGAAGTTGACGGCCTTGAGAGTGCCATTGCAGAGACCGACGCCGACGGTGGCACCAGTGATGCACATGGAGGTAGAGACGGGCAGGGAATACTGGGAGAAGACGAGGACGGTGATGGCGGCACCCATCTCCATGGAGCAACCACGAGAGGGAGAGTGGTAAGTGATCTTGTTACCCATGACTATTGACAGTTAGTATCCAGGATATATAAGGCCTGGAAGCCTGAGATTCTTTCTCACCTTTCATGATATTGTAACCATAAGTGCAGAGACCGATGGAGATCATGCCGGACAGGACAGCAAGCTGCCAGACGGGCACGGGGGCCTTGGCAGCGGCAGCGTTGCCAGTCTTCCAGGCAGAGTAGATAACAGCCCAAGGGCCGACAGAGTTGCCGATATCGTTGGCACCGTGGGCGAAAGAGGCAGTGCAGGCAGTGAGGACCTGGATGAAGGAGTAGGTGTGCTCGACCTCGTTGGGGAACTTTTCAGCGTGGGCATAGACGCGCTTCATGCGGTCACCGTCTGGAGTACCCTCCGTACCAGTCTGTGCAGCGTGGATGTCGTAGTGAAGACCGTAGAGGAGGCCGGCGACGATCATGGCAGGGACGCGAATGGCAAGGATCTTGATGTTCCTCCACTCGTAAATCTCACCAGGGCCCATGGGGTTGTCACGGAGAGTGCGCATAGCCCAGCCGATAGGGCCGCGGTTGGCGTACAGTCTGGCGTGGAGCTTGTTCTGGGTCTGGGCCATGAGCTCAGAGTAGGTGGGCTTGTTGGCCTCGACAGCAGACAAGCTCCTCTCAGCAGGGGTGGTGGCGACATCGGCATCGCCCTTCTTCAGGCCCTCGCCGCCTTCGAGAGACTCATCGACAGAATGGCCGGAGGAGTGCTCGTTCTTGTGCTCCTGTACAACGGCATAGTCGGGGACGGCGGCAGACTCAGCATCCGCAGGCGCAGGGCGGTTCCACAGGAGGGGGCCGAGGATGAACATCCACCACTTGATGGTATAGTCCTTCTTCAGGATCTTGGCACGGGCAAAGGGGACGAAGAAGATGGCGGACAGCAGGCAGACACCACCACCAGTGCCCATGGTGACGGCAGCAATGTACCAACCGGGCTTCTTCGCCAGACCCAAAGAAGGAGAGCCCTTGTAGACGATGGACAGCGTGCAGATAGTGCCGGCGATGAGGAAGAAGAAGGGAGAGGTATAGACGGCCCAAGGCGCCGGGTTCTTGCGGACGTGGACGACGAAGCGGATCAACAGGAAGATGCTGGCCGCGAAACCAGCAGCAATGGCGGGAGCCATACCCAGGCCGGCGAAGATGGCACCGAGACCCTTGCCGTCGTTCCATCCCCACTGGACTTTTGAGGCTCCGACAGTAGCAACACCAACACCAGCGACAGCAGAGATGAGAGAGTAGGTAGATGAAACGTGGGCGGAGTGACGGGTGCACCACATGACCCATGAAGAGGCGGCGGCAAGGGCACATGTGAACGCTAGCATCTGAACACCGGCGTTGCCTTGGAAGGCGGAGTTGGGGATGATGCCGTTCTTGATCGTATCGGCGGTTCGGGCACCGACAGTGATGGCGCCGAGCATTTCGAAGACTGTGCCGAAGATCATGGCCTGTCGGTAGGAGATGGACCGGGAGGAGACACTGGTGGCCCAGGAGTTCGCAACATCGTCTAAGCGAGCCTTTGTCAGCTTTCTGATAAAGAGATACTGAGATGGACCAGTAACTTACTGGCTCCGTTGTTGTAGGCATCCAGCATGGCAAACAGAGTGCCAATGGCAAAGATGTAATCATATTCGTAGAGCACCATGTTAGCGGATGTGCTTGCAGCAACCCCAAGCTGTAGGAAAAGCGATCCTGCAGAGATTGAGAAGGAGATGGTAAAGGGAACAAGCAGAGAAGAATATCAACAGGCGAGTTGCACTGGACCGTACTTAAATATTATATCCCATGTAAGTCGGCGGCTTCTCGCTGCTGGCTGCTATTCGTACACCTAACTGCCCAGGTGTGCAAATATCACACGCACAAGTGCATGTAGCCGTTTCCCCTGGCGCCAGGTTACAAAAGAGAGATAGAGCGTCAATCAAGAAGCCCACGGTTACAGATCCTGTCCTCGGTCCATGTCCCATCGTTATCCACCGTGGCGTGGCCGTTCCCCATAGCCACTGTCGTATTATGTAGACAGCGCTGCGAAACCGAGAGGCAACGATGGAGCAGAATTGTCGTTGTCCTTTCCCCCTTGGGACACCGACGTCGTCCATGCACACCTCTGGGCAAAAGAATAAATCAGCTTGTGGCAACAGATATTGGCTAGGCCTGAAGCAACAATCGTCTGATAGAGAGTCGAGCAGCCTAGAGGTCGTGGAACCTTTCAAAGTTCCCAGCTCTAACGCAGCCAGGACCAGGCACGCCCAAGAGCATGGTAAGCCTCCGCGTGGCTTTCTCCCTATCACGTCTCTCGGAAAATACACGTGGGTTCATCGATGGCTCTCAGCGGTAGATCGATGCGGCCCCCAGACTATGGCTGAAGATGGGGATCCACCGGCTGAAGAGGGCTTGCTGCGGCCAAGAGATTCCCGAACCGGCCATGACGCCCGCCGGTCTTTATTTTTATTCTAATATCTACCTCAAAGCTGGACCGACAGTGTCGCGTGAACGGCCTGAGCAATGCTGTTTCTGCGCGCAAAGGGTGCAATCAGTCCTTCGAGGGGGCGGAGGTTGACGAGAGAATTCAAGATTCTTCATCGCGTCTCATGCACTCTTTCTTGCTTGTCTGTCATCGACGGCAATGAACGAACCAACAATTTTGTGAATCAGAAAGAGAGCAATACAGTGTGACTATCCCCAAAGCAGCGCGCGTCCCTCGATCACGACAGAGCACGTGCCTGGGACCTGGATGGAGGAGCCTTCGATTGCTGGCCTTGCCAAGCCTGGCAAGACACCGAGTTAAACCGCAATAAGGTTGAAGCACTTGCAGACTCGGTGGATAGAGTTATCACTTAAGCTTGGCATCGAATCCAGCGCTAGCTAATTTAGGGGGACCCTTCACTATCCAAGGGGGAGGGGAGCCTGGCTGAAGGCTTCCCACGGGGGTTGACAGTGTCCATGTCTGCTAGTGGGCTTCTTCTTCTGTAGGACCCAAGGTTCAAAGCGTTGCGATGTCCAAGGCCTCCATACGAGACTCCAGTAATACGGCGGCTGCTCCATGTGTCGGTTTGAACATCTCAAAGCAGATTCAGGGAATATGATGAAGCCTCATTTGTGATGCTTAGTCGATACCAGTATCAGCCTCAGAGATGAAGCATGCTCCTGTCCAATACTCTTTAATCTCCTCAGTATCGAGGCGTCTTGTTACACCCGCTAAAAGTCAATGCGTCTCCCCCAGTAACGTCCCGGACCAGTCACTGTGCCACATTCCACACACTACCCACGCACACGTGCGGCACCTCGGTGTCCGGAAAACGATCAACGGGTGACTTGCTGCTCCATCTCGCCGCATCACAGCCAATATCTGACATTCGACTCGCCCACAGCCTGGGGGTCTCTGGCCTGCCTTCGGTTCATCTTCCTGTCTTGGCAGAACCGCAGCTAAATGACCATGGAGGGGAGGCAAACAAAGAAGCAGCTCATTCTTCTGGACCCTCTGGAGAAGACAGCGCCAAAAAGCGAGGCATCCAAGCCAGACTAGTCCTCCAGATTTGCGTTCTCCGTACGGAGTACGAAGTGATCGGCCCACTCCAAGCATCTTCAGCCACTCCTGCTAGTCAGCCTGCGCTGTTCATGTAAGCTTATCGCAGTCGCCGTTTCATGCACGTGTCCCCTCGTTGCAAGATCGATGGCCATTTCTGTGGAGTTGAGGCGTTCATGATAGTACTAGTAACGACTTGTTTGCTCAATAGCCACGCAACCACGAGCGCCTGTGATCATCACCAAATTGCCGCATGGTTCATTTCCATGCTCGCCTCTCACCTCATGACTTGCCACCGTTCGTTGGAACCTTGGCCGATTGATTGCATCTAGAACTACATCCACCGCTCTCTTGTTTTGTTCGGCTGTTTGCTAATACAAAGCGAGGATGCGATCGATGACTGGTGCACGACTCATGATTGCCTGTTGCAGAGTTTTTCGCGCCTCGATCCTTCTTTACGATTTAGAGGCTAACACCTATATCATTTGCGATCTCTTCGACCAGGAGAGACGCAAGAAGGAAAATTCCGACTGCCATCTCACTCCGGTAATCTGCTATTCGCCATAAACCCGGCACATTGGTATCCCGTTCTCGACAGCTACCCTATAAAACTTGGGGTGTTCGATGCGGTGTAACGATACCAGATGCTTTCACTGAGATAGGCAAAGGGGGACATATCATTGGAACCAGCAAACATCTCCTAGAAAAAGAAGGCGGGAAAATAACTCAGTGAATGACATGTAATTACTATCTTGCAATAACAAGATTTTGACCTTCGTCATGGTAGCCTCTGACATGATGTACAAAAGAGCCATTATCTCAGAAGGACAGGAGAGTAGCCCCGTTCACTTGGCTACATCAGTCCTCATGGGCTCCTCTTTTTGTCTTTCCATCTACATCAGATCATGACCAGGGACATCTCTTGTCGCCTTCTGCTCTGGTTCAAAAATTGTTGTATAGTCTTTATAAGATAGCCCCGGGCTTTTCTATATCAGATATGCGCCTCGCTTGTCTCTTGTATATTCAAATTCTGACGGATTTGCATTCGTCAACAAAGCGTGGCCCTTGTTGGCACATCAGAGCGGAAACTTTGCCTGTAAGGCCACCACGTTCATGACCAGCGTCAACTTAAGAGGTGGGAGTGGACAAGGCACTGCTACTGTTTCTGGAGTTGACAGGAGCAGTCAGCTATGACATCAGCCAAAAGAAGATCTCGCCGCATGTCAGCTTTAGGCAAAGATAGACTATCACATACGTTCAGGGCTATGATTAGTATGATACTGGGCGAAAACGCTTGAGCTCTGAATGATGCCTCAGCTGCTGAAGCCCGCTTGCCCTTCTGTTTTACATGGATTATCTAAGCTCCATGCTTAATAGAGCCTTTACCCAAAAAAGAATGAAGTACCCTGGCCCGTGATAAGGCTCTTCTAATCAAGTGCAGGTACCTACAATTAGCTGCCGACGCCCGACCTCTGTGGAATCCACATTTATAATCCAATGGAAGGCGTGCAACCTCCACGGAAAGGCTCCCTAATGACCTGAAGCTCGGTTCAGCTCAACTTGGATCTTGCTTATTGATGAAGTCGCCTTTCACAGAGATGATATGAGCCTCGGGTGTTCCGGTGCGCCACAGTATAGGTAAGTTATGTAACAACGGCGTATCCAAATACAGCCCAGGTCATCCGAGGCACCATCATATTCAACACTCTATCCCTCGGGTTCCTCCAAGGAAGTGATTGCGTAGTTTGTATAGTGTCTGTGTGCCTTGAGCCTTACAAATCTTCCAGCAGTTTCCTATCCGGTAATTTGATCAATAATCACATAAATGCACATGGCGATCTATTTGGATCTCCCGAGTGCTGGTCGGATATATGACATGATGAAGAATATACTGTAAGAGGAACTGGGAGCACGAGCAAATTATAGCAGCTCAAAAGCGTTGGATATATAAAGAGGGAAAGATAGCCTCGACCTCAAATAAACAGATTCTAAGAGAAAGACACAATCTACTCAACCATTCTTTGATACGTCCCCAATCTTCTACAGTCTGAACTACTCTTGAGCATCAAACGTACTTCACCATGTCCAAAGTCATTCTCATCCTGGGCGGAGCCGGGGCCCAAAACTCTGCTGTGGCCCGCGAGCTGTCCAAGAACGAATCCTTCCAAGTCAGGCTCCTTACCAGAGACGCCAAGTCAGAGGACAACGTTGCTCTTGCAAGCCATCCTCGCATCACAGTGATCGAAGGAAACTGCTATGACGAGGACACTCTCGTCTCAGTCTTTGAAGGCATCAACGCCGTCTTCGTAAACACCAATGGGTTCGCCGTGGGTGAAAAGGCAGAAATCTTCTGGGGCATTCGCATGTATGAGATTGCCTACTGGGCCGGCGTCGAACACTTCATCTACAGCTCTCTGCCGTATGTGTCGAAGAAGTCTGGCTTCAACCCCAAGTATCGCGTTCCATTTGTCGATGGCAAGGCCAAGGTTGTCGGTATGTAACACAGAGCCAGTACCTGTCCCGATCTTCCTGAAGAATGCTTATTAACGACATCATTTTAGACTATCTGAAGGCTCAGCCCACCGACCAGATGAACTGGAGCGTGATCGAAAGCGGCCCCTATCCCGAGGCTCACCTTGCCACATGGGCCCCCAAGAAAGATGACGATGGTGTCTACGTCTTCCGCATGCCGATCAAGTCTGATGGCGCCATGGCAATGGTGGGACTGGCCGACTTTGCATGGTTCGCCCGCTACATGTTCGAGCACCCCAAGGAGTTCGAAGCCGACCTGCTCAGCGTGGGTATTGATCATATAAGTGGAAACACCATCGCCGAAGCATTCACCGCAGTCACGGGGGAGCCCGCTCGGTTCAACCCGCTCCCGCTCTCAGAGGTCGCCAAGACGTGGCCTGATACCAAAATTGGCCTGGCTGGATCTCCAGGTTACAACGACCCGACGCTCAAGACAATGGCTGGCCACTTTGTCCCCTGGTTCACCATTTGGCAGGAGAGCGGCGGCAACAAGGGCCTTTGGACGAAGGACTATGCTCGGTTGGACAAGATTCATCCTGGCCGTATGAAGACTATTGAAGAATGGATGCGGTCTGTTGGCTACTCTACTGAAGGCTACCCAAGTGCTCTCAAGACTGGTGTTTTCAGCTAGGCGGGGCGGGCATGGGAATGGGTATATAGAATCCACATACAATGTTGGGGGTTTATACTTTCGACATCACCACTTAGATTAATGGTGATACAATAGACTGTCATTTCCACATTGTGTAATCTCTAGATCGTCTATTCGGGTTCCTTCAAACTTTGCATTTGTGTGCGTTCCAAGTCCTATGCCCCAAAAGCTTGGATATAACTCTTTTTGATCAATGTTTGAAGTCTTAGCTATTAAAGTTCGGTCTCAGTATGCCCCCCTGATGCATCATGGTATATACATGAGGTGTCGGAATATGGTTTCTATCCTAATTTGACTCGCTTAAATGCATGCGAGAAGCGAAATAGGAAGTCGAGGCAGTCGGTCGGAAAAGCGAGAGCGCTGGTTATCTGTTGGTCTGGATTTCGCTTCCATCAGTTGTGAACCCATTGGAGCTGGAGCAAGCAAAGTTCAAATGATAGATGGCTCCTGAGGTGGTACTTATAAGCCAAGTACGATTCCAGAGGTGCTCAAATAAGTAAATTGATTCAAATCCCATCTAAAAGCACTATTCCAGGCCATCGGTCACTATTGAAAAGGTAGTACATGGATTGTCCGAGTCACGATCTTCTTCACTCTGATGCCTTTGAAAGTGCAACCTGCTGATCAACAAAGGCCCTGATAGTGTCCTCCATAGGAGTCCACTCCATTTTGAGATACTTCTCCGTCGCATCCATATCCATGGTCATTGTTTCCTCCTCCTTAGGGTCAAACTTGATATTCAGAGAGGGATAATTCGTCTTCACGAAGTTTGCCAACTGTTTCCACGTGTAGACGGGACCGGTGACCGGCAACTCAGTTCCAGAAGGAACGTGCGCGTCAATGATCCGTGCCAGAGCGCGGGAGACGTCACGGACATCCACCATCAAGAAAGGCGTCTTAGGAGGTCCATCCGCATGGAGCGTCGTCCACATGTAACGGTTTACTCCCCTAAGCTCGTCGGACGACCTTTGGACCAAGCTTGGCCCAAAGACCTGCGATGGATGAACGGTCGCAACATCAAACTTTGGGTTCGCTTTCTTCAGCCAGTCGCGATAAGCCTGGTGGGCAGTGATTTTGCCGGTTTGGTACTTGAGAAGCTTCCCCGGCAGGCCCTCGGGAAAGTCCATGTTGAAATCGACGGCGAGCTTTTCGCCAGTATTGGCTGTGAAGCTGTTAGTTTGCTTGACATTTCAGGCAAAGGTACAAGTGTGAGGTTAAATAAGCATACCCTTGATATGGAAAGGGTTTTGCAGAAGGGCATCCATGGGCATCAGTGATAGGAACGACGAGACAATGACAACTTTTCGGATGCTGTCTTCTTTTGAGGAAGACTCGAGGATTGCCACGGTTCCCTTGACAATAGGATCGAGAAAGTCTCTTTGAAGATCCGTCCCTCTGTCAACCATGGCTCCAGCTAAGTGAAAGACATAGTTGACTCCCTTCAAGACATCTGCATACGCCGAAGGCTGTGACATGTCTGGCACAAAGACAAATTCGATTCTGTCCAAGGCCGAAGGGTATAGGTCTTTGATGAGCTGGGATCTCTCCTCATTTCTCACGGCGAGACGCACGCGGTGGCCGGCTTTGAGGACATCCCCAACAAGGTGACTGCCTATGTAGCCAGTGGCACCGGTAATGAAGACGAGCTTTCCAGACATGGTGAAGTTGGTGTTGAGATTGTGTGTAAATTGTTGGTTGATGATTCTTGGGGTGTGTGCTCAGCATGCCATTGAAGAGAGAGTTTAGCAGTCGGACAAGCAATGCTTTTATAGCCATGATGAAGCTTTTGATGCATCTATAGACAAGGTAACAATTGCCAATTCTCCTACAATGTGACTACATACAGTCGCTTTCCGCTTGCTTCTCCGGTATCACCGTAGAGTCGTCGGGAAACTGGGCAAGAAAGGCCGGTTTCTGCGTCAACAGGTATATGCAAATCAACCTATGTTCATGTCGATAAAAGATTACTATTTGCAGTTCATACGTCTCGACTAGTATCGTATTTCTAGCGGGTTTTGATGTACGGGGCTCGATTAGTGAACATGTAGGGAACTCGGAGATATCGAGCTTCGGGAGAGCCCAGGCTGAGGCAAGTCTGTCCGGAAAGGCTAATCATGAGATATTTGAGACATGATCGGCTACTTGAGTAGAATTAGGGAGAGTGATCTTTGTGCTGTTTCTGGTGAGTAACGTTTGCGAGTAACTCTGCCCGTGATAACTCGCCAACCACTCTTTGTGCAACTACCCTGCCTTGCCCGATGATTCCAAATGATCAATTTTGCTATTGACATCGGCTCTACAAAAATGATTGACGAGGAAAAAGAAAAAGCAATAAGACTTCTAGTGCGCGCAATGCTAATAAAAGAGACGTGCTTCTGTCGCCCAGTCTGTGTTGCGCGACTCATCATCGTTAATCTCGTGTGCCTCAAGTTTATATCGGAATCCCTCGATACAACGAATCTAAACTGTTAAGATTCTATTCTAATTGACGTTATCTACCATGTAAAGCTCTCCTCAAAATAATCTATGTGGTGATTTCCTTCTCTTAATGCATCGACCACAGCCAGCCGCGAGTCATCCGCCATTCTGGCAGGTCCGCATGCAACAACAGCCAAATTGCCACCCTGAGCTCCGCTTGCCGCCGACAAGACGATGGAGTGGATGTTTGGTCGGCCGATGTGTTGTTCAACCTGACTTGGTACCTCGCCTATGTCCAATGAGTTTAGTTGTGAGGACACATACAGATGCACAGACAATCTGCCGGTGGTAATGGCCTCCTTGGCCTCTGTGGCCAGAACATCTCTGGCGAATCCGGGTTCTCGGACAGCCCAGTGAAGCTCGACGGTGGAAAGAGTCTTCGTCTCTTGACAGAGAGTGTTTAGATATGAGAGAGCAACGACAACTCCAGACCCGCCTGCGATAAATAGGACTCGTTGGTACCGATGCAATCGTTGTGTATGCCCATACGGTCCATCCACGAGTACCCTAAGAGGCGCTGCAGTCAACTGTTCGTCAACCAATGTATCTCTAAGGCGCCCAGAGAAGCCATTATATGGCCTGATTAGGAATGTCATGTGCTGTTTCTTGGATTCCACATCTAGGCCAGCATCTCCGGCTTCAGAAGGATTTGTCGCTGGAGCAAGAAGCGGTACTCCTTCGTTTTCATCCGAGAACTCCGCCTTTTGCGGCAACTCGCCCGATACTGAGGCAACAGTGAATGGATGGCTCTCCCAGAAACGCTTGTCGTCCAAAACTGTAAGGTAAAAGTAATTGCCTGATCGAGGCTTGTACAGAGCCTTGTCGATGGGAATGCTCAAACGGATGATGTTTGCAGATTGACTATAGCTTGCCAATGCAGTGGCTGACCATCGTCCGGGATTGTAAATGATGACCCGAAGTAATCGCATTGCTCGATCAAAGACCCAGATGTACGCAGGGATCCAGAATAACGCGTCGTACTCTCCGTCGAATATGGAGACGTGACTATTGTGCGGATGCGTTAGAGTCACAGAGAATGTCACCTCCTGTTGGACACGAACGAGCCTTACCCAAGCATTGTGAAGAGGATCAGAATAGACAGTCCGATATGTATGAGCAGGAAGGCCTCGTAGTAACGACGCCGTATCCAATATACAGAAAAGGCGAGTAGTGCACACATGGAAATAGTCGCCTAGCGGTATCGTTAGCGAGTCGGTCCCTCGGGCGCGAGGAGAAGGGATCTCATACTATCTGGCCAGCGTTCCAAAACCACATAGTGAACCACCATGAGTAATACTTCCATCCTCCGTCTAATGTGATGCAACATCAGAGATAAGAACACATGGAGACTTTTACTAAAAGTTGGTAAGTGACAGGCAAACTTACTCATATAGATAAGAACAGTATAAAGGACTGAGTGAACGACAGCTTCAAGGGTGGAGATTCGGGCACACCAGCGGTGGAAGTTGTTGTACGTCCCAAAGTCCCAGCCCGTAAGCCAGATGGCCAGGTTATTTCGCATGCCGAAAAGCCAAATGAAGGGGAAGTTGGCGAAGGAAATGATACCCGTACGATCCGACACGTACCGCAAGACCTGCTTGGTGGGCGTGCCAAAGCTGCATTAACAAGTAAGCATGAGGAGGTAAAGAGGCATAGTAAAGAGATGGATGGCATACTAGACGTTGTCATCGATGATTCTGTACCCGTGCACACAGAACACGACGTTCATCCAAAGAAATACGGTGATGGTGAGTGTTTGGATGCGTGATGGGATCGTTGCCCACCACACGTTCTGGGCGCATCGGTACCCAAATGTTGCGGGAATCGCGACATTGCGCTTGAACCAGGATCCCGTATCTGTCCAGACTCCGGTAACGTCGAAGCTTTGGCGGCTGCAGTAAAAGTCTGAAACCGCAAGGTAGGCCTTATTACCAAGGCCTACGAACACTACCGCGGCCCAAAACGCCATCACCCCGATACTGGGACGACGTCAGTAGATCTTCGCTAATACGAGAGAACACGGGAGGAATTACCCGTAAAGGTGATGTAGCTTATGAGCATATTCAACAGCATCCTAACAGGTGTCAATATTCACATCAATGACGGTTGGCAACACGGAGAGGGAAGGTCGATATACCAAGGTCTCGAACCAAGTATTGAACCGCTCGAATGAAGGTATAACCACCTCAGCCAGTGGGTTATCGTAGCCAAACGCATCACCCTTGCCGACTCTCTTTAATCCAGCAATCTCCTCATCGGTGTAGTCGGTTCTGAATGCCGGAATGGGACTTCCGAAAGAGTCATAGCACGTAGCATTGTGACGTTGTATCTCCGAGTCGCGCGTGTTTGTTCCACAGTTCAGGCTTAGACACAAATACTGCGATGATAGAGCGAGACGGCTCTGGCACGCATGTTTAAGTGTTGATGCTGTAGCGTCGACGTCGGCAAAGCGTAACTTCCGCAAAGAAGCATCACAGCTCCTCACACACAAATCAGGCGAGTCTTTCGGAGCAGCGGCTTGATGAGCGTAGGAGACTTGAGCAAGTAGCGGTAGACATAAAGCTGCTTGTGCGGACAGTCTCATGGCGGTGGCTTTCGATTCAGCATGTCGGTGCCAAGTTGGCGAGGCTTCGATGAATCCAGTTGGCGATGCTGCGTGAATTTAGCTCGTGATGAACAAAGGCGGTATTTTGCACTCATCAGCTGATCTCACGCTTCCTCTCCCCTACGGGCTGCATTAAATTGGCCCGAGCCGTGATCAACTGACGGCTTATCTGATTGATAAGATCCACCGACAACTGGTCCTATGCTAGACAAATCACATGGCTGTTCCTGGATGACCTAATAATCGGTTATCGTAGGTTGCTTATATAAAGTTGTCGTGTTCTTGCGGTGTCAGGGCTTCATCGGCCGATGTCGGCTGTTGTTGTAGAGGCCGGAATCTCTTTATGCTGCTTTCTTGACTTCCACTTGAGTCTCTTACAGCTTGAAACTCTCTTCAGCAATTCACGGCTGTCTTTTACTACAACTGATCGATTCCTTCTTTAACTCTTTATTTTCGTATTCCAAATCCGGCACAGCCTAGGTGCCAGGAAATGCGTAGTCTGCGCTTATTACCTGTCATTCATGCATCGCTTGAACGGGCTGTGACAGCCTCTCAGCACAACCGACGGAATTGCCATCGCCTTTTCTTCTCAAGGAAAGGATCACGAGAATATTGTCTATGATCCAGATTAAATCCACAAAGGGGAGAAGATGTGTCAATACGTGGTTATCCGTACCGTATCCGCACCGTATCCCGATCGCAGTTCTCAATTGCTTTGACGCAAAAGAACTCTTGGTACGAAGTGGCGCTGGGAATACCTGCTATTATAATGTCTTTGTTCCTTCAACTGCCTAATAGTTCTTAAAGGAGACATGCAATTAATTGGTCAGCGTCGCACGTCATGTGCCTAGAAGAGGCAACTTGGGATGGACTTCGAGCAACCTTCACCGGTGTATGGTCATCTACCAAAATACAAATTCAGCTCTTGGCCCAGATAATGCTACAATTCTCCCAGAAAGGAAGCCGGGAGCAACCTGTGTTGCCTTGATGCACTTCCTCTTGCCGTTCCGATCTCAGAAATCTCAGTTTGATAGGTACTGAGCTGTCTGCGTTGCCATTCTCTCAGTCTTCCATGAGTACAGCATCAGCTTGAGTGATTCCACCAGTACTTCGAAGTTAGCACTGTTACAGTCGGCATGTGTTTCTTCCCCACGATTTACCCCTGTCTTATGCACCCCAGAATCACTGGATCTAGCCTGTGTCGTGTTAAATTTAGCCTTGAATTAGCATATGCTTTGCAAGGCTCGCTTCAATGAGATGTGATGCAGATGCCGTTCGTGGTGTAGCCTTTGGGCTTCTCGTACCCGTCGGATCCAGTACAATATCACCCTACGGGCCGGTTAATTTCGCCCACAATATGGCGAATTGAAGATATACATCTTCTCCAGTTTTGCCTGCTTCTCTCGGTATACTATCCTGCTATAGGGATCGCTGGTATAGACATTTTGCAACAACCCCGCATTATCCGGGCATCGTGATGCATCAAGATGGGTTGAGGTTGGAGTAATTGATTGACAACTATTTAAGGGGTGAGATGGCCCACGGATCGATCACGGTTCAACAGCCGTCCTAAGTTCAGAGCCTTTGCGCTGAGGATAATGTTGGTCACAATGGTGCCAGCAAGGCTCGTTGTCGTCGCTACCTGCGCCCTGGGCGTAAGGGCGAGAAAGTTATGGGCAACTGAACCAGCCGATGCAACCAACATTATCATGACGGCATATCCGCTGGGAAATGGAAAGCTGGGAGGTGAGTTTCTGGTCACTAATGCCCAACTTGATGGCAAAGCAGCTAGCTAATTAGGATACATAGCAATGCCACTTGGGTTGGTTGGGGAGGATATTGTGGTCCTGAATGAGCATAGTCTTTGGTCCGGAGGCCCTTTCCAGAGCCCTGTAAGCCTTCGACCCTGTCCTTTATACTGGTTGCACTTTTATTCCCAAGAGATTGACAGACTCTGGCTGGCGTAGGATTACATTGGTGGCAACCCACCGGCTCCAGTATATACGGCTCTTCCAGGCATTAGGCAGACGATTTGGGACACTCAGATCAACAACGGTTCGTTGTACTCGCGTTGAGTAATTCTCTCTCCTGTTCTAACGCAAGTTTGCCTCGACTAGACATCAGTGCCTTGTATGGAGATCCTACATACTACTACTATGGCAACTACGAGACTCTCGGCAATCTCACCGTCAACATAGCTGGAGTGAACAAGTACACCTCTTATAACCGTGCGTTGGACCTCGAGACCGGCATACATACAACCGAGTTCAAGTCAAACGGAGCCAAGTTTACTATGTGTGTACCTTACTAGAAGAGAGCGCTTCATGCTGTGATGGGGGTTCTTCACAGAAGCTGACTTAAAAGTAGAACGACCTTTTGCACTGTCCCCGACCAAGTCTGTACATACAACATCCAGTCAAACAAGCCGCTGCCTGCTGTGACAATTGGCTTGCAAGATTCGCAAAGAAGCAATCCTTCATCAAATGCGACATGCGATGCCAATGGAGTGCACCTGAGAGGCCAAACGCAGGAGGACATCGGTATGATCTTTGACGCCCGCGCGCAAGTCATTAATCGCCCTAAGAGAACCACTTGCACTTCGTCACATGGCCTCTCTGTTCCTTCGGACGGCAGAACTACCTCTCTCACTGTCGTGTACGCAGCAGGAACGAACTACGATCAGAAGAAGGGAACTAAAGAGAGCAACTACTCCTTCAAGGGTGTCGATCCAGCACCAGCTGTTCTATCAACGATCGAGAAGGTTTCCAAGAAGAGCTTCAGCAGCATGTACAATGCCCATGTGAAGGACCACAATGCCTTGTTCAGTCAATTCAGCTTGGATATCCCAGACACTGACAAATCGGCTTCCGTGCCGACCGCGACGCTGATGGAGAACTACGATTATGACATTGGCGACCCATTCGTTGAGAATCTCCTTTTCGACTATGGAAGATACCTCTTCATCGCGTCGTGTAGAGATGGATCGCTGCCTCCCAATCTGCAGGGTATTTGGACGGAATCGCTCACTCCTGCATGGAGCGCAGACTATCACGTCGATGTAAACGTCCAGATGTACGTTTAACAATTATGTGCCCTAATTCTGATTATGGCTGACTGTGATGCAATCTTAGGAACCACTGGCACACTGAGCAAACAGGTCTTGGAGGGATCCAGGGACCGCTGTGGGATTTCATCATCGACACATGGGTGCCTCGAGGATCGGAAACGGCTGCATTGCTGTATGACGCTCCCGGATTTGTTGGCTTCAGCAACCTCAACACATTTGGGTTCACGGGGTAAGCTACTCGATAAGAGTATACACACTGCTGAGGAGATATGCTGACGCTTTGAAGCCAAATGAACTCTGCGGTCTGGTCCGATTACCCAGCGTCTGCTGCTTGGCTAAGTGAGTAAATGGGAGTGGTTATTTTATCCTGTGTATTTGCTGACTTTTGCTTCGTTAGTGCAAAATGTATGGAACCGATACGACTACAGCCGTGACACACACTGGTGGAAGACTGTCGGATATCCTCTCATGAAGTCCATCGCCGAGTATTGGATCCACGAGATGGTGCCCGATCTGTACTCCAACGATGGCACACTCGTTGCCGCTCCTTGCAACTCACCCGAGCATGGTTGGACGGTAAGACCCTCGTCCAAATACCTTATGATGCATGATGCTAACCTCGGGACAGACGTTCGGCTGCACACACTACCAGCAGCTCGTCTGGGAAGTCTTTGACCACGTAATCGAAGGCTGGGAAGCCTCGGGTGATAAGAACACTACGTTCCTCGAGACCGTCAAGGAGACACAGTCCAAGTTGTCTCCCGGAATCATCATTGGCTGGTTCGGCCAAATACAAGGTAAGTATACAATCAGGGCCACCATGTATGAGTCCCTTTGCTGATTTGAAACAGAATGGAAGATTGGTTGGGATCAGCCCAACGACGAGCATCGCCACCTTTCTCACCTTGTGGGCTGGTATCCGGGCTACAGCATCGGCACGCACATGTGGAACAAGACCGTCACCGATGCCGTCAATGTCAGTTTGACGGCCCGAGGCAATGGCACTACAGACTCGAATACCGGCTGGGAAAAGGTCTGGCGAGTCGCATGCTGGGCGCAGCTAAACAACACTGACATCGCGTACACGTACCTCAAATATGCCATCGATATGAACTACGCAAACAACGGCTTCTCTGTTTACACCACAGGCAGCTGGCCATACGAGCTCGCAGCGCCCTTCCAGATCGACGCCAACTTTGGATACAGCGCCGCGGTACTGGCGATGCTCATCACCGACCTGCCGGTTCCGTCTGCGTCCAAGGCCATCCACACAGTCATTTTGGGCCCGGCCATCCCGCCAGAGTGGAAGGGCGGCTCTGTTCGGGGCATGCGTATCAGAGGCGGAGGATCCGTCGATTTTTCGTGGGATGATAACGGCTTGGTGAATAAGGCGACGCTTCATAACCAGAGGGAGGCGATCAAGATTGTCGATGTGAATGGCAAGGTCTTGATTCATCAGTGAGGGAGAGACGATGTGCAGTCTCGGCAGGTCCTTCGCCATGAGTCGATATCTAAAGCAGATTAAATACAGGCATAGCATCTGCATCTATCAAAAAACGAATACTGCTATTGAATCTGCTCTGCTCCAGGATGACATGATCCTCCCATCTCCCTTTGAAAGTTCTACCTTGGATGTGCTTTAGCGCGTATCGCGTTGCCTTGACGATCGTGCGTGTTGGCTCTGCTCCCACCATTTCCTTCATCGAGACTGCGCTCCTTTGAGTGGCTTCCGCCGGCGGAATCATGTACTCATGACGAATGGGTGATGAATCATGAAATATGCAGCAACTTAAAGTTTTACTCGTCGTGAATCATCCAAACAATGTAGCTTGGATCTAGCGGGGAGCATCAAGCGGCTGGTTGCTGTAAGCACGGCTGTTGGGCGCCACCAATTTGGCTATCTCCTCTCACATTGTCGGTGAACATCTCGAAACTTTTCAACTAGCAAGTCAACACGGTTATGTCTATTAGCCTCAGCATGTCTGAGTTACAAGACACCAAAGCTCCTGAATGCATCCCATCGTGGCGAAAACTGGCGATATGTCGGTGGCTGTTGACAGGCTGTTCTCTTCACTGATCTGAACCCATGTCGTTCCCCCCTAATAAGCGTCGATCCATCTTTTCAGCGCCGGCACCTCCAGCCGAGAAAGCTCTGTGCAGCCAATGAATTCATCGACAATGACTTATGCCTTGCAGCCCTACCCACAGGGACACATGGCAAAGCTCTCTTGCCAGCGCTTGAACTTGGAATAGGAACTTCTCCCTTCGTGACCGTCTTTGTTCGTACCTCCCATCTCTTATGCCCTTGCTTTCTTTGTCCGTCGGCTAGTTCCCCTGGAAAGCATTCCATCGTGCCGGAACTACCGACTGCTCTCGTCAGTAGACCTCCGGCTGTATCCTAGCATCCCGGAGCTTCGGCCCCTCCCTGCTTTCGCGTCCACGGAAAGATTGTCGGACATCGTCTCGGGCATATTCGTCGCCGCCTTGACCTTCGCAAACTCCAGGCGTGCCATTCCCTGTTGCCGACAGAGCTCCGGAGTCCCCTCGTTCCCCAGCGCGGTAGGGAGCTATCAGCAGATGCTTGCACGACGCTGCTGAGATGCCTCTGCATTTGGAGGTACCGCCGGTCAGGGACCCAGAGCTTCGCCGGTCGCCGTCACCCCCGCCATCACCGTCACGGGCTCTTCAGACGTACAACGACAAATATGTTGTAGTATATGACTTTAGCGAAATAGGTCAATCTCCTCCAAGGCTTTTCCATCATTCGAACCTTTAGGGTTTACTAACTGGGACAACTAGACTATTACCAAGCTGCAAAAGAATTCACTGCGTTGCTGCAAGCCCTCGAAGCTACTGGCCTCCACGTCGAAGTGAGACCGGGGTACGAACAGACCATCCTTCTGTTTGTCAAGGCACCAAGTGCACTTCTCGGAAACAGGGTCTACAAGTTGAGGTATGATTTGCTTGACAAGTGTCTCATTCATTGCATTTCTGGTTGTTCCATCGATAGCAGTAAACTGATAGTACAAAACAGAGTGAGAGACTGGCTCTATGGCATCACGCAAACGCGGCCACCGGGAAACAAAGACACCATTGTGGCTGCATGGTATGAAGCTGAAGACCTCTTATCCATGGACCACCTGGTCAACTGGCCACAGTCCATGGGAGGAGCGGGCATCACCCCTGGTCTCGGCGAATGGAAGAATGTCAAAGCCATCTTCCCCATGCACAATGACAAAGTGAATCAGGCATTGCTACGAAGTTTCAGCAAGAAGCTACTGCTCGGAACCGAGGATCTCGATCAGATACGAGATCTCTTCGGGTCAAAGGTATGACGAAACTGAACAAGGTTTTCATCCACTGTTCGCTAACGCATTGGATTGATATCAGGTCGCCTTCTACTTTGCATTTGGACAGTCCTACTCAGCCTTTCTCCTCTTCCCAGCCGTTACCGGCCTCGTTTCTTGGTTGTGGCTACCAAAATACTCCATCGTCTATACCATATTGACTGTGATCTGGTGTACCGTCTTTCTCGAATACTGGAAGGTCCGGGAAGTCGACTTGAGCGTACGATGGCGGGTGAGAGGAGTCAACAAAACGAAAACGAATCGGCCAGAGTACAAATACGAGCGAGTCATCGTGGACCAATACGGCCGGACAATTCACTACACCCCTAAGTGGAAGCAGATTTCGCGTCAGCTTCTCCAGGTCCCGTTCATGGCCGTTGCGACTGTGGCGCTTGGCCTCATGATTAGTGCGGTATTTGCTGTCGAGATTCTGATATCCGACTCATATGACGGACCGACCAATCTCTACTTGGTGAGTTCATGAACAGAAGAAGAGGGTCGTAAAGCAAAGAAGGCCAGGCTAACGAGGCGCAGGACTATCTGCCTACCGTGCTGCTTGCCGTCCTGATACCCTACATCAGCTCATACCTCGAAACAGTTGCCAAGTGGTTAACAGACTTTGAGAACCACCGAACAGCAGACAGCCACGAAATGTCACTCACGCAAAAGATATTTATACTCAGCATCATCACAAACTACCTCCCCATTCTACTTACGGCTTTCGTCTACGTTCCATTTGGCGACCGGATATTTCCCTGGCTCGAAGACCACATTGTTCATTTCGCTCCCGATATCGGCAATCGTTTGACTGAGATGCCCTTCAGGCTGGATGCTGACCGTTTGCGGCATGAAGTCATCGCGTTGACTGTTACCGGGCAGCTCTCCAGCTTCTTCGAGGAGAATATCTTGCCCCTGATCAAGTATAAAATGAGCAGTTGGTACCGAGACTACCGTCGAAACTATACGAAGGATACGATCCTGATATCCATGGTCACTGATGACGAGGACGAGGCGCAGTTCCTGGAGCAGCGCCGCAACGAGGCCACGCTGGAGCCATACAATGTGCAGGATGACATTGCCGAGCTGGTGCTTCAGTTTGGCTACTTGGCCCTGTTTTCGTCTGCTTGGCCGCTTATCCCTCTGGGCTTCCTCATCAACAACTGGGTTGAGCTTCGGTCCGACTTTGCCAAGATTTGCATTGAGCACCAAAGACCGCCGCCGTCTCGCGCAGAAGGCATTGGGCCATGGATTGTCTCTCTGGAGATTCTCGTGTGGCTGGGCAGCATCTCCTCCGCAGCCATCGTTCACCTGTTTAGCACTGATGGCGTACTGAGCGGCGGCTGGTCAACTCTCCCACTGACCATCTTCGTCAGCGAGCACATCCTCCTCGCTCTGACGTGGATCACACGAGTCATTTTCCAGCGCCTCGGCTCCGAACAGCTACGCAGAGAGAGGAGCGAGCAGTACGCAAGGAGACTGTCGATTCTAGAGGAGATTGAGGAGGCCAAGCGCGATGGAGAACACATTGGCGTGCGGGAGCGAGAGCGCAGAAAGTCGCTGTTGATTGCGGGCAATGAGAGCTTCTGGACGAAGCAGCTGGAAGAGGGAGCGAGCGCGGCGGCTGGAATGAAGCTGATTTCGCTGGCGAGGAAGTCGGACAAAGAGGGCAAGAAGACGCAGTAGATTGATTCACGACGTGTCACAAGCATACGGATTGGGTCTTCTATATCGGGATAACCCGTTGATATAGATCCATACGCAGCCCGAACGGGGTCCCTCACAATTAGAGAAGAGGAGATACTACTGGCATATCAAGATGTTCAAGAAAATTGTTTCCACTCTTGACGTATCCGCAGCTTGTTTCCCCAGGATATCTCTGCACCTCAATATCCCACAGATCGTTGTGAAACTTCACGTTCCCCCTCTCGCAACCCCACACAAGTCATTTCTTCTAGGCACCAATGACATTCCTCTACCAATTCGCATCTCATAAACGCAACGGCTCTTGTCCCAAGACTCCGCAGTAATTTCTCTATCGGCTCTCGTCGGCGAATCCGGCGCCCGCCGTGCTCCGCATAGAAGCAAAAATCTCCTCCGCGTTTAAGCTTGAAAATTGGCTTCGAGCCGCGGCTTACTTGACCTTTCCCCGTTAAGATTGGAAACCTCCCTTGCACAAGAACTCGACCCTTTTCTCCCCAATTCATCTTCAGACAAGAAAGAAAATGCCAGAGAAGGAGAAAACGAGGAGTAACTCCAAAATGCTGCGCTGGGGCATCCTCGGAACGAGCTTCATCTCCCACACCGTCGTAAAATCCATCCTCGCGAGCCCCAACTCACGCATCACAGCCGTCTTTGGCCGCAACCAGGCCCGTCTCGACGAGTTCGCCGCAAAGTATGACATCGCCACCAAGTATCAGGATCTAGAGGCGCTCCTCGACGATGCCGAGGTCGACGTCGTGTATGTCGGCTTGCCCAGCCACATGCACTCCTCGGCGGTGATTGCCGCTGCGAAGAAGGGCAAGGCTATTCTCTCGGAGAAGTCGCTTGCGACGACTATGGAGGACTCGCATGCCATGATTGCAGCCGTTAAAGAGGCGAACGTCTTTTTCCTCGAAGGCCTCATGTATCTCTGTCATCCACTGATGGAGAAGGTCGCCTCCATTGTCAAATCTGGCGCTCTTGGCAACGTCAAGGGCATGTCCGGCTACTACGCCGCCAACATCTGGAAGAAGGCCAACCCTTTGGGCATGGGTACCATATACAACCTGGGCTGTTATCCCGTCTCCCTTGTCCACTTCATTATGGAAACGGCATACGGATCCGAGGCGTTTGAAAAGCGACAAGTCGCTGGCTTGGGCAATCTTTCCAACGAGGGCAGCCTGCATGCCCGTGATGCATCTCTCAACGTCCGCTTCGACAACGGCGTCCTGGCCACGATCCAGTCAACCGACAGCTTTGGCAACGACTTCTCCTTTTCTATCCAGGGCGACAAGGGCGTGCTACGATTCAAGACGAACCCCTGGCTGCCGCTGGCGGGTGACAACGTCATGGAGCTCAAGACCTATGGAGGGGCCACGGAAGAGATTGTTGTTCCCGCGCAGATGGATGCTTTCGGGCACCAGGTGAAGCGCGTCGAGGACTGCATCACACAGGGCTTGAAGGAAGCGCCAAGGCCATCACCGAGCTGGGCGAACTCGGTCGAGATTATGAGCTTATTGACTGAGTGGGAAGCTGACATCAAGAAGCGGGCTTAATCTGAAGCGGGCATCACCTGTTATTAGCAATTACAGCGTTTCATATCCAACATTTTTTTCTTGAATATTATATACAAGTAGAAGACCGAATCATTTAGATAGCAAAACCACCAGAATCAACCTGTCTCGGCTCTCCGGCAGCCTCGAAGGTCCCATTCGGCAACAGTCTCACGGCCTGCGCAGTGCTCTGCCCCGGCGCGACCCAAGTAACGTTGTGACCAAGCGACTTCATATACGCCACTGTCTCATTGTCGTAAGCATACTCAAACGTCACCTGGTCGGGAACGAGCTGGTCATGCAAGCGTGGCTGAGCAAGCGCTTCGGGAGTCGTCATGTTGCCATCCAGCACGTGAATCGTGTTCTGAATGTTTGCCGTAATGATCCTGCTTCCGCCTGCAGACCCAAGCGCCAGATAGAGCTTCCCGTCTGCCGTCTCGGCAATGATGGGCGAGATGGACGATAGGGGGCGCTTTCCAGGACGGATGTAGTTTGCTGGGCTGGGGATGTAGCCGAAGCTGTTGCTGAGGCCGGGGATACTGAAGTCGTTCATTTCATTGTTCATGATGACACCAGTTTCGGGGACAATCAGCGTTGATCCAAATATCAGGTTGACTGTCGTTGTCATCGAAACAGCCATCCCACTGGCATCCGCAGCGACAATATGCGACGTTCCCGGAGTCTCAAGCGACTCTAGTCCTTTGGGGTCATAGTAAGCGACCGGTTCAGTTTTGTTGTACGAGATCTTGGACCGAATCTCGGCTCCAGTTGCAGGCTCTATCATCTCCTTCTGATACTTGTCGATTCCGTCGACAAAAGACGGATCGCCCAGTTCAGTTCGCTGACCGTACGCAAACCGGATAGCTTCATCCAACAGATGCGTCGTCCGGTTCACTTGAGAAGTTTCGTTGAACCCATCATATCCCCCGATAGTGTTGAGAGCGCTGAGTGCGACAGCACCACTTGAAGGAGAGCTTGTGCTGGTGACCTTGTAGCCACGGTAGTTGATGTGCAAGGGCTCTCTGATGGCAACTGTATAGTTCTTGAGATCCTCCAGCGTCATGATCCCTCCAGCTGCTTTCAGTGCGCGAATGGTGGCATTAGCAATGGGACCGGTGTAAAAGGCATCAGCGCCATGGTTGGCAATAGCCTCGAGCGTATCAGCATATCTTTTGCGAGTCATAGTCTCGCCCAGCCGGACGAGGCGTCCCTTTGGGGCAAAGTCAATGGCCCACGCTGGATCTTCCGTGAGGAAGTTATTAGGACTCAGTCCCTTGATGGCGCTGATCAAGTCTGCATTCACTTCGAAGCCGTATCTGGCAAGCTTAATGGACGGCGTGATGACATGGGCCCAAGGCAGAGCGCCGTACTTGTCGTGGACATACTCGAGGCCTCGTAGCTCTCCGGGAACGCCGCTGGAAGATGTCAGTGTCAACATACACAGCACCCAGGGAGAATGCTGCTCATTGCAGGGCTTACCTTGCCATACCACCGTGAAGGCTCAAGTCCTCATTGTCGTTATACATGTCTTGGGTCGCAGCACCCGGCGCCGTCTCACGCATGTCGACAAACTCGTACGTGCCATCACTCTGCCTCAGCAGCAAGAAGCCGCCCCCACCAATGCCGCTGTGATACATCCCAATGACGCCCACACAGATGACTGTGCCCACGAGCGCATCAACGGCGTTTCCTCCATCCTTGAGCATTTGAATGCCGATTTCACTGCATACTGAGCTTTGTGAAGCGACGGCTCCTTGCTTCGGGATCTCAACACCGGGAGGTGGACTGCATGGCGGTGTTGGCGATGCTCTGCTGTAAGGCAACACGGACAGAAGTAGTGTAAGTGGTCTAACCACTGATCTTAGTCGGAGCTGGGTCATGCTGGAGTATGAGGTCGAGGATTGATCCGCAGTCGAATAGAGACTCCCAAAGGACTAGGACACCAGGAAGAGTCCTCCGAGGAGAGGATTGAGCTCGTCTTATATGCTGCCATGCTTCTCCGTACGGCACACCACATCGTCTGCGACATCCCCGAATTGTTGGCCGATTCCCAATTCCCTGAAAGAACATACTTAGCTCAATGGATATCGGGACAACCGCGATAGTACGGTTAGGTCGGCGTATCAGTCGTTGGGTCACCGACAAACGGCGCTCGAGCCCTGTCGTCTTTGCGGGGGAATCCAGGACAGGGATCTCTACGAGGCTAGCAAATGCTACTCTGGTTCCTCAAAGGGACAGGAGATAAAGGCACCCGCGGTCTATGATTCAGGGAGACGACGAGCTTTCGAGAGCCCGCGGATCTAGTATGACGTCTGGATCATCCAGATGCATCGTTATCTCGGCCTTCCTGTCTAAGCTAGAGTAATTCAGAACCCGGCTGGTCGGAGGTCACATCCGATTTCCAAGAACAGTTGCAGGCAACATGCTATGATATAGGTACAACCAACAAATGTCTTAAAGGACTATAAGAAGTCTTCCAAGATGCTCCGTAAAATGATGCTCAACGCCATTGATTGCACTCCTAAATACGCGATATATGTCACCATCATACTTAGCTTCCTCCTCCAAGTCTTCAACTGCCGCAAGCCACATCTTGACAGTCATCCCTGTTCAACTCTTGCGCGTCTTTGGAGCTCACAGAGGGCGCATGTTACGGGTCTTTTACACTTGCCATCCCCACTTCCCCTCACCTTGAAGTCCAGGGAATGCGAATCCGCTATACCAAAATCGATGGTTCTTTGTTACAACCCACAGTGTCATTATCTCTGTTTCTTTCCGATTTGCAGTTCTTACAAAAGAGATTCGGAAGTTAGCTAGCCAAGGGGCCAAAAAGAACACCATGCTTGGCATAGTCAACACCACAGTCGGAGTTGGCCGACCGTGGGCACAATCACGATAATCAGAGGCCAGGAAGCGACTCATTGACGCCGAGGTCGGCGAAACGTAGACAGTGATCCAAGGATAGGTTGTATACACATATTATCGTCACGAAGGTTGTATCCCCTGTAACGCGTCACAGCTCAGCCAACGCCGTAAGCACTCTCTTCAGCCCCTCCCGCAGATAGTCCTCCGGATGTGAAAACACAATCCGAAACCAACCAGGCTCTTCTGAACCAAACGCCGTCCCAGACGCCAGAAACACCTTGTGCTTTAGCAATGCCGTGGCTATTGTCATGTTCAAATCACTCGTCTCGGCATTGGGATGAAGCTTTTTAAAGACGCTCCCCAGGTCCACCCACAGGAAGAAAGCAGCATTCACACCCGGTCGATAGCTGACGCCGTTGTCCTTTGCCCACGAAGTCACCACCCTGTACTGCTCTGCCAGCCTCCTCTGATTCTCGGCGACATATGCTTCCACCCAGGCGTCGTCCTCAAGAATGTTCGCTGTGGCATGGTCGGCAATGGATGACGCTGAGCTGTACAGGTTGAGGGGAATCAGCGCAGCGTGCAGCGATGGATTGGCCTGTGAGATGAGCGCGCCCACTCTGAGGCCGTTGGCCCCGAAATCCTTGGACATGCCCCAGAGAACGTGGACTCGAGACGGGTCGATGATGCCAGTTGGGTCAATGCTGAGACAGGATGTGAATGGTTCAAGAGGAACGCCGGTGTCAACTGTGTTCTCCCAAACGGAGAGGGCATAGATCTCGTCGCTGATGAAGTGCATCTGGTACTTTTCGCAGAGCCTCAAGAGCCCAACAATGGTGTCTCTCGAGTAACATCTGCCAAGCGGATTGTGAGGATTGCAGAGCACCAACCCTGCCACCTTCGTTCCTTCAGCTTCTGCCTTTTTCAGGGCCTCTTCGTACTTGGCGACGGCGTTCTCGCTCAACGGATCAACGCCGTGAAAGGGAACGGGAATGACTTTTGCTCCCGTGCGAGCCGTCAAGTCCTCGATGAAAGTTCCGTAATACGGCTGTCCCAGCAGGAATGCTTCTCCGGGGTTGGCACACGCCCATGAGAGATGCTCAATCGCTGAGCTGCACCCATTGGTGACGATGACATGAGCGGGAACGATTGGGGTCACGGGCTTGAGATGCTTGTTGAGGAAACGAGCCATGGCTTTCCGCAGATGCTTCGACCCGGAGGCACCGTCTCCATAAGTGAAGGCGTGGTTGGACAGGGTCAAGTTCTCGTGGATGTGCTTTGAGAGAGTATCATGCATGAGCCTGTTTTCGGCGACGCCCAAGCTGACAGTTCCAGAGGGGTTTGTGTCTGGATCCCACAAGTCTTGCAGAACTTTCCATATTGTGAGTCTTTGGGAGGCTTGCTCGGAGTGTTTGGCCCGTTCTGAGAGCGACATGATGGGCGTGGTGGTGCTTCGGTCGGTTCAGCTGTATGAATACAGGAGGGAGGAGATACCGTGTGAGCTGAGTGGAGATATGGCTTGCAAGAATCCAGAGACTTGGTAAGAGTTTGGAGGGATGATGATTTGACGATGTAAGATAGGAAGAGGAAGGAAAACAAGAAGAGAGAACGATCAATCCTAGAGGCTCTTTATATACATCAAAGATCTGGATCGTGAATGAATGTCTTCAGAAGGCGCGTGGGAACCCGCGCCCTCTCACGGCATCTTTGGCGTCATCAGGCGCCAAACCGGAGCCAAAATCGAGAGCTACCTTGGCAGCGGTTTTAAGGCAAATGAGTCAGACACACGAAATGATAACGACGTCACGTGTCACTTCGTGGCTATTGAACCTCTGGATTCTCTTATGCGCAATGGATGTCTTGTTCAATGTTGATGTGAGTTTTTAGTGGCTTCTCAGGCCTTGAATGGCGGTATCTTGTAGGTTAGCCATGATGAGTGTCGAAGAAGATACTCGCATGCCTCACAAGAGTGGCCCATCAAAAGCGGCATATGAATGAGAGACGTTAACCTGAGTCTAGCGATGGAGGAGTCTGTTGGAATGTGTAGTATGCACGTCATTATGCAAGTGTTGGAGATGATCAAGATTTAATTTGTCTTCAACTGCAACCAGATCGCAAAGCATTTCTTTTGCAAGCGGCGTTTAGCTGGATCATGCTCCTGCCCTCGAGCTGTTACAACTACCCGGCATTAAATGATGACCCTCCTTGACTTTTAGGGTGAATGGAGCACCTACTCCAAATGCAGGATACTTATTCTCCGGTTCTCCGTCACTTTCACCAGCGACTCGCCCTACAAGTTGGTGTATACTACCGGAGATGTGCGGGATCTGGGTTGCCGTATTGGGCAATCAGGGAACCTCCAACCCGGCGTCATGAAAGTCGCGAGCTTGTCTCCGAACCAGAAATTGCCTGAGAAGAGCGTTCCGATACGCGCCATGTTAAATAGATACGTGATTTCGAAGAGATGTATATATATTGCCTTGAATCCAGCTGGTCTGAGGTGTCTTGTTCATACTCATCAGTAAAAGCCAAGAGCCGATATACCAGATCACCTGTCAATCATATCACAAAGTCTACCTCAACTTGCAATCCATCACAATGACCAAGGTCCTTCTCCTCGGCGCTACAGGTTACGTTGGCAAGCGACTAGCCGACACTCTTGTCCGAAGCGGCCAATACAAAGTGTACGGCATCGCTCGCTCGGAGGCTAAGGCAAAGACACTGGCTCTGGCAGAGGTTACGCCCATCATCTGCGCTGATCCGGTCAATGAGCCCGCAGCCTATATGGATGCCGTCCGCAACCAGCACATCGATGTCATCGTTGATATTGCCGGAGCGCACCAAGAGTCGGCTAAGTTCCTCAGTCACGCAAAGGAGATTGCTAAAGAGCGATTGAACAGCTATGCTGCCGCTGGCATCACGGGCCCCAAGCTGGGCTTCATCTACTGCTCCGGCACCTGGGTCCACGGATCCAGCAACCAGCCGGTGAACGATCTTCACATTGCCGGCCCCAATGCTGCCACTCCTCCTCGGGCCCTTGTTGCGTGGAGAGTTGGACTCGAAAATTCCATCCTTGCTTCCTCAGACGTTTTGGATGTCGCTGTTGTACGGCCTGCTCTGATCTATGGCCGCGAAAACACCATTTGGACTCCGTTCATCTTGCCACTTCTCCAAGCGGCCCGCAGTGGCTCATCAGAGCCTGTCAACATCCCCCTGCAAGCCGACGCCAGACCGGCTCTCATCCACGTCGAGGATGTGGCCACCGGTTTCCAAAAGGTGATTGAGAATCTGTCCTTGATCAATGGTGGCTCCGTTTACCCGGTCTTTGATCTTCTCACCAGCCAGGAGAGCATGTCCGAGATCTTTTCAGCCATAGCCTCTGCTTGGGGATTCAAGGGAGATTGCAAGTTGGTTGGACCTGGCGACGATTTGTTTGCCGAAGCCATGAGCACGACTCTGCGGGGTTCTTCATCGCGTGCGAAGCAGCTGCTTGGATGGGAGCCGACCAGGACTAATGGATATGTGGCGGATATGGACGTGTATGCGGCTGCCTTTGCCTCTCAGTACTGATGCTCTGGGGATTTAATCGCCTTAGACGCCGTCATATTTCATGAGTAGCCTCAACTTAGAATGTGTTAGCAAGCGGAACAAATGGATCATACATTCCAGTCGCGTAAAGAGTGTGAATTGATATATATATCTTGTCGTGAGCAGTTTGCTTCTTGATGGATTAGCATGTCATCTTCTAGAGCATGCACCGTTATAGACGGATGGAGAGTAGATAACACTGTGATCGAGACGATCGATTTGATAGAGAGACGCCTATCTTTTCAAGAGGACATTCCTCGGCCCTGAAAGGGGGGATTCTTCGTTACTCGTGGTGTATAAACAGTGACTATCTTATATGTCAAGGGCAGCAATCGAAGTTGAAGAGTTCAAATGCAAATGGAATCGCATCAGTGCCTCAACTGCTGCGCTTGTTGAAAGCCGAACACTACTTACAGCATTTGAAGTTAGCGTCAAGGTTCCTTAGCGCACAATTCCCGCGCAATGGTACTTATGGGAGCAACGCCCCACCTGCAAATGCTCTTATCGGACATTTTCTTATCGCCCTGAAAAACTTCTGGAGCCAAACATTTTCTTCCTTAGATCCATCCGGTCCATCAAGTCTTCTTTCTTCTTTATACCCAAACTCGTCGCTATTTCTCACCTCGAAACACCCAATCGTCATCATGCGCCCTCTCACCGAAGAAGAGACGCAAGCCGTCTTCAAAAAGCTCGCCGAATACACTGGCGCATCGCTCAAGAACATCATCGCTCCCCAAGAAGATGGTGATCGCAACGTTTTCCGCCTGTCGCAAAACCGAGTCTATCTGGTCCGGCTCTCCATGGCCAACCTGGCGACGTCCATTGCCCGCGACAACCTGCTCTCTCTAGGAACCTGTTTGGGTATGCGCTGCCTCTCCCCTCACAGACTACGCACAAATTGAAGCTAACGTGACATCTGCTCAACAGGCAAGTTCACCAAGTCTGGCAAGTTCCGCATCCACATCACGGCCCTCCCCATCCTCGCCGAGCACGCACGACACAAGCTCTGGATCCGCCCCAATGGAGTCATGCCCTTTCTCTACGGCGGAAACATTGTCAAGGCCCACGTTGGCCGATACTCGGAGGACTGCCCCGAGCACCAGGGCCTCGTCGTCTACACCATGGACGACGTTCCTCTGGGCTTCGGAGTCAGCGCTCGCAGCACTGCCGAGAGCAGGAGACTCGACCCGACCGGAGTTGTATGCTTCCGACAAGCCGATTGCGGAGAATATCTGCGTGACGAAGATACCCTGTTCCAGTCTGGCTAGAGACAAACGGTACGATTAGTTCGAACGGTTAAACGGCCTTTCTTTCGGGCAGCAAGATGTTACACTTTGGAGTTCAAGGGCGTTGGTGGCAACAATACTTTTACCATTGGCATGGCGTTTAAAATCTGGAGGATGCTGAAGAAGGGTCTTTCACCGAAGGAGATGCGAAGAGTCGACATTAGAGTCGCAGGCACACGCGGAGAGTTGGTTACGTGACGAATGTCTGGATGTGAAAACGCGAATCATCTGAAGGTGCGTCGTATCATATTCGGACACCTGCCACCTCTGTCCAAGGAAATCGTCAACTTGCTCCTGTATGACCAGGAAGCAGATCAGTTGGCACAACGCTTCATGGAGCATCAGGGCATATACCTCTTTAATGAAATAGCATCACAATTTCTTCACCAGCCCCTGCATCTCTACAATGTGACTATGTCGACAGTTCAAAATCTGCCAGCGTGAGAGTGACGGGCAAGTCACTCAGAGTTGGTTCCATTCCTGTGCTTATCCATCCATACCCGTGCGTACTCAACCACCTCACGCACAGAAAACAGCCGGCACTCAGCTGCCCCGACTTTTCCGCGTATGACGTGGCAGTCCCTCTCAAAATCAGCCCCGAGGTCCTCGAAATCATCGTCGGTTATTGGCACGATGTCTTTCACAGTCATCCACTGTCGTTGGCCGTTGAAGTTTATGGCGAACGAGTTGTCTACAAGGGGAGCGGGCTTCTGGAGGCGATACTCCGCAAGATGAAGAGCGGTGCACCTGTCCCATCCAACTCCTATCAGCAGGACCCAAGCATCTACTATTTCAAGTTTGGCCAGCGGGCTTGATTCGCCAAAACGACAGTCTGGCGCATGTCCCTTCGTGATCATGTCTGCTAGAGGACCAACTGCCGCAAAAGACGTCTGTGGATGGGCAGATCGCTCAGCACCACGCCATTTGCGCAGCGTCTCCGGGACAACGCCTACTCTTCTGCAGACCGTCGTGTCCGGATCAAAAGCTGGCGTAGAGTCTCGTATTGTTTGCCACCATGATTCGGGAACTGGAGGAGCCCTCCATGCTGCAGGATCTGAATTTTCGCCTGTGAAAGTTGGGGCGACGAGAGTGACTGTCGAACCGAGCGCAGAGAAGAGAGATGCGATGAGTGAGGGTGCGAAGCCGGGAATAAAGCCGATGGATGCAAGGGAGGAGTGGACAATGAGAACCGGATAGTCGCCGGCGTGGGGAAGGTTGGTGAAGAGATGCTTGAATGAAGCGGTAAGCTCCGACGGAGTGACGATACCACTGTATTTGGGGTTGCCAGACATTATGAAGACACGGCAATGAAACTTTGAAGCATCTAAATAGAAGCAGCCTTAATGAAGATGATTGAACCGACGCTGAGTTATATCGCAACGGAGATAGATAGGTGAGGGGGAATGAAATTCACCGAATGACTCATCGGCTCGAACTTCCTCAATCCTCCGCATGCACTTGTGCGACAGAAATTTAGCCATCAAATCAACTCGCTACCTTACATAGGGAATGCTATTCGCCAGCGCTTTTGTTCGTCCATCTTCTCTCACTTTTGAAACTTAGCCTTCATCGACACCCTGTCCTGGTTGACATTTCCAACCGTGCCCACGAATCCCTTCTGCCGAACCCCATCCAGCACCCGCTCTCTGTTCTGAACTCCAGCCTTGAGGTCCCCCTTCAGTCCGACCGCAGTCTTCAAGATGTCGTCCACATCACCCTCAAAGTTGGTGTGATCACGGGGCGATCTCCATGCGACCATATCATCCGGCCTGATGAGAACCGCATTCCGCTCCCAGATGTCCCGCACATGCCTCTCTGTCGGCAAATGAACCTTCTTCAACGGGATGCCCAAGCGCTCCGCAGCCTTTCCGAACTCCTCAGCCATTTTACCATCTTCGGAAAAGTCGACAATGGTGTACTCCTCGCCAAACAAGTCAAAGATGCTCGTCTCGCCATCGGCAAGCCAGACATGCGGCGGCCTCGCTCCGGGCCACGTCGACGGGACATAATGGCGGAAATTCCACTCGGGCTCCGAAGCGTCGGGATCGCCAACGACGACCGGCGACGCGTTGTATCGGTAGCCCATCTCGATGCCATGGTCCTTGTTCTCGCTGTCGTTGGTCAGGAAGTAATTCGCCAGCTCCGCCTTGTAGGCCTTTGCCAGCTTGCTCTGCGAGAGGATATCGGCCCCGACCTGAGCACAGCTACTCCAGATCCTCACCCATTTCTGCCACAAAGTACCCGAATGATTAATGTTTCGCACCGCGACGGGCAGACGCTCCAGCTCATACGACTTCAAAAGCTGCTCGCCGCCAAACCCGTTCAACACGGCAGCGAGCTTCCACCCGATATCGAAGCTGTCTCCGACGGCAGTGTTCATGCCGTAGCCCCCCATGGGAATGTTCTGGTGGGCTGAGTCGCCTGCGAGGAAGACGCGTCCGCCTGGAGAGATGTACCTCTCGGCAACGCAAATGTTCGGTCGCCAGGTGCTCTTGACCAATATTTCGTCAATCTTGATGGGATACGGCGCTGAAGGACCCCCGAGCGCGTTGTAGACTGTTTCCACAGGGTCCAACTTCTCCCAATCTGCGTCGATTGGGATCGGCGTGTGCATGGTCCATGTGTTGACCTCGTCTTGCGCAATGAAGAAAGCCCCATTGGCAAACCCAATGTGCCAGAACTGCCCTTGCTTGTGCAGCCTGGTGATGTCTCGCGACTTAAAGTGAACCAACATCATGGCTCCAGGACTATGTTTGGAGCAAGTCATGAGATGTCAGTCTAATCGACTAGTCAAGAGGGCTTGGACAAACTTACACAGGTCCACCAAGGAGGTTGATTCCGAGTGATCTGCGGACACGGCTTCCAGCTCCATCACAGGCGACTACATACTTGCTGCGAACAACATGTTGTTCGCCCGTGGTTACGTCCGTGAGCGTAGATTCCACCCCATCAGCCGTCTCTGTAAGAGACTCAAACTTGAGACCGAAATGCGCATCGATGAGCTTCTCGGCTTGGATTCGAGGCTTGAGCCATGCCTCGAGGACTGCCTGAGAGCAGCGCTGGTAAGGCTCTCGCGGGAGAGTGCCGTCGTTTTGCGACTTGATACGCTTCCGCCACTCATCGACGGAGTCCAGCTTCTAGAATTGCACATTAGTCGGAATCTCGCTTCCTGAAAGTGGTATCAACAACTCACCCATCGAGCTACTTCTTCTCCCTCTTCTGAGAGCCCGGTACTGAAGATCACATCGAAGGAGTACTGTGGAGGAACACCTAAGTCAAGAGGTCAGGGGCCGTTCCTGAGAGCGTAGACTTCAAGGGTTAAAATGCTCACCAATCTCTCGCAGCCCTTCGGCGAGGCCAAGTCGGCGGAAGAGCTCCATGCTGCGACAGTTGGTGATATCCATCTTGGGCCACTTTGTTGTGTCCAAGTTTCGTTCAACCATCATGGTGTTGATGCCATGGCGAGCGAGCTGGGTGGAAAGAATAAGGCCAGCTGGACCTCCGCCAACTACCAGCACTGGTGTTTCGTGGCGGATAACCTGGACACATTGATGTTAGAGATGGCCTTGTGTTGTTTATTAGTGAAGACTTGCTGTCGAGCTGGGCATCTTGTGCAATATAGGGTTTCTCTGAAGTTTAGTGATGGGAAGAGTCTAGTCTAATCGTCGGATGCTGAACATGGTCTGTCATTCGCAATCATCAATTCGTGAAGAAGTATAGTCTCTATATATCTATCTGCTTCAGACGATACAAGCTGGTTACAGACTATCTTCTGTCTCTTCGCTTCCCGATTTGGCATCCATCAGTGTCCCACAACGCATGCTTCTCTGCAGGGACCTTCTCAGCCAATTACCAACGCTCCTTACCCCCATTGTCCTAGATCTGGAGGTACGGAGTAACCACACGCGCGATCTGATCACATCGTACAGGCATCAGTAATGATGTGTTAATCATCGCGTAAGGGTCAATTCCGCCCCCCAGGAACGAACAACAGCCAAGACCATACTCCGTTACAGGTCTATGACTAAGAGCAAAGAAATTCGGATGCAGTATGTAGTGCCAAGAATGGATAAATCAATTTGCAAGACCTTGAAAGGTGAGTTGGCGAAGGATACCTAGGAATCCAATGTCTGAGACTCCGATCTTCACTGTACCGTGTGGGGGTTTAAGCTGAATGCTATCATACGTGACACGATTTGTGTGGTTACGGTATGTTGGCATTTCCTGACAAAGGCTGAGGTGATACCAAAAAGTGACAGAATGATAAGCATATGTAATTACCTTTCACAGATCTACAGGAGAATCTGGGCGAACCCCCAGCCTCATGCTCCCATAAACGTGAGTTCAAGCTTTGCTCCTCTATAGACGTATCAAGGGAGTCAGCAAGGTGCCTACATTTCCTTCAGTCACAAGTCAAGCAATGCAGTCATACCTCAGATGTGTCCTCAGCTGCGGCCATGGAAATATCGCCATCGGAATTATACACCTGGCGCACCTGAATGCATGTAACATCTTGCTTCCCAATCCGAGCACAGGGACACCCCATGCCTGCCGGCGAACCGACTTCACCCTTGCAAGCGCGCGTTAACTTCGCGATTAACTCGCCTTGATGCACGTTTCAGCGGAGATACGATGCAGTATAGCAGCTGGTTCGAGATCTTTCCGATGCGAATTTAAGAAACCCAGGCTTCTTTGACTGAAAATTGCCCATGCATGCCGAAAACATGCCAAATTTCCACTCTTATGCTTCGCATGGCCCTTTCTCTGGTGTGTACTTTGTTGCCCCTTATGACTGGACAAGTCGTCCAGATTTTCATCTCTTCGGCAAACAACAGTATGTACCTGTACGCTGATACCCCTTTGCCGAAAAGACTGGGTCAGCAGCATGCAGATGCATGAGACAAAAGTGAAGCCCAGCCTTGGGGTTACAAGCGTTACTCAGGGCAAAGCTCCGCTTACCAATGCACAAACCATCACAGGCGAAACTTGCCACGATGTTATATAATCGCAGGATAATCCGCATGTCCGTTTGGCATTTCATGTAAGTATGTCAGATCGACCTAGCTAGTAAATGCGGTGGGAAGAATTCCCGAGTCGAGGTAGGGAGGGCCCATGCCTAAGTCGCAGATCATGAGGAGCCTATAGGAGATCGGATGCAAACGCCTGCTGACCTTTTTGATTCAATTTCTCCGCAGCTTCCGGGATTCATATATACCAAGGCAAAGGCGTGAACTTTAGTGAAAGGTCAAGGCCAAGGTCAAACTGCTCACTCGGCCTCGTCTTGCGTATCTTTAATCTACTTCGGCGAAGAAAGAACTCAGCCAAGAGCACGGTTCTCGTCTTCGACTGGGCTGTTCCTTTTGAAGGGGCTACAGAATGATTTCATGGCGCCAAATCGCTATTACATCAAGATCAGAGAAATGGTGCTGCCCACCTGGGCGAGCACAGAGGCCAGTTGAAACGGAAAATAGAGAAGAGGAAGAAGTTAAGAGGAGTGTATCCAGTGCAAGTCTCTCTACAATCTTGCTTGATGTGAAAATTTGCTACAATTTGCGTCGCTGAGCACTTGCTCTGCGTTCTCACTTAAACGGCCCTTGATTCCGCGTATTCCTTGTCAAATAGAGCATGGGTCTAAGGAGCACCATCTTTCTCATGGTCAGGTTACTGTACCAGGTTTCCTCTTAACTGAGCGGATGGGATATTCCGGTGCAGTTCACTTGTAGGCAATGAGTATCTGAATCACAAACAGATACCAAACTCATCCTCATACACCATAACAAGCATCAACGGGTGCATTGAATAGTTTCTGCCATAGCACCATAAGAGTATACACGTAGGACGAAAAGAATCGACTGGAATGAGTGGTACGTCTTTGCTCCCGAACGTGTAGTGTAGCTGAGTTTCAAGCCAAACCACTCATCGCCTGACCTCGGCTCAATTGATATAGGGATCAGCTAGCAGCTACATTTATACATTTACGCTCCTTAGTCCATTTCCTCCTGAGCAATAGTACAAGCGGCAGGACCAAGCCGGTAGACCCATGTGTAAGGCCGCCTTTTACTCTATTGTGGTCCTCACGCCGACACTAACACAGAGTGATACGGCCACGCATTCTGGCATACGGATAGATTGACAAATGGGTATGGGCCGGCCGCTTGTGTTCGGGCCCGGCAACTTCATCCGGCGGCCGGACTTCCATTGTCTCTCGTTCCGGGACCGTTGATGGGGAGACGGCCAACCGGATGGCCTCGGCGCACTCAGCGGGGGTTGTAGGCTGCGGTTAGCAGGCAGGGTTCGGGGCTGCCGGCGTAACCCGGCTCTCCGCAAATTCTGCAAACACGACTTGTTGCGGAGAATTGCTTCGTATCGTATACCTCGATAGGTAGGATGATAGAAGGGCCAGAGAGTGACACAGCTATCGACTGACAAGAAAGTGTACAGCGCAGTTAGCAGACACTGTCAATGCGTCGCTTGGGATAATACTGCAGCAGCTTCTTTTGGCAAAGGCACGGGGTATTAACACATGAGGAAGGAAATCTTGTTCCATGTGGTCGGTGAGCAGGTAGTGATGTTGCTCTTCCCTCCTCGGCACCGCCGTTCAGCTATATATTCTGTCGTGTCTGCTATTGATGGAATCATATCCTGAAACGCTGCCTTCGGCGTCAGACTATTACAGCGGCTATCCTATACCTCAAGCTTGGTAGCTAGAGTAAACAACACATGCCTTTTTTATAAGCGCTATCTATAGCTCAGGGCAATACTATGAATATAGTAGTATCATCTTCTATTTATAATCTCCTATATCTCAATGGTAGCATTTCCACTTCAGGTACTGTCAGCTCAAGCAGATTCGAGCTGATTTGATCTACACGCCTGCAGAAGGCATTCCCTTGGTAAACCCCGATCCTGGAGATACGAGTATGCTGACGCCCAGCCGCAGATCCAAATTACAGCACCTCGCATCCACTACTGCGGGCTCTCCCCAGGGGCACAGAGCCTCGTCCTCACTTCAGTGTCACGTTGTCCAGCATCACGGCGTTGTGAGATACGGTGACAATTTTGCCAGAGTTTGTGTACACTGAGAATCCGGAAAATAATCCGAACGTGTAAATGCATTCAGAAGCTCCTCACTATAAGATTCCAAAGCTTGTTATCAGCTAATTCTTCCGACGGACGACGAAATTCCGTCTGATCAACTCCCCTGACTTATACCCCATAAATGCCGATTAATTAGGCTAATAGGAAGCCCACGGAAGCTTCAGAACAGACACAATGTTCTCAATCCGGCTTCAGAGACCTTGGCGAAAGAACCGCTATATCAATACAGGAAGTTCCTAGAGTCTCTCCGGCATGGGGACGCGAACCGAAACAGCAATCCATCGCAAATGTCGTCATCATGAAGCCGTGTCAAGGCAAGCCCGAAAACCCCACAAACCGCATATTCCAGGATATCTTGAGAATTGTTCGGACACAGGCTGTCAGCTATGGAGTGCCCTCCACACGTCCAAGGCACTGCCTGCGGGAGCTATACTAAAATCCGCAAAGCGCCCTTCGGAAAACGCCCACGAGGCGCAAGAACTGCCCCGTTGTCTGGATACCGGCACTTCTATAAGAGGAGAAATGGCGTCGATCGGTGTGCCTCGATTGGACCGGGAAGACTCTCGGGAGCTATATGCGGGGAGTTCGTTCTTATTTCGTATTGCGACGGTGATGACCAAGGCTGGGCACGGAATTGGAGACGCCTGGTGACGAGCGGTAAGAGACACTTGGAGACTCCGGGCTGTAATATCTCACGTAAACGACAAGAAGAGATGGAGTCCTTGGCGAATTTGTGAGAGGATGTCCTGGCCACGGGTAAACGTGTGCAACCGCAGACAAGTATATATATCGACTTCCCACATCTTGTCAGCATGATCGTCTCTCCAGTGCTCCTCATCCCTTCCCCCTTTCATCAAGATGCCTCGTCTTGAGATTCTCTCCCTCGGGCTCGCCATCACCGGCGCCGCAGCAGCTCCCGCTGCCTCTGCCGCAACGCCCCTCAAGGTCATCAGCTATGCCCAGACTCCAGACGGCTTCACAAGCGCAGCCCGAGGTTGGAACAGCTTCGCTCTTCAGGCCAACCCCAACGCAGCGCCCAGCTTCACGTTCGACCAGTCACATGTCTTGACGCAATGCAGCGTGTTGGCTTCAGGTGCCTTTAAGGGCAACTACGACTACTGCAGTCTCGACTCTGGCTGGTCGGTGGGAGACCACGGTGATGATAATGGCCGGATCATCTATGATACAAGCCTGTTCGACATCCCATCGCTGGCCAGCTCTCTTCACGATCAAGGGCTCAAGCTGGGCGTGTATGTTGTTCCTGGAGCCTTCATCAGTGATGCAAACAAGACCATCCTTGGAACCCAGACCACCATCGGGGAGGTTTGCACAGGTAACGAGGGCCTACTTCGCTGTGTCTTCGATTACACGAGGCCGGAAACCCAGCAGTGGCACGACTCGGTCGCGGCCCAGTTCGCCTCTTGGTCTGTGAAATCCAAAGGTTTCCATGACCAACGCAATGCTGACTGTATAACAGGGGCGTCGACTTTGTCAAGCTTGACTTCGTCACTCCTGGTTCGCCAGACAATGGCCAGAGCCTCCCAGCAGACCAGAGCGGCTCAGTCGTCGCCTGGCACAACGCCATCAAGAACAGCGGCCGCCAGATGCGCCTCGACATCTCCTGGAAGCTGGACCGCACTCAGAAGTACTTTGACATCTGGAGCGAGAACGCCGATTCCATGCGGACAGACCAGGATCTTAACAACTCCGGCTCAAACGTCCTCGTCGCCTGGGGCACTGTCCAGCGCGCCATCGAGAATTACCGCCAGTGGATCGTTGCCGGCCTGCAGTTCTACGACCAGCTCACCATCTACCCCGACCTTGACAACTTGGTGTCCGGCAACCCGGAGAGCATCTCCGGCCTTAGCGATGGTCAGCGCACGACAGTTACCACGCTTTGGATCGGAGCGGGAGCGAACCTCATTCTTGGCAACGACATGACCACGCTGGATGACTTTGGCACAAACCTTCTCACCAACCCCGACGCCCTGCAAGTGGCCGCCTTTACCGCCCAATATCCCATCCAACCTCGCAACCCCGGCTCAGGCGGCCAAGCAGCGACCCAGCTCCAGGCCTGGATTGCAGGTCCCTCGCCCTCCGGCGAGGCGGTCGTCGTGCTCGTAAATCTCGGCCCAGACAACGGCAACGGTGGTTTCGGAACGCAAACGAGCGGCGTCCAGACGGTGTCTGCAACCTGGCAGGATCTGGGCCTCTCAGGCTCGTACAACGTGCAGGACATTTGGAACAACCAGAGCTTGGGCGTTGTCAGCGACCAGGTTTCTGCTCAGCTTAACGAGGGCGACAGTGTGCTGCTGCATCTGACGAAGGCATAGATGCGCTTTGAAAGATCTTTGACGGAGGGGAATCACGATGTGCATATAGAACACAAAGGACTTTGTATTTATGATTAGCGTAGAGCCTCAATCAAATTGATTCGTCTCGAATCCGACAAGTATCTCTATAAATGGTGGATGCCAGCAGCCTATGCAAGCTTCCGTCGCTTGGATTGACCGCATTCTCTCCATTGGTAATGACATATCCTATCGCCTCGGTCCCCTTCCCCATGACCTCCTTGGCAAGCCCTCACCAAAATATTCGAACCCTCTGGAAATCCGCTCTTCTTGGTAGTTCAGGCCCTGTTGAGCAATTCGACTCTCTTCAGTTAGCCTATTCTCTGTGGGACTTTCCTCTCCAATGACAGTCACTGGCTTCATCAGATCCTCTTCATGGATAAGAGTATCTTTGTTCATCAGATCCTCCTCAGTTGTCTTTTCCTGTGTGGTGATCGCATCATTCTTGACTACAACCACTTGGGCGTCTTGCGGCTGGGCAAAATGCTGTATGCCCTCATCCGGGCCAGACTCCTCCATAAAGTCCAATTTGAGGAGACATCCTTCCACGCTGGCTGCGTGGATTTCTTTCTTTCGAGGGTTGATCTCAGGCTCAGCATGTTCCATCCCAATCCCCATTACTTCATCTACTTGCCCCGAATTGCCTCCGTTCGATGCAAGTCTGTCGAAGAGTTCCAGATTCTGGGCACTTTGTTTGCAGTCGATCGTGAAGTCGAGATAAGCCATTGTGTGAAGGTTTCTTCCCTCGAGCTTTAGTATGTGATCAGTATTGGGACTTTGGGGAGACATGGAGACCCAAGGTCCTTGTTCTGGTACTCACTCGAGAGCTTAACTTGCCTGTCTGAGGCTCGAGCTGTAATATGAAGGATGTATTGACCAGGCAGGAGGCTCGGGTGAACGAAGAGCTTTTCTAGCTGACATGGCCCGTTTGCTGGTCGAACAGGCGAGCAAACTTCATCTGATCGATACCACCGAGGAAAATGGCGGAATTTCTGCCTTGTCTCCAGGCAATCTCATAATTGTTTGTCATGCGTGATAGACTCTAATAGGCCACAATACAACTCACTTACATGGCGGCTAATATGGTTATTTATATACATGGACAAACTCTCGTACATATCTTTGTCGCATCTTTTAAGTTCTAGTGGGTTATTGAGACTTTCGCTTCATTTCATACCTCCACTCTTGCTTTTAAAATGATCAAAACACAATTTTAACAAGGCCTGATTAAGAGATATCCATGAGTAACAAACATCAGTTGGTGTACCCTCTTCCCTGGCCTTTGTTCTAGGTCTATTGAGAACTTTGAGAAAACCACAGAGACGTTTGTGAAGAGCTTGTTGATGAAGGAGAGCTAAACATCACAATCCTGCATGGAACCTTGCTTGATAAGCCTGTGGTTTGTGCTAAGCATAAGGTCTCAAGCAAGTTTATTCTCCTTCAAGTCTAAGATCTATCTCTGTGTACAATGGAGAGCCGAGCTAGAGCATTTGCACAGTTATACAACTCTAAATGAGCCCCAATAGGCGATCATATTCCCCTCGTGGCGACACCCCTCATGGCCATGGCATTCTCGTGAACACCCTCCTTCGCCAGATGCATCCGACATTGAGACATCCCTTGGCAAGCAGATCCTGTCAATAATTTTGATTGCGGTCAATGGTCAGATCATGTTGAGTAGTCAGATCTCACTTGGCATCGGATCGTCTTCGGCCACATTCTCTGCGGCCACGTTCACTTTGGCCATGTTCTCTGTGGTCATGTGTTCCATCTTGACGAAACGTATGGCACCCCAATCCGATATGCTACTGGGGACGTATCCAGCTGCCTTAAGCAAGTGCTTCAGCACGAGCGCCGGGTAAGGGTTTTCTCCGCCCTCAGGGCTTTTCAAAACCCTCATGGAAACCCAGTCGCGACCATTGTCATGCATTTTATACCCTTGCAAGCTGCTCAGAAGTTCGGCAATTCTTTTTCGCTCGTCATCTGTGTCACAGACGATGATGGCGTCAGAGGAGGGCATCGTGAGTGGTTTTGCTTCTGCAGAGTCAGTACATATGCGGCATAGAGGCTAATGAGCGAGAAAGGTATACGGATGGCATATTTCTGTTACTTACTCAACAGAGATTTACTGGATGGTTTTGGGCTTCTGAGATTGAGTCAGATGGTTGAAGTGGTTGGAGAAAGTATACCTGGGTAGATGATGAGGTTTTAATAGTTGAATCTCTGTCAAATTGCTGGCTGGGCGAGCGAGCAAACATCATATCACCAGCACCGCCAACGTCGATCTATACGTAGGTGCATGTACGCAAACAAGCTCATTTGGTGAGATGATATGATGAGTGACTGCGGTTAGACTGTGAATGGACTGTGCTCTCTTGCCGTTGACAAGAAGAAAGGCCCTTGCAAGTGCCGGAATTGAGCGGAGCATATTCGATAGGGAAGCAGATTGGCTCAAGAAGGGAGATAAGAAAACTCTTTCTACTCAGTTCAAAGACAAAGGCACTGTTAGCCTCGTGCAAACACTTATTTGCAAAGATTGGTTGATCTGTCAAAGAACCACTGGCATCATGTGAGCCTGACTCAATTTGTGTTAAAAATAGGGGCACTAACATAGGAAGTATCTATATATTAAAGGGCAGGGGTTAACCTGACTGTAAAATATAAGTAAAGCCATATGCTGCTATACAGGATATAAGGAGATAATAAGCTAATTAACATATATTTTAACAGGTTATAAGCCTGGCTTTTATAAAAATTACTAAGAAATAATAAGTATTAATACTTTTAAGTGCTTATAGCTAATCTTACTAAATCTGCTGCTTTTTAAGGGGAAATTACTATATAATAAGGAAAACACTAAAAAATAGCTAGATAGTGTAATTTAAGTAGGCTAATTCTGCATTAACTAGGAATAGTATTATTAAAAGACCTAATTACTAGTCTAAGGCCTTTCTAGTAGCTATTAAGGGATCTTTAAGAATTTTAAGAAGATAAAAATCATTTTAAATTAGATAATAGTCTATATATAGTTAAATAATATGCCTTTATAAATAAGGAACTTAATAAAGACATAATCTCTAGCATCCCTTTACCTCTTAATAATACCAATACCTTTAACTATAAAGTTTAAATACTATTAAGACTTTTTAATTAATAGCTAATATATAATATATTATAATAATAAAGCTAACCTAGTATTATAATCTGCAGATAGGCAGAACTTATTAGTCTTAAAATTAAGCTAATAGCAGTAAACGCTTTAAGTCTTTAGTTATTACTAATACTAGAAAAATAAAAGGACTTCTTAGTTTAAGATTATTAGCTAAGACTTATTATTAACCTTATTAAAGTAAAAGATCTGCTTACTATATATAATATAAAGGATAAAATACTATATAGCTAGCTAGACTTATAAAAAAGCAAGTAATAGCAGTATATAAGAATCTTTAAGACTACTCTATCTATCTCCTTAAGTAAGATAATAAGTAAAGAAAGAACTATTAAGAGGGTTTTTTAATATATAAGAGAAGAATTCTAAAAGTCTAGGCTAAGTGTATTATAAATAGTATATAAAGAGTAAGAAAACTATATTTTTACTTTAGCAGCCTTTATTTATAACTTTACCTAGAAGATTAAGATAGTATAAGAAAAGTTCTTTTAAGCTAAGAGTAAGTATAAGTTACTAAATAGTTATTTAATCCTTAAGTTTATTAATAAACTAAATAAATAGTACCTTATTTAGTATACTAATTTTTAGTTAAGCTATAATATTAACTCTTTTTTAATACTAAATAGTATTATTTATAGCATAAAGGTAAAAGAAGTTTAATAAAAAAGCAGTATAATAAATATACAGGCGCTAATATTATATAAAAAAAGCATATTAATAAATAATAATAATTTAACCTTTATAAAAGTATTAAAATATAGCTATTATAGCAAGACCTAGTATATAAAGAAGGGGTGCTAGGATCTTTACTTAAAGAAGAAGAAGAGATAAAAAGACTAATAAGGTTACTAAAGTTATTAACTAGTTATCTTAAATATAAAATAAGGGAATAAAAATATTGCCTTATTACTAGCCTCCTTAAGGATAAAAACTAAGACTAATAGCTACTATATAACCTTTTAAAATATTAGTATTAGACTGCAGTTTTTAAGCTGTTTAAGTGCTTAACTTAGGCTATAAATAGCATACTACCTTTTAGTAAAATAAGTTTATGCCTAGATTACTATAGCTATATTTTAAAGTGCTAAATAGCATTAGTAACTTAAAAATTAAGATTAAAGGCATTAGTATAGTAGTTAAATACTATATAAATAAAGATGCCTTTATTATAGTCTTATTCTTTAATATCTTTTATGCCCCTGCCCTTAGTTTAAACCTAATCTTTATTACCTAGCTGCTTAATTTAAAAAGGGAGATATTAATAGCTTAAGACTGCTAGATAATTAAGAAGGATAATATTAAGATCTTAGCTAGATAATTTAATAAGCTTTTTATATTATAAATAGAAAGTCTACTTACTTAAGCACTTATCTTATATATAGTATTACTAGTAGAAATCCTACCTATATATGCCTTTATCTCTTATATAGTTAACTTATAAGCATAGCTTTAGCATAAGTAAATAGGATACCTTAGCAGTAATAATCTTAACTATTTAAAGGAAATAGTTAATAGACTAAATACTATATAAGAATTCTGCTTATATAAGGCATGTTTATATAAATAAATATATAAAAAGCTATATAAAGGATAGCTATAACTAGCTAAATATATAGAAGATATAATTTATGCTAATATATATAATCCCTTTTATATAAATAGTTATAATAAAAAGAGGTACTAGATTATACTTATAAATAGCTATAATTACTTTAGTAGCAGTAAGGCTATTAAGAATAAATAAGGGGCTTAGGGATTTATTTAGTTCTTTATATAATTCTTAGAAAACTAAGAACCTTAGAGATAATATTATAAGATTATCTACCTAGATAAGGCTAAGGAATTTAATAGTAATAAGTTTAATAAATAAGTAACTTTATAAAGTATTACTTTTAAGATATTACTAATAAAATAATATTAATTAAATAGTATAGCTAAGAACTTTAATATTACTATATATAATAAGCTGCTTTTTATACTAATTAAGGGGAATATTTTAAAAAGATACTAGCTAGAAATACTAAAAACTATTAACTACCTTTATAATAAAAGCCCTTATAAAGCCTTAGATAAGATGCTATTTAAATATATATTTAGTTAATAACCTAATATATTAAATATTAGGATAGTAAGCATAGTAGCCTAGCACCTTATCCCTTAAGCATAATAAAAGAAACTTAATAAGAAGGGGATTAAGTGCATTTTACTAGGTTTTATTAATAATACTATATACTAGCTACTAACTCCTAAAAGGAGAATAATTAGCTCCTTAAATATACACTTTAAATTTAAAATACCCTTATCTTTAATTACTATCTGTAATATATAATTTATAAGGACTTAGACTAATAACTAAGGAGTAGGAGAGAAGTAATATTAAAAGAATAGCTTAGTTTAGTCTATAGCTAAAGTTATATTACTTAACTCCTTAATATCTTATAAAAAGTAAGTAAGGTTTAGTAATAAGGTGCTAGGGCATCTTAAGTTATAATACCCTTTATAAAATAAGGTCTCTCTCCTTAATAAAGAGTATTATATATAAGTCTCTTTACTTAGTGTTCTTGCTTTAGCAGCATTAAGTAAAATATAGGTTAATAATATTAAGCTAAAAATATTTAAAAAGGCTAAATAAAGTTTTTTTTATAATAAATAGTAAAAGGGGATAATAAATAAGATTTATATACTAAAGGAAAATAAGACCTAGGAACTTATTAAGCCTGACCTTAAGATAAACATTCTATATAGTAAATAGGTATATAAGCTAAAACAGGGACTAGATAACTAAATAGTAAGATATAAGGCAAGATAGGTTATTAAAGGCTTTAAGCAGATTGCTAGTATTAACTACTTAAAGATATTTATATTAGTAGTTAAGCTAATAACTTATAAAGCCTTATTTACTATTATAGCCGCCTTTAACCTAGAAATTAAATAAATAGATATTAAAACTGTATTCTTTTATAAAATAGTAAATAAGGATATTTATATAAAGTAACTAACTGGCTTTAGTAATAGGACTAAGAAAGTATATAAGCTAAAAAAAGCTTTTTATAGCTTAAAATAAGCTTTAAGAGTTTAATATAAAATACTTACTAAGTTCCTCCTTACCCTTAGCTTTTATACTATTATATTTAATAGTAGCTTATATATTAAAGATAGTATATTTATTATAATTTATATTAATAATCTATTATTAGTTAGAAAAAATAAGGCAAAAATTATAAAGCTAAAAGAGGCTTTATATAATTACTTTTTAATAATAGACTTAAGGCTATACTATTATTATCTTAGTATTTAAATTTATTATAATTAGCTAGTAAAGATAATTATCCTTAACTAGTAAGGCTATATTTAAAAGATCTTATAATAACTTAATATAACTAACTATGCCTTAGTGCTAATATTAATAACTAAAAAATAACTATAAAAGGTAAAAGGATATATCTGCTAATAAGATAAATAAAAGAAATACTAGTTAGCTATTAAGTTATTAATATACTTAATATTAAGGATATGCCTTAACCTAGCTTATACTATTTTAGTAATTAGCAGGTACTTTAATAACCTTAATAATATATATAAGCAGGCAGTTAAGCATATCTTATATTATATTTAAGGAAGTAAGGACTTATGCTTAGTATTTTAAAGAAGTCTTTAACCTTTATAAGGCTATAGTGACTTTAACTAGGCTAATAACCTAAATACTTATAAATTAATATCTAGCTATATATTTAATATTAAAAGCAGTAAGATTAGCTAGTTATTAAGATAGTAAGTAATAATAGCTTTATTAAGTTATAAAGCAGAATATATAGTATAAACTAATACTATAAAAAAAGCTATTTAGTTATAAAGACTTTTTATAAAATTATACACTAACCTTTAAGGGGAATAAGCAGACTTATTATTATTACTAAATGCTATAGTTATTTACTATAATAATTAAGGAGCAATTGCCTTAATAAAGAACCTAACTAACTATAAGGGCTTTAAGCATATTAAGACTTAGTATTACTTTATATATAAAAAAGTTAAAAGTAAAGAGATTAAGCTAGAATATATCCTTATAAATAAGATAATAGCAGATAGGTTAATTAAGCTATTAAGAAAAGATTACTTTTTTAAATTTTATAAAGCCTTTAGTTTAAGGAGGATTATTAATATATAAGATAATAGTAAGGAATTTTAAAAGTAATTATATACCTGCTGTAGAATATATATCTTGTTTAAAGTTAGTAAGAGTAGGTTCTAGACTGTATACCTAGTATATAAGGATAGTAAGAGCATAGCTTTAACTTCTTCTATTATTAAGTAGGAGTGTTAAAAATAGGGGCACTAATATAGGAAGTATCTGTATATTAAAGGGCAGGGGTTAACCTGACTGCAAAACATAAGTAGAGCCATACGCCGCTATACAGGATGTAAGGAGATGACAAGCCAATTGACATATATTTTAACAATTTGGACCGAGAACTAAGGATCCAATGGGGCACAACATGTTTCTCCCTTTCAAAATCTTGGCGGTGCAAACATTAACTTTTGTCTGAGTATGCTCATAAATTAGATCCAATCAACACAGAATGCGTTCGGTATAAACGGCCCTAGGACTTGGACAAGCAGTTCAGAATTGTCTTTAGGTTTCTTTTCGGAGCATGAGGGCAAAATAGGAATTCTGCTCAAATCTATGTATAACTACGACTGTAACTCGAACCAATGGCCTCCAAGCCTATCGTGCATAGCAAACACGGATGGACTTGTCGAGAAGTAGAGCAATGTGTCCGAATGCTCTATTGTCTTGAGCTCTATTCGATGTTGAAGAATAAATCGGTGCGCTTTGATGTTCGATGAATCATGGTACTGAGGAGGCAGCTGGCAATTCGGGCCTTTCAAAATAAGGGACAATTCAGAGATGTATGGCAGCCTACCCAGAGCTTTTTTTGATGATAATTCGCCTCAAGGATGCCGGTGCAAGCTGCGTGATTGACGAAGCTGTCATTGCTGGGGCTTAATACAGCGATTAACCCTTTCTCCGTCAAGTATGTGATCTTGGATTGTGCAAACATGATCTGCCAAGAGCCTTCTCATTGGATCGAGAGCCTTTAGATAGATATAAACCGGCGTTTTTGTCATCTCGGAGGGCACTCTGCTAAAAGCAGGAGGAAAAGATTCCATCATTGTCAAGCGGACTTTAAGTGAAACATCGCAATATATAATAATCTAGTAAGCAGGACTCCGGGTCGTATCAGCGGATATAATGACAATCTCCAGGACGCCTGCGAAAGAGAGGAGTAAACGCACCTGAAGTACAGGCAGATGTGAAGCAGGTCCCTTTGTTGATCGATTAGGTTAGCGTTCCGGACTGCATCGAACCACTAGAACAGGGCCGAGATCGCAAATATGTGCGAACAGATGTGAAATACGCGCAGTCGGCAAGTACCTTATCCTATAGGTAGAGTTTACACATTCACTTTCCTCTACGCGTGAGGGGCCAGTATGGTGTAACAATCTGAGCAAAAGGGACGCATGAATAAAGCGTACCAATCCATTCAGCCAGAGCCATGATGTAAATGGCTTACTTGGAAGTACCCTCTTCTTCGAATCATCACCTTAGATAGCCTATACCTAGGATAGATCTGGGACCATCTCGGTGGCTGAATCCTCCCGTCCAGCTGCGAAACTAAGAAGCGCAGGCCGTCTTACACGCGCTCACAAGCCATTATCTGCGCGTAATCGACTCTATTATAGCCTACCGACAACCCGACAACCCCCAAATCCATCCAACCATCAAAGCCCGCAATCGAAAATGCGCCATTCCGCATCATGGCAACGACAGTCTCCAACCGAAAATGTACACACAGGTATCGTCGCAATCTTGATACTGCCGGGGAATGTCCGGGCGGGGTTCATGAGAGAAAATGCCCGCCCCTGGAGACACAAGTCGTTTAGATCACTTTCGTGTCGACAGGTGGGAACGCACCACTCGAGAACTTCTTCGAACAGCTTCCAATCTGCGGGATTCGGGGTTTAGCTTGTTTCGCATAGGCTATCAAGTAAACTCCGGCATTGAATTCCGCGAGCGTGATATAGGGGAGCGACTAATAGCAGAGAGGAGGCAGATCAGAGATATAAAGAGGGCTGAAGACCTCGTTGAGAGCTTCAAATCCGCAACCATCATCTTCCACACCTATAAAGTCTTCGCCCCATCTCCAGCACCATGGTTCAGTTCCTCGGCAAAGAAGTTGGCCCCATCGGCTTCGGCCTCATGGGTAACTACTCCCTCGAATCCTCCATCATTGAACCAGTTAACTAACACACACAGGCCTCACCTGGCGCGACGACCCTCCCCCACTGGAGCAAGCCCTCGCCGTCATGAAGGCCGCCGTCGAAAACGGCCAGACCATGTGGAACGGCGGCGAGTTCTACGGCACGCCCGAGTACAACTCCATGACCATCATCAAGGCCTACTTCACAAAGTACCCCGAAGACGCCGACAAGGTCGTCTTGGTCATGAAGGGCGGCATCGACAGTTCCGCTCGCAAGCCCGACGGATCGCCTGAGGGCATCCGTCGCTCGCTGGATAACATTTTGGCGCAGCTCGGCGGCAGCAAGAAGGTTGACGCCTTCTGCTGTGCCAGACGTGACCCGAACTATCCACTGTCGGTTACCTTTGGCGTGATTCAGAAGGAGTACATCGACACTGGCAAGCTTGGCGCCATTACCTTGTCTGAGTGCGGAGTTCACACCATTCATGAAGCCGCCAAGGTGGCCGACATTGCTGGTGCTGAAATCGAACTGAGCATGTTTACGCCGGACATTTTGAAGAACGGCATTGCCGCTGCGCTGAAAGAGCACAACATTCCCATCATTGCATACTCGCCTCTTGGGAAGGGGGTAAGTGGCTCTACCTGGACCCAGGAAACGAAGTGCGATGACTGACACAACATCAACCGTAGCTCCTCACTGGCCAGTACAAGACTCTGAACGACGTCAAAAAGCTCGGCACAGTCTCCTCCTTTCCCCGCTTCCAACCAGCCCAGCTCGAGCACAACCTCAGACTCGTCGAGCAGGTCGAGCAGGTTGCCCGCGAAAAGGGCTGCACCCCCGGCCAGATCGCCATCAACTGGGTGCTGAGCTTGAACTCGGATCCGAACCTGCCTCTTGTGATCCCGATTCCTGGCTCATCTACGGTGCAGCGTGTTGAGGAGAATTCGAAGCTGGTGGAAATTACCAAGGAGGAGCTGGACAAGCTGAATGGCTTGGTGCATAGCTTTGAGGCTGCGGGAGAGAGATACCCGCAACATATACCCGTTAACACCTAGAGTATCTATAGCTAGATAAGATATAGATTACTTAGCCTTTACTGTTCTACTGTTCTATGACACACAATGCGCACACACTATGTTTTTACTGAGAATAAGACATACCAGTATTACTGCTGCCTAGGTAGTAAGGAGTATACTTGTACCCAACATACTTCTGACCTTTTTGCTTATGAGAGCAGTCAGAACTTGTATGGTGTCCAGCAGTCGCGGTTTGCTTAGCAATCCAAGACGAGCGGCGATATAGACTATCCGCCCCAGTCCGGGTCCCTACCATGATTACTTTCAGTTTGGACATGTACATGTCGTACTATTCGCTCTATCTAATATGGTTCAAACAATGGAACTCGACTACTTCAACTACCTTAGATAATCTGAACCGGACTGAGCAGATCTATATAGTATCTCAGCTCCCGTATACTTCCAATCCACTGCAAGCCAGGCATAAAGTCCAGCTCTTCGAGACGAGGCAACCTTTATCTACGCTCCCAACCACCACTTTTGTACAACGGAAATTCTTCTCTATCGCCATTCAGGAGATTATATCTTATCAAACGACATCTACGCCCATTTGAAAAGGGTTTGCACCGAAGTGTCGCTGATAAAGCACCGAACGCTCCGCACCCCCGCATCTCGTCGATGTCGTGATTCTCATCCGCTTACATGCATAGCACATCACATCATCTACAACCATCCACTTGTCCCTCATATACTTCTCCATCTGTATATATAGCTGCCACCCTCACTTAAGTAGGAAGTAGAAGTCATACTCCATTATAGCACAAACTTGACTCGTGCGAGAGCACACATCTCTCAAATAGCACACAGTAAACTTCATAGACATCAGCCATGTCCAACCCCAAACAACTCCATCTCACGGCCTTCATGCGCCCCGTGAGTCTGCACACCGGCGCCTGGCGATATCCCGGCTCCTACGCCGACGCAAACTTCAACCTTGCCCACCTCAAGTCCTTCATACAGAAGCTCGAGGCCGCCAAGTTCGACGCCTTCTTCATGGCCGACCACCTCGCCGTCCTCAACATGCCCATCGAGGCCCTTCGGCGCAGCCAGACAACCACCTCCTTCGAGCCCTTCACCCTGCTCTCCGCCCTCTCCCAGGTCACGGAGAAGATTGGTCTCGCGGCCACCGCATCCACGACATATGACGAGCCCTATCACATTGCTCGGCGATTCGCCTCGCTGGACCACCTCAGCAACGGCCGGGCAGCCTGGAACATCGTCACGACGGCCAACCCGGACAGCGCCAAGAACTTTGGCCGCGACGAACACATGGACCACTCGGACCGGTACAAGCGCGCCAGGGAGTTCTACGACGTCGTCACCGGCCTCTGGGATTCCTTCGCCGACGACGCCTTCATCAGGGACCAGGAGTCGGGCATCTTCCTCGACCCGGCCAAGATGCACACGCTCAACCACGTCGGCGACGAGCTCAAGGTCAAGGGGCCCCTGAACATTGCCCGCCCCGTCCAGGGATGGCCCGTCATCGTGCAGGCCGGGCAGTCCGATCCGGGACGGCAGCTCGCCGGCGAGACGGCCGAGGTCGTCTTCTGCTCGCCGGGCAACATTGATGCCGCGAAGGCTCTATACGCCGACATCAAGGGCCGGGCCGAGGCCGCCGGCCGAAAGAGGGAGCACATCAACATCCTGCCCGCCGCGCTCGTCATCATCGGCGACACGATCCAGGAGGCGAAGGAGAAGCGTCTCAAGCTGGACAGCCTCGTCCACTACGAGAGCTCCATCGCCAGTCTGTCCATCTCTCTCGGAGCGGACGCCTCCAAGTTTGATCCCGACGGACCTCTTCCCACGGACCTGCCCGAGACCAACGCCAGCAAGACGGGCCGCGAGGCTGTTCTGCGGCTCGCAAAAGAAGAAGGCCTGACAGTGAGACAACTGGCCCAGCGATTCGGCGGATATGCCGGTTTCGCGTTTGTGGGAACGGTGCAGAGCATCGCCGACGAGTGGGAGAAGTGGCTCAAGGAGGAAGCCAGCGATGGCTTCACCGTCTGCTTCCCGTATCTGCCGCAGGGGCTGGATGATGTCGTGGAGAAGCTTGTGCCGGAGCTGCAGCGTCGGGGGATTTTCCGCAAGGACTACACGGGGACGACGCTGAGAGAGCACTTTGGGTTGCCGAGGCCGGAGAATCAGTTCTTTCCCAAGGCTGAAAGCACTTAGATGACTGGATGCGTATGGCTACATGACAAGCATGGTGATTACATGCATTCAGGCACACTTATATACACTAATATTGTTCATTCATGCATATTCTCATTACCATGTACAGACAAAGCTGTTAGCCAGATATATACAGTGCCATTCATCTCATCATCTCACGCTCAGCACCTCAAGCCTTGGGCAGGATCCAAGTCGTCACCGACGAACCGGGGACACGAGCGTTCCACGTCTGGCTCTCCGACTCCGTGCCAACCTGCACCCAGATGTCGTGGTTGTACCTGTTCTGGATGACCACCGTGCGGGTGCCATCCGGGTTGATTGTGCCCACAGCCTCCATGCCCGTGTTATCAGGGAACAAGAAGCTGCCCGTGCCGTCGACGACAACGGCCCCCTTGGGGATATACCTGCTGAACTGGCCCATCATGTAGTAGTCAATCTCCTTCTTGTAGCTGCTTCCATCAGGAGAAACAGTAACGAGACCGGTGCACTGGTGGCAGTTGCCGCCTCCGGACAGCGCAGGGCCACCGCCGGTGAAGGAGCCCATCGTCCAGGCAATGATGCCGTTGGCCCAGTTCTGCAGGGGGAACATGTTGAAGCTGGAGCTGTGAATCCAGTCGGTGGTTCCGACGGACGTCCAGCACTCGGTCATGTACTGCTCCTTGTTGGGGAACTCGTTGTGAAACTGCGTGAGGGGCGTCCAGTTGTTGGGGTTGTTGCCGGCGTAGCAGTGCCAAGCAGCGGCCTGAACATACTGACTGGCCATGTTCATGACGGTCTGGGGGTAGGAGTAGACGTCTGTCAACCGGTGTTAGTGCTGTATCACGATATTCCAGTCCGCTTCATCCAACAACGTCGGAGTAGCCAGAGCAGAAAAGACAACATCAATACTCACCCTGGTTGTGATCCCAAGCCCAGATCTGCGTGCTCAAGCCCGCATTCCTCAAAGCAGGGCCAACCTTGTCCCGAATCAAAGCCCCCGACTCGTCCTGCTGGATCAGCATCGTCGGCATGTCATCCTTGTTGTTGAGCGGCTCGTTCTGCAGCGTAATGGCATCAATGTGAGCACCACCACTCTCGTACGCCTTCAGATACTTGACAAAGTACTGCGCGTACGCATCCTCGTACGCGTGGTTGAGCTTGTTGTTGGCCGTGCCGCCACCAATCAGCGAGCCCTTGACCTTCATCCATCCAGGAGGCGACCACGGCGATCCCAGAATGGTCAGGTTGGACTGCAGCCGGCGCATGTTCGCCAGCATGCTAATCATGGCATTGCCGCGATCTCCAAGACCAAAGCTGTTGAGCCCGGTATCGACCTTGCCGCCAGCGTCGTCATACGTATACGCCGGATCCGCGGAAAGATCCGAGCTGGCCACCGTGTGCCGCAGCAGGTTGAAGTTGAGGCCCGCGGGCGTCATCAGCTCGTTGAGCAGCTGCGTGCGCAGGCTGGCGTTGAGCTTGGTGAAGGCGGTGACGGTGGCGTCGGTGACGGCCGCGCCGAAGCCCTTGACCGTCTGCTTCCGGCCCGTCTTCTCCTTGATGGTGAACTTCCAGTTGTCGATGCCCGGGTTGGCGGCGTTGAGGACGGGGGCCTGGACGGGGGTGAACTGGTTCTTGGAGTCGGCGGTGGACGCGAACGAGGAGGCGGCGGCGTTGGCGCCGCCAACCGCCGCGATGGTGGTGAGGACGGAGATGAAGAGCATCTTGGATGTGGATTCAGCCCGGGTGAGAGTGGGATGGAGAAGAGCAGAAGCCTGGTTGAAAGAAGGGGGATCGACGTCTCCTTATACATGTACTCACCTGTACGGACACAAACTCTCCATGATGAAGTCCCATAGCGGTCTCCCCACGTATACCCCAGCCATCAATACCACCTCACTTAGACATCTTCAATAAGCTTAGTCGCAAGCCTCCGCTCAGCTGCACTGCTCCGCAACCACTTGCCACGCAAGAGAGGAGTCTCGAACCACGTCCAGGCACAAGACATCCCCGAGCTGCCCAAACAAGGCCAGGGCAAGTCAATCGGCCCTATCCCCATCACTCCGGCTTCCGTTTGCCGCTTGAGAGACTGGCCGATCCATGCCGTAAGGGGGGTAGTCTGCAGATGACGATCGTTGAGCGCATCAAGAACACGGCCGCCGCCATCCAAGCTCTTCCACGTCAGGCTTTACCGTAGTCATCAGCATTCTGCGTTGATCGAGTCAATTTCTACGGTTATGCAGGTGTAACAGCTAATACACTAGAAGGAAATTGAACTAAATCAGTCTCAGCAACAAGCTCTTCACGATCAGGAGCAGCTCATCCTGACCGCAACACTCACCGTGTAAGACCGCGATTCATGCTCCTCATCCCCCAGCATCACTTGTAGTTCAACCAGTCCCACAGCACCCAGACAAGGCCTCATCACTCCCCAAGAAGCAAACGGAGAAGGCCACGCCAAGACGATATCCCGGGACGTGGCTTTGCCAAGAGACCATCGAATCGTGTTCCCTAAACAACTTGCCTAATTGGGCCATGGAGAGAATGGGACTCGAAGGGGGGGGGGGGGGGGTGAGAACACGATAGTAGTCCGCTCCTCTCAGTAGGGAGTCTGGATAAATGCTTACAAGCACGCGTGCTTGAGTGATCGGACTTTTGTATTCATCCGTTGTCCTGTAGTCAGCCAAGTTTACTCTTAGATTCACGCGATAACATTCACTGTTTTCCACTTCTACCTTGCTGTCCCACAACCTGCCCACAACTATACCATTTCTCCCTCTACTGTATACTCGTATTTCCCTTCAAGAGCACAGCTACATTCCAGGGCTTCA